TTGATGTGTGCAGATCAGATCGACTCTTTGACGGACAGAAACCTCGAGCAGAACCAGACTGGTGTCAAACCTCCTTCAGAGACACGTGCAGAAAGCGTGATAAAGGTGCCGATGTTGATGATGTCGTGTGAGCGCTCTCGTGTCGCTCCCAGACGGTGACACACTTCCAGCTCCCTCTGAACGAGCTCCTCTTCTCCTCTGGGAGCTTCGGTGGATTCCTGCGTCGACTCTGTGCACGGTCTGCTCCATCGCTCGCTCGCTTTGACTTCACACACCAGCAGTTCTGTTTCTGTTCGCTCCTCCGACCCACAAGATTCAGGCAGGAAACCATAAAACAACTGAGAGAGATGTTTGTAGACGTCCAGAACTCCTCTTTAGGATCTGATCTTTAATATTAACTCAGACCTGATGTGATGCACGGGTTAGTTTGAGCGGGCCGAGCTCAGAGGATCGTCGAAATAAGCCGCAGTGTCCGCCAAATTCAGCTTCTTTTTTTTTCATAAAGTCCCATTTCTCATCTCTGCGCTAAAACTTTCCAATTTGTCCATCGACTAACTCGAGCGGCCGTCTTCGCTCTGAGCTGGAGGAGTATTTTTTTAATCCCCAGGGTTCTGAAAAGTGAGGTCAGGACTTCATCAGGGGCCTCGGGGGCCCTCGGAGCCCCTCTCTCGTCTGCGCGGCAGATGAGGGGATCAGCAGGGTGTGAAATGGCCGCGGTGATTGCTCCGAGGCCACGAGGCCTCCAGCCCATTCACAGGCCTGTCAGCTCTCTAATAGAGCCGGTGGAGATTGGAGACGAGCTCACAGTTACTGAACACCCCCCACACCCACACCCACACCCACACCCACACACCCCCGTACTGTTAGAGGGAGAGCGAAGCATTAAGATGGAAAATCTCATGAAAAGTGTTCGCTGAGATCCTTCAGGGTTCGAACCTTTTCTTTCTCATAAGATCAGGATGAATGTTTTTGATTGTCACCTACAAACCAACGTCACGCCGACAGAAACAGAGAATCATGAGACCATGAGGATCATCATTAAAGTTATCAAACAGTCCATGAGATCTGAGATAAGAGACGAGAGTGACTGAGCAGCAGAAATAATCAATATTAGGGATGACGTCTCAGGGATACTTTCATTACCGTATTTTCCGGACTATAAGTCACGTTTTTTTTCATAGTTTGGCCGGGGGTTCGCCTTATACTCCGGAGCGACTTATGTGTGAAATTATTGACACATTATTACCGGTATATCATTTCACATGTTATTTTCACACTAAACCGCAAGAGGGCGCTCTAGGCCTGTAGACCTTTGCCGACGTAGAAGAGGAAGCACCGCATCTTCTACCTCGCGGAGTTAGCGGAGTTTATGAAAAGTGACACCGAGGATGAAGACTTCATTGGATTTTAGTTACCGGTATTTGAAGTGACACGGATGGTTTTGGTAAACTTCTTAGCATGTTATTTATGCTGTAGTTATCGGAATAACTCTTAATATGTTATGTTAACATACCAGGCACGTCCTCAGTTGTGTCATGTAACGTAAGCATACCGTTCAGCCTGTTGTTGCCTCTATTCTATTTTTATTTTAAAATGTTCGTCATTTAAATTTTAAATGACGTCTGTTCTTGATGTTGGATTTTATCAAATTAATTTCCTATGCGACTTATACTCCAGTGCGACTTATAGTCTGGAAAATACGGTAATCACATGATTGTTTGTGGTTAATTATACGTTATTTTACTGTCGTAACTTTAAAGGATAATTATCAAGATTTTAAAAAGCAGTAAACACTGTCCAGAAAAAGTCTCCAGTATAACCTGAGAGGTAAAAAAAAAACATGTCTGACTGCGTCTTTAAGTCTCCTCCCACTTCCTGTTTCATCCATTTTATTTATAATTTCTGTTCTTAGTCTTTTTCTTAATTCCCCTCTAAGAGGTTTTTTTACTTCTTTTACCCCTTTTTTCCGTGATAAACAGCTCTTACTCATCTGTTCATTTAATATTATTTTCTTGTTTTGGTTCATCAGGTTTTTGTCTTTTTACCGTTTTATCTTTAATCTCCAGTGTTTCTCGAAGGTCGCTCTTTCCTCACGTAATGTCTCGGTGTCAGGACATGTCTCTTTAACAATAGATCATAAATTCTCACTCTGTGTGCGCTTGTGTGTGTGTGTCTGTGTGTGTGTGTGTGTGTGTGTGTATGTGTGGGTGATGGTTAATTGTTTTTAGTCTTTGTGAGGAACTTTGAACTACATTTTTTCGTCTGAAAAGTGCCGTAAAAATAAAGTCGAATCATGATCCTGGATCCCACCGTGACGCTCGGGTGATCGGACTGTGAGAGACTTTTATTTCAAACTCCAGTTTAAAGTCAGAGAATCGAAGAAAAGTTTAATATGTAGAGTTTTCATTTTTAAATGCAGACGATAAAGAAGAGTCTAACTTTAGCTGTGAGGACGAACAACAAACCAACAGCAAACTTTAAACAGAGTAATGAAACCTGCTCTTTGTTTTCTTAAACGTAACGCCGCCTCCATGAATAGTTCTGAATAATGATTATTATAGAATCAATAAGATTGAAAGCAGATTTAATCGCTCTTCACAAACCGGATGTGAGCTGTGCGTGGACGGCCGTAAAGTGGGCCAGGCGTCTTTTTGATGTGTGGAGTGTAAATATAGCCCTCCGCCCTCCGTCTAATTGTAGCTGTGTTGTTTTCATATTGTTGAATCTCAGAGATGTATAATTCATCACGCAAATAATCTGGAACAAAACAAACTCTCCTCCGAGCTCCCGAGAGACCCGGCGTCTAATGAGTTCACTCCATAAAATATTCATACCTCTGCAAAATAAACTGTCACTTTCCCAGCAACACGCATACACACGCACACGCATACACACGCACACACACACAGAGTCGAACAAGATCCCATTAAATGTAATAGCAGGTTGTGGGACCGTAACTGCCCGTTGATCACTGTCACCCGAAAACGCTGCAGACTCTCCCACAGTGTGTGTGTGTGTGTGTGTGTGTGTGTGTGTGTGTGTGTGTGTGTCATAGGGTGACTATTTACCCATGATGCTCCAGCTGTTGTCCAAACGTCTTTTTTTCAGATGTTTGATGCAGGATGTCTGAAAGCAGAAAAAGCTGTTATTAACTTTTCTTAAAAACTCGTTCAGAAACTTTTACTCTCCTTAAATAAATATAAACGGTTTTTAGATTTACATTTTAAAACAACAGAGGACTCTTACCTGGATTTCTGCGGATCCCAAACGCCTCACACAGAACTTTAAATGGTTAGCACCATAGCTGAACGGCGCCACCACGTTTTAATACGACCTCTCGGCAGCCGTCTCACCTCGCGGTTTGGGTCAGTGGTCCACAACAGGCAGAAGGTCAACCTCACCCGTCCTCTCCCACTGAACAACGTAAAACAATAGACTGTATATAGAATGGACGCCGTCTGCCTCCACCGCTACAACAGCACCCTCTGGTGACGGGCTGCGGTATAGGTCATAAATCCCGCTTCCTCAAGTGAAATTTTTCTCACCCTGGTTGCGATGTTGACATGTGGTTGCTGTTACCCAGGATTTTCACTGCATCCAGAATGGCGGCGATTTTCACAGCACGCCAATTTCTACCGAATCCGTTTGTGAGGTGAATTTCCTGGTGGATAACGGAGAGCAGGAATCACGAGAACTCACAAGAACCAGCGGATTCACATTCAACTGCGCAATAACAAGTTGTTTCTATAAAGACAGCCACATAGACATATAAGCAGTAGATTGTGTCCTTCCAGAGGAGGAAATCTACTTCTAGACTTCTAGAATCAGCATCTCCTCATCCATGGTGTCATCGGGGTGAAATGACGTCTAAAAACCTTTCACTTGTTCGTCTCCGCCCGTTTGATGTTTTATTTTGTGTCTGTTCCCAGGACCAGTTCATTACGGACTACAGCGGAGTGCCGCAGCTCAAGGAAGAACATTTATGATCATTTCTTCATGGAAATACAATCAGACTGAGACGCTAAGACAGAAGAACTACCGCGTCTGCAGTAAAAAATGATTGATATGGTGATTATTACTTCAAGGAAATGATAAAGAAACTTTACCCTAACTTCATTTTACGCCGGAATATCCCTTTAACACATCGACATACATCACACATGTACACGATATAAACAATCTCGTGATTTCTCAGGTTTATTTCAGGGTCTAAACCTGAAGCGTTGATGTTTAAAGTACAAAGTCAGGATTAGTCAGGTCTGCCTTTTTCACGCAGGTTGAAATGTTTAATCTAGAGAGTCTGACCGCTGCATTTATTGTCCAAGATAAACGAGACACCAGCATACGACAAAAACTGAATCCTGGTTCAGCACTAGGACCAGTCAGCCCGGATATCTGAGAGTCTGAGAGGTTTTCACCCTAAAGAGAGAAAGTGAGATCTCTCTCTCTGCAGGTTCAGGCGGATGTTTTAATCCCTAACAGCTGACACCGTAACTTCCCAAACTAACTCATTTTCTTATTTTTTAACTGAACGGTGAGGATCCAGACATTTTCGGCGAAACAGTTTCCCTGATGTGAGCTGTCTCCAGGCAGCAGAGCAGACAGAAGGACCCCAGGGCTTCTTCCAATCACGGCCGATAATGACCTGTGGATCCAGAGATGAGAGGGGAAAAAATCAAAGAGCAGGTTTTTCATTTCGCGCTGAGACGCCGCCGTCCTCCTTTGATTCATTTCTCCCTCAGAGGAGCGAATTAAGTCCATCGGCCTCTTCAGGAAATCATCTCTCCTTTTTTAATATTCTCCGACACCGCATGGCTTCTCAGCCAGCCGGGGCGGCAGGAGGTCGAGGACCGGCTTCATGATCCGCGGTCACAGGGAGAGCAGAGTGAGGAGGAAGAGGTCGGCTGATTTTCATTAAGATGGACTCCGGAGCGCTTGTCTTATTAGCGGGTCATTAGGCTCTCTGTGGCCGACAGATTGTCTGAACAGGAAGCAGGGGAGCGGGCAGAAGGTAATTGCACTCAGAGTGACCACACAGGTGCCCGCGCTCCTTGATTGGTTAATTAGCGTGATGTCAATCAGCCCCCTCCTGCTCCTTCTCGCTGTAGTTAAAAGGTGCGAGTTTGTAATGAAGCCTGAAACTTCTTCTTGTCCGGCTCGTTAAAAAAAACAGCTGGACTAAAGAGAGGAAGGACACAAACACAGGATGTCCGAGCTGCACCTGAACGCAGCGCAGCGTGACTGTGACTGTTTGAAAGAAAATATGGGAGGTCCAACAAATGAATCATCTGATTACACCTGATTCATGCAGAAGTCGTCATCGCCTTTCTTCCTGTCGCCAAACTGAGGTGACGTACATGTGATTTATGTCTTTGTCTCGGCGCGATGTGAAACTCATCAGAATAAAAACTCAGACTCTCCAGCCCTGACAGGAAAACTATCTTTGCTCTCGTCCGGTAAAAAACAGAAACGTTCACAACAAATAAAAGCTCGATCAAGTCCAGTTCAACAGCGCCGTGTTGTCCAGCGTAGAACACATGAAGACCAGTCAAGAGCGTTAGGTCCTGCCTCGCCAAGCAGACCGCCACACAAGAACCGAGTTTTGAAGAGCTCAAATGTGTCATCCGAAGTATCTGGTTTGGCCGCATCTGGAACGGCTACGAAAAGGTCGTATCCTCCGATTGTAGCTGATCGTAACTATTAAAGTAAACGTGTCAATTAACACCGACTTCTTTCCGCTTTGCTGCCGATCACCGTTCTATTTTTTCTGGACGCCGGAGCATGGCGGATAAATTCAGCTCAGATTAACCCGTGCTGGAAAGGAAGTCGGACACAGACACAAAATAAAACATCCGTCTTCTTTTCAAAATAAAACACTCCGTGTTTCAGGAGGATCGTATTTCACACCATGCAAACGGGCGGAGACGAACAAGTGAAAGGTTTTTAGACGTCATTTCACCCCGATGACACCATGGATGAGGAGATGCTGATTCTAGAAGTCTAGAAGTAGATTTCCTCCTCTGGAAGGACACAATCTACTGCTAATATGGTTAGCCTCTGCGGCTAAAAGACAACCTGGAATCACTCAATTGCACGTGAATCTGCGAGTTCTCATGATTCCTTCTGTCTGTAATCCGCCAGGAAATTAGCCTCACAAACTGACCCGGTAGGAACTGACGGACGGATCAGTCGTTCAGGATGCGGTGAAAATTGGGGGTTAAATTCAAGATTTAAAAAAAAAAACAGCTCATACAAAGTGCAAGAAAAATGCACACAGAATGCACTATGCATTACTGTCCAGTAGATGGCAGCAAGTCCAGTCTCGCAAGAAATATCGGTAATATCGCAAGCGCTCCTCCTCCATGAGCGTAGCGGATGGCCGCAATTTTTTTGGCGCCATCATGGCTCTATAGAAAACAACGCCATGCCCATGTTTAATTCAGCCGATGGTCACAAAGACAAACGTTTAATCAGCTCATCAATAAGCGGGAAGATTTAAGAAATGTATCTATCGGATGTTGATGCGAACATTTTCAAGTTTACCGCTGATGTTGATTTTGGTTCTCTGTAAATTCGTCTTCCTGCAGAAATGAGCGGACCGACTCTTCTGCAGATTTCTGTTTTCTGACGTTTGGTTGACGTTTGCGATCGTACAGTTTTAATTTGCAGCGCGCTCTTCACAGCGTGTTTTATCATCCTTGTGCTTTTGTTGTTTTTTTGTTTAGCTCCACAACTCTCCAAACGGATCTGTCACGTTAAAGTCAAATCATGTTTCTGTTGAGTTTTATTCTCTTTTAATCTCTGGGGCTCCAGCATTAATGATAAAAAATAGACTTTTAGTAACACAAACACTTCATTTTTTTCCGCTTCCTGTGCAGCTCCTCGAGGCGCCGCCGTCCCTACCCTCGGACTCGAACCTCTTTGTTTACTCTGAACGATTACCGTGTGCTGACGGCGGGCTGAGAGCGCGGGTTTCTTTCCATTATAAAGCGGTAATTGCTGTGTAATTACTCCTCCATTGTTGTCTAAGCAGCAGAGAGACCTCTCCTGCTAATAACATCAGAATATCAAAGGTGACACGACAACGCTGCTGCTGCTGCTGCTGCTGAGCATGAATATTCAGGAGGACGGAGACAGCCGAGAGCCGCTGCCGTGTTTCCTGAAAGACGAGGTTGTGACTGCAGGTCGGCGCGGGAACGTTTTATTGAAGCTCCTGTGACCTCCTAAAGTCTGAGCAGGTTTACTCCATCTGGTCATGACTCACAGTTGTTATTTAGACTTTTTATGGATGTCATATCTGTTTATATCATTCTCACTTTATCCAATTTTCGCCTGACGATTATTACGACTGTGGAATAACAGGAGAGCTTTTTTAAGGCGATATTTATGGGGAACTTTAGAGTAAAAAACACCAAAATCAGTCACTGAACGTTGTTGAACAGACTCCACACTCTTTTTGTCATTTCAGGTCAGGGTTCAGATCTTACCTGCTACAAAAATCTCAGGGCGCTGAATTTAACACGTTCTCAGAGCCCTGTGCTGTCAGGTCTGGAGTCCCCCAGGGGTCTGTTCTCGGTCCCCTTACGTTTTTATTTTACCTCAATCAATCATTCTGTAATTACACAGCAACAACTCACAAGAAGTGCTTAAAGGGATATTCCGGCGTAAAAGTAAGTTAGTCACCCTCACCAGAGATGAATGTTGTCGACCGCTTGCTTCTCTAGTTATACTAACTTTAGTAACAACCGCAGGATAGAAATACAGAGAGACACGCCCCCAACCAAAACGCCACTCTATAGCCACAAATAATGCTCAGAACAGCACCTAACTTCATCAACAGGACATATAGGGTCACAGACATAGTACTAGACACCAAACATCTCGCTCAGAGGTGTCCATCAACTGCAGCGGGGTGCCGCAGCTCAAGGAAGAACATTAAAGACTTTTTTTTCATGGAAATACAATCAGACTGAGACGCTAAAACAGAAGAACTACCGCGTCTGCAGTACAAAATGATTAATATGGTGATTATTACTTCAAGGAAATGATAAAGAAATGATCATAAATGTTCTTCCTTGAGCTGCGGCACCCCGCTGTAGTCCATAATGGACTGGCCTGAGGTCTCACTACAAACGAGTGGCTGCTGGAAGAGAGTAGGTGAGTTGTGTTTAGTCTCTTTGCTAAAGAAATGAGTCAAACTTAAAAAGATGTATGGGGGTGTCTAACTCGGTGTTACGGTGTGTTTGACCCTAAATCAATTTTACGCCGGAATATCCCTTTAACAAAGGAGCTGGTCTGGACCGCTCGTCCGTCCTCTGTCTCTCTGTCTTTAAGTTGTCGGTCTGAAATCTCGCCTTCTGGACGGAGCTTTAATTCAGACTCTGCTGCAGAGGCGTCTGCTGCACTAATGGTGTGTGTGTGTGTGTGTGTGTGTGTGTGTGTGTGTGTGGTGGAAACGTGTTTATTTATGAGCTGGACACTGTTAATTACCCGCTTGCATGGGTAATTATCTCCAACTTCAAAGACATTTTAACCCCCCGGAGACCCAGAGAGAGAGAGAGAGAGAGAGGGAGAGAGAGAGAGAGAGAGAGAGAGAGAGAGAGAGAGAGAGAGAGAGGGAGAGAGAGAGAGAGAGAGAGAGAGTGAGACTCGGCCGGCCAAAATATCTGCAGCTAATTAAGAAGAAACGATGAGTCATCGGAATGATATTCACAGAAATATTCAGATAGTGAATGAAGGACCGACAGAGGACCTAAGAGAAGACTGCAGCACCAACAGCAAACACTTTTTTATCTGAATGAAGAGACACACAAACAACCTCCACCTCAATTAGAGCATCGCTTGTTGTCATTGGCAACCGATGGTCAATCCAGCTGATTATCAGCCGCTGATCCGGTTTCTGTTGTGGTCCATCACAAACCCTCGGTGTCACTTTAGACTCTTTACGACTGTGGAGACGTTTAATCAGCGACACTTGAGGTGGAGACGTGATAAAGATTTTTAAAATACATCTTTAAATTTTAGGAGAATAAAAGTGGAACTATAATAAGGCTGAAGTCTCAAATATAACGAGAATAAACATTAAATATTACAAGAAAAATAAAGAATAAAGTTTAAAATATTTCCAGAATAAAATCATAAATATTACAAGAAAAAAGTCTAATATATTTAGAGAATAGTCTTACATAAAGTCTTAAATATGATGGGAATAAAGTTCTCACACACACACACACACACGTTCATACTCACACTTTGAGTCGGAAGTTTGGTTCAGATCATTTTCTTCCACTTTAAGAAGCGAATGAGCGGATGGGATCCATTCTACGACACAACACCGGTCTTCCTCTAACCAGCCAGAATCAGAAAAGTGAAACAACAAATGACTTCTGTCTTCTGTTAACATTGAAGCGGCAGACAAATTGTACTGTGTTCGGTGGGTCTACTTAAACATCCGACTAACGTTAGCACATGTACTTTTTCATAGACAAACAACCTGACAACAAAAACTGATATTTATATACTGGTTTAAAATGTGAGAAATTCATGGTAAAGTTCTTAAAAAGTTCATGGAGAAGTTCAGAAATTAGTACCCTCATTTAAACCATGCATTTTTTTAAAAGAACGTTTAAAAGAATCAGAATAGAGAATCATTAGGAATTGGAATCAAAATGAATCGGTACCTGAATCGTTCAACATCAAACGATATACCCAACCCTCCTCAGCAGTGAGTCATCTGTATCTGTTCGTAGATCTGGACAGAAAACCCCGACAGGAGCTTTAAAAATGAAGTGAATATGATCATCTTCAAGTGGATCATCATTCTGAGGCTGTGTGGTAAAACACACACTGTCGGTTTTATTGTCACGCTGAAACATTGTCGACATTTAAAATCTATAAAGTCATGAAAATGAAACTCTTAAATTTTTCTTAAAGCCTAAATTAAAAGGATTTTATCAGATCCTCAAATCAAAGATTCACTCGCAGTTTAGCTTCAGTTTAAAGTGATAAAGACAAAAAGAAAAGTCTAATTTTATTCTTAGAAGATGACCAAAGAGGAGGACTCTGTGTCTAATCAGACTGAACACTGGAGATGAGACTCTGCTGGTCCTGCTCCTGGAGAAACGTGTCTCTGCTGCAGACGCTGTGAGGATGAAATGAAAGCAGGAGAAATCCCCGAGGAAACCTGATGCAGTCTGAAAGAGCTCGCCACCTGGGAAAACATTTGTTGTTGTGGGATGATAAGAACCGTCACCAGCATGTAAAACACGGACGGATCAAACTCCAGGGGGGACAGACGTGTTCGGTGTTTCTCTCACTGTCACTGTTTGCTGTCAGATCAGGCAGGAGCTTTGGAGAGTCACCGCGTCCTCCACGGTTTTCACTCCCACAGAGCAACAGCTCCACCTTGTGAGCAGACTGGGATTGTTGCACAAGTCCTACAAGAGTTCGCTGTGAGGCTTCAGTCATTCATCCAAGTATCTGAGCGATCAAGATCGACTGTTTTTCCTATTTTCAACCTGATCCACGCCTTAAATATCAGCTGTTGTTTTTGCAGCCGATGGAGCACTTAGTGAGCGTCTCAGACAATGGAAACTGACAGGTAAGGAGGAACCATCATGGGAGGAAAAACCCCTGCATGTGATGAACCACCGACAGACAGCTGAAGCGGCTGATATGAGCAAATCCGACCAGCGGCTGGAGAGGGATGGACTGAAGGACGGCACAGAGGCACTCATCATGGCGGCACAAGAACAGGCCTTGAGCACCAGAGCAATAGAGGCCCAGATCTACCATACCAGGCAAGATCCCAAGTGCAAAGAGGGCCCTGAAACAGTCCAACACCTAACAGCAGGGTGTAAGATGCTGGCAGGAAAGGACTGCATGGAACACCATGACCAAGTAGGCGGTAAAGTGTACAGAAACATCTGTGCAGAATATGGACTGGAAACCCCGGGGTCCAAATGGGAAGAACCTCCCAAGGTGATGGAGAATGACCGAGCCAAGATCCTGTGGGACTTCCAGATACAGACCGACAAAATGGTAATGACCAACCGACCGGACATTGTAATCGTAGACAAACAGCAGAGTGATACCAACATCAGAAAGAAGGAACACGAGAAACCAGAGGAGTACCAAGGGCTCAAAGAGGAGCTGGAGAAAGCCTGGAAGGTGAAGGTAACAGTGGTGCCTGCGGTTATCGGGGCAGTAACCCCCACACTGGAGAAGGAGTGACAAAAGAGAATCGATTAATAATAATACTGTTTTTTTTAAAAAAGTATTAAAAGAAAAAGAATCAGAGCAGGAGACAGTGTTGGTGATTCAATAACATATTTTAATTTTTCAGTGTTTTAGTATAAAAATCCCACCGGCCTGTGGTCGGCTGGTTTCCGCTCCCGTTGGCTATAACTGTGGTTTTTCCCAGAGAATCAGCTAAAGTACCAAATCTATTTACACACGACATCCACATCCAAAGGGCCAAACAAAACAGGAAGTCTACCCATCCCTACCCCGCCAAAATAAAACATCAAACACTATCACCTCACCGCTCAGATTTAATGCTATCGATCCAAAGAATAAAAAAAAATGAACCCACAAAACAACAGAAGAAGAAGAGGAGGAGGCGGCGCCTCGACGCGCGGCTCCTCCTCCTCCTCCTCGTGTGCCCGCCGTATTTTCTTACAATACTCTCTCTTTCTATAAAGTAATGCATATACATTTTCTGCTTTACAATAAATTAGTACAGGCACATTCTCTTCTCTCCGACAGCTGACCGGAGCTCAGCTCAGTTCAGGTGAAAAGATGACTCGGTGACGTTTTGACTCATCACAGCACGCTAACAGAAGAAAGGCTGAAACACAGACGTAAAAAAAAACACGTTAGTGGGAACCGTGTGGGCAGCAGATTCTTTCTCTTTTTTTTTTTGGTTTCGGTGTGAATGATGCACTTTCGGCATTTTTAAACTTTTTGAGAGCTTCTATATAGATTTTATATAAATATGTACAAACGAAAAAAAAAAAAAAAAAAGTCCAAGTAGTCCAGTAAAAACATTCAGGTAAAAAAAAAATGATGCAAAAACACACACACACGCACACACACACACACAAAAAAAACAACTTAATGCCAAAGACGAGAGAAGTCGAAGCTTGAGAACTCAATAACTTACAAAAACGGTAAAAAAAATGAGCTGAAATCAAAAGGTTCCTTACAGTATGCATGTTTGTTTGTTTGTTTGTTTGTTTGTTTGTTTCTCTGTGTAGAGATAGCACCAGCAGAAAGGCCGACGGCGTCAGTGCCGACCAGGACGTGGATCATCATCATCATCATCATCGCTCGGACTGGAATATAAATATGTGAACAGCATGTACCAGAACGATCTGAGGGAGTGAATAAATTAGTGTCAGGCCTTGTACAGGATATTTACAGGAGCTGCTGCAGTCGCGCCGCTGCACGCTGATGGACGTTTCCGTGGCGGCGGGACTGTCGCAGCAGTCTTGCAGCACATTTAAAGAGGTCAGAGGTCAGACTCTGACACATTCAACAGGTTTAGACCCGTGATTTCTCGCTCCTCATAGCCCAGGTGTGATTTTTTTTTCTTTCTTTCGGCTTTTTGCACCCGATAGCCGAGTCGTTTTTCGTTGCATAGCTCTTTGACAAAACAGGATGGCCGTCAGAAGCTACAGTATTTCAGACAGAAGGGGACGAACGTGAGGGGAGACAGAAAACGATCCAGTTAGCAGGACGCGGTAAACATGACGAGAGTGAGAGTGAGAGGGTTTGTTGTGCGTATGAGGCAGAAACCGAGCGTCTCTGCTGCGATTGAAACGAAAGGCTGAAAGGACAAAGAGGAGGAGAGGAGAGGAGGATGATGGGAGGACGAGAAGAGGACAAGTTCAGTCCACAGCAGCCAGGTGGACGCTCAGGTCCCGCTCGCTGCTGACGCTCTTCAGGTGGTTCACGGCTCGGTCGAAGGCGAGCTGCACAGCTTTTCGCACGGAGGAGCAGCGAGCCTCCTTCAGCTTGATTCTGTCCAGCGTCTGGTTGATCCCGAAGGGAGCCATCTTGGATTTAGGAAGCCATTGCCTGAAGAGAAGCGAGGCAGAGCGTCAGAGTGAGTGAGAGCGTCTTTATAACGTCACATCAGACCGTGAACAGACCTGTCATCATGAAAAACAAACATCATCACATGTGATCTGATCTCATGACTGCGCTGAGCTCTACGAACGATTCATGAAAAGATAAAAACACGACTGATGGTGCTGCTGAGAACTTTTTGAGGAGCTGGGGTCTAAGTTTAGTTCTGGGGTAAAAGGTCTAACCCCCCTGAGAAGCCCCTCCTCTGGTCTCTAATCATGGCGATCTAGATTTAAAGACAAACCCAGCATAAATCGGTGAACTCACCAGCTGCGTCTGCTGTCGAAGAAGTGGACGAGGAAGAGTTTCTCTTCGGACCTGAACTGCATCCGCTCTCCGGCCCTGAGAACGTCCTGTGGCGGCAGGGGAAGCTCCACCCCTTTGTGCTGATACGCCGTCCTCCGTGCTCTGGGGTCCATGATCTGTGAGGGCGGAGAGACACACACAGAGAGGCGGAGACTGAGTGAGGCTGCTACATCTCAGCGGCAAGGCGGAGAAAAATCCGGGGCGGCGGCATCTGGAGAGAGGAAGCCCGCACTCAGAGACACAAACACGCCAGGCTGAGCCGAGCCGAGACGCTCTGAGCGAAGCGGCCGACTCCACACGCACGCACACACTCGCGCACTGAGCGGTCCACGGACAGTCGGCCGGCCGGCTGACAGCTGCTGCATGGCTGTGAGCACAAATCACGAGCTACGGCACGCACAATGGCAGAGGGGCAGATGGGAAATGAGACACAGAGGGCACAGACACGCACTCACCAGGGCGGGGTAGGAGGGATATCCACTACATTTAGCCCAAACTAGTTTAAGAGGCTCCAGAACAAATGGAGAAGCAGCGGGGGGCTCCCACACCTCTACAGAAACAACGACAAGCACGTTATGAAGTGTTCACAGCAACAGACACAGAGCACAACCAGTCTGCAAAGAACCAGGCTGCACACTCTCACACACACACACACACACACACACGCACACACTCAGCAGCAGGAGTTCACGACTTCCCCAAACATTCACGACTAAGAACAAAAAAAAAAGGTAAATAAAAACGAAATTTGACGATTTGGAAACGTTTTAAAATAAAATCCATCAGAGAGACGGAGAAAAACACGACTTTAAATGTTGAAACTGAAAAATGTTCTGATCCGAATCCTCATTTTCACTTTGATGTCAACGACATGGTTCACATGGCAATGTGTTTCATCATCTCCTCTTTTAACAACACTGTACATGTTGCTCTTCTGTTTCTGCATTTAACAGGATCTCAGCTGCTCAACAGTCGGAGTGTTTTCAACGAGGGAAGAGTCAGGACCGCATCAATAAATATATATATCACTTTATCAATAAATATGTTATGGCGCACAAAAACATCTTCATGGCTGAGACTGTTTTTAAAGAAAATAAATCATCTTGGTGAGGAAATATGGTGATTTTGTGTTCTTTACCATTAAAAGTAGCAGCAACATGGAGCGAAAAAACTGGCATAAAAAAGGAAATACATCGAATTTTCTAATCATCATTTTTTTAATGATCAGGGCTGAAGTTGTTTAGGAGATCTGAGTCAAAAAAAGTTTTAAAATTTTGATTTTATGAGTACTTATCTGCATGTCCATGTTGGGGACAAAGTAGGCCAGATGGAGCTTAAAATTAACAGGAATCGAGGGTTAAAACTGAGGATGCAGCATCTATGATTTCCAGTTCTACATTAAAAGGACAACTGGACTTACTTGAGACGTTTCGCCTCAGAGGAAACGTCTCAAGTAAGTCCAGTTGTCCTTTCTGAACGAATATCAGGGTTTGAATCCCGGTCAGGTTTTGTATGATAAATATGAATTATGTAGAAAAAGATCACGGTATTATATGATAAAAATATATTATAGTATATCATGATAAAAACTTCAAACTCAAGTATGGAAAAGTCATAGTACTTTGATAAAGATATCATACTGTAGTATGATACAGAAATGTTACCGTATACTATGACAAACATTTTAAATTTCATCCAAAACCAAATTTTGTCTATTTTTTGACACCAAATATACTGAAATGGGCAAAATGACGTCGGTTACTGTCGTAAATTTCAGTATCAGTAAATTTTCAGTTTATCACCCTGCATACATGTCGCTGACGTCAAATTGTTTATTCTTATAGCAAAGACACATTTCTGTTTCAACACTTGAGATTTTAGTTTTTTTTCCCGGTCAACAATCAAATAGAGTTTTTAATGAGTTTATAATTTAGAGTTTATGACCATCTTTCTTCTAAATGTGATTTTCATGTGAGTGTTTGATTTTGGGGACTTTTCTGCACACTGAGCTGAATTTAGTGACAGATTCGGAGCGTCTTCACTCTTGTTTATTAAAACTTATAAGGAGCTTCGATCATTCGCGTGGTCAGTGAGACGGCTGACGTTCTGCACACCTGTAGAGATCTTTGCAGCCGCAGGAAGCTCGCCGTTCTCTTTGCAGGACGTAAGAGTGCTTTTGTCGTCCACCGTGCTCCGCCGAGCAGCCGGCCGTCCTTTCCCAGCTTTAGACACGGTGACGGTGCTGCAGGGGGGTCAGAGGAAAACCAGGATAAGGAGCTTGTTGAGAGGCGAGGAGCCTTTAAGAACTCAATGGAGGATATTTCAACAGGTTAAAGGTCATTTATCGGAGTGTTTATTTCAAACCTCACCTGGTGCTGCAGAGGACGCTCCCGCTGGAGGAGATGCTCGACTCGGAGGCACAGCGTCGGCGAGGCTCCAGCAGACGAGGAGTCGGGGAGACGTCCCTCTCCTCTTCCTCCTCCTCCATCACAAAGCCGTTCGCAATACCTGAGCAACAACGGACGTCTTTAAACATCACAGGAGACTCTCCGTCACGGAGTCTGAGTCAAGAATCTAAGATTTGGTACCTGTGCCGAGGCGTTTCATCGGCGTCTCCTCCTCGTCTTCCTCGCCGTCGGCACTGCAGCTGCGTTTCCTCTTCTTTGGCAGGAGGAGCGTCTCCAGTCGAGGGATCACCACGGACAGGAAGGTTTTGGCGCCCAGGGGTGACGTGGGTGAGGTGGCGCCCTCGTGGGTCTTGGGGGGTTTCTTGGGGCTGACGCTCTTGGACTTGCGGAACAAGTTGTTGGTCAGCCGGTTGCAGTTGCCGGAGGCTTCGATGTGGAGGTTCCCGTTGAGGAGTGGCGGGTCCAGGATGTGCCCGTTCGGGGTGTCCGAAGGGAGCACTGAGGTAGAAGTGTCTTTGTCGCAGTCGAGCTCCATGGGTATGTGGTCCGAGCTGGGTGTGCGGGTCTTAAGAGGGGGCTCCGGGTCGCTGGGTAAGGTATCGAGCGTCGACAGGGAGGTCAGCAGCTCGAACGCTGGGGGAGGTAAAGGCTCCTCCTCCTCCTCCTTCAGTGGAGTCGGAGGCTCTGCCACAGGCTCTGGTAGTGGTTTCTCCTCTGGCTCTGGGGGCGCCGTGCTGGTCTCTGGAGTGGCGGGTTTCTGCTTGGGGAGGGGCTTCTTCAGGCCCATCTCACTGCGGACCTCCATGATGGTTTTCTTGAGGAGCTTGAGCCTCTTGCTGCGGGACGGGCTGTGCTTCATGGCCGTGCTGAGGTCCAGCTTCTCCAGCAGCTCCTTCAGCTGATCCTTCAGGGGGGTCTTCTGACGGTAGGAGGGGCTCAGTATGCGGTCCACTGGGAGGGACACAGAAGGTCATGTTACATCAGTGTTGAAAATTCACGGTCTTCATGGTCAGAGGTCGGCGGACTCTGAAGTCTACAAGCTGATTGTGTCATGATGGGTAAAAATCTGGATTTATTGATAATCTATCAGAATAATTTAATATGACAGAGGATTAGGGCCACTTTAAAAAAAAAAAAAAAAAAAGACTTAGAGTATAAAATCATAAAAAAATCATGACTTATGAGAAAAAAAGTCGGAATAATTCATTATTTAGGGGAACAAAGTCAGAAAAACAGATTTATTCACAAGAATAAAGTCGTAATAAAATAATTATTTACTAGAATACTGTTGTGATATAATCATTATTTATGAAAATAAGTCGTATTAAAATAATTTCTTTAGAGAATAAAATCGATATGTATTCATTGTGAATATGGTCAATAAAAAATTATTATTTACAATAATAAAATCATAATAAAATCATTATTTACAACATCGTAATAAAATCATTATTTACGAGAAAAAAATTCGTAATGAAATAATTATTTAAAATAATAATAAAATCGTAATAAAATCATTATTTACAAAAAAAGTCGTAGGAAATCTATTATTTACGAGAATTAAGTCATAATAAAATAATTTCAACAAGAATAAAGTCGTAGGAAAATCATTATGAGCATAAAATCATAATAAAATCATTATTTACGAGAATCAAGTTTAAATAAAATCATTACTTAAGAGAAAAAAGTTGTAGTCATAATAAAATAATAATTGACAATAATAAAGTCGTAAAGTAAATGAAGTCTTAAAGCTGCTTTAGTGGAGGAGGAAATGTCTGAACGGGTCGACTGTAGAGTTTTCTGTGGGTGCATCAGTGGGACGTCCAGAGAGCTTTTGTGGTTTCTCAAGAAACAATCCAACTGATTACGAACTTATTACGACTTTATTCTCTTAAGTTATTATGAAGTCTTAATTTTTCTTCCTCAGTGTGGCCCTTATACTCTGTCGTAATTTAAAACAGACAAAAACAGACAAAAGCGTTCTTTATCTGCTGACTCACCATCCTCCCAGGAGAACGGCGGTGGAGGCTCCTGTTTGGGAGCTTCGGGCAGGTGTAACCCGCTCGGGAAGTCGAAGCCGATCCTCTCGGCCTCTCTGCGGGCCCTGCGGAGGATCACTCCTCCGTGGTCCTGCATCCGCTGAGCCGCCCTGTAGAAGAACGTGTCCTTGGCGTTGTAGGACAAACAGTTGGAGATGATGAGGTCGAAGTCCTCCTCAAACTCCTCCAGGCTCCTGTAGTCGTGGGCGTCGATGCGTTTCCTCATGGTGGAGAAGTCCATGGGGTTCTTGATGTGGTCCAGGTAGTCAGGGACCTGCAGAAGACCAAGGAGGCTGAGATAAAGCTCTGATGTTTCTCAGATAAAACTCAAACATGTTTGTTTTTTTAAACCCTCCACAGTTTTGAACAGTGACGCACCTCCTTCACGCTGACGGGCTGAGCGAAGATGCTGTACTGGTCCTTCTCCTGCAGCTGCTGGAGCACGGCTCTCAGCAGGATGCTGAACGGGGTGAGCTGGACCTCCAGCACGGATTGCTGCAGCTTCATCTGACAGAAGGACAGGCAGAACGACAGCTGAGTACAAACACTCCCACAAAGTTCACACAGCGAGAGGTTACCGGTGCAGACGGACAATTCGAGTCATTTCAAAGCAGCGAACAGAAACTGTAAATCGTCATTAGACCGCTGCAGGGAGGAGGAGGAGGAGGAGTCGACTGAAGGTATTCTCCTCCTCCTGGATTAGAAGAAAAAGTTTGGAGAGATCTAATGATAACATGACCCCACCTCCTCCCTCTTCAGCTTCTCCCTCTTCCTGATGAGCTCCAGCAGCAGACGCGCTCTCTCCAGGTCATGGCGAAGACGGTGCCACTCCTTCAGCTGCTCCTTCAGCGCCTGGTTGGTCTCCATGCGGTCCTGCAGACAAACGCAGACAACGTCAGAAAGAGCAGCTTTAAAAATCGGCTTCTGGAAACCAGCGAGTAGGGGGGCCAGCACTGACCGCCTGCTTGGATTTGGGCGGCTGAGGAGTGGCCTGCAGCCGGCGGATCAGCGGCACGTTGTTCCTCGACTGCCTCTTCTGCACCCAGTAACTGAAGACCCGCTCGACGAAGTGACGCTTCCTCTGAACAGCCACCTGGTTCAGGATGGTGTCGAAGCTGAAAGAAAAACAGAAACTGAAATTGATCAAAACGTTCTCAATAATCTGAAGGGTTCCCACCCTCTACAACACGATAACAGCGTCAACTAATAACTCAAGATCCTTAAACGCCGGTCTACCTTGAAACCGTGATACTGGGTCCAGAGTTGGCCGGGGTCTCAGGTTCAGGTTCGGGTTCTGGCTCCACTTTTTTACTCTTTTTTTTCTGCCAGCCCTTGGCTCGAGATTTGGGCCTTTTCTCCGCCCTCTTGTGGCAGGCACCGTTTTTCGGATGTGGCTCCAGGTAGATGTTGAGCGGGCGGCGATCGCAGCCTCCGGGGGTGTGGCTGCAGCAGTACGAGGTCTTCTTCACGGAGAAGGTGGAGGCCCCCGATGACGTCACCTCTTTGACGGGCTCCATCTTCATGTAGAGGCCGGCTTTCTGGGCGCAGCTGACGTGGAAGGCCGTGTAACAGTTGATCTTGTCACACTGGATACAAGCGCCCACACCCTTCTCTTTACAGAGGTAGCAGGTCAGCTTCCAGCGCGCCGGTGGGATATTCCGAACGCCGTCGATGGGCTCGATGAAAACGGTGTCAGAGAAGCCGACCTCAGGCACCCACAGAGCGCACGCTACATGACCCCATCGGTCGTCGTCAGTCTTCTTTAGGGCTCCGCCCCGGTTCGGACAGAAAACGCACTCCGCGGGTCGAGACGGGCACTGCAGGCAGTGCCGGCACAGCCACTGGCCCTCGGGGATGTACGGCACCCCGTAGCACTCCTGGTGCACGGCGATATTGCAGGAGTCACAGAAGAGGATGACGTTACTGTCCGCTCCGTCCCCGTCCATACAGATGCAGCAAACCGCGTCCTCATCCACCAGGGACTGGAGGTCACTCTGACCCTGAGTGGCCGAGTACGACTCTTTCTCGAAGCGGTCCATGAGAAACTCAAAGAGGTTGTGCGACACCTGGCTGATACCCTCCCCTTTCCTCTTCTCGTTGATTAGCTCCAGCCAGGCGTAGTCCTCCTCGTCCATGTCGTACTCCACCTCCTCGTCCAGCTCTTCTTCTGTCCTCTCCACATATTTGTAATAAGCAGCCGGCCTCTTCGGCACCACCGGCAGATTGTATTCAACCGTTCTAACCTTCGGCTCTAACAGGCCGCTGGCGTTGCCGTGCGTGCCGATGCCGCCGTGCGCCGCGGTGAGCGCCGCGTTCTTCTTCTGCTGGTTGTTTTTGAGGCGCACCGAGCGCACCAGAACCTGCTGGGGCTTCACGTTGTTCTCCTTGTTGCTGTTGCACTCCATGATCTCCTGAGCGGTGGGGTCATCGTCGGTGATGACGTCCAGCTTGTCGTAGATGCTGAGCCGGTGCACGCGGCCGTCCACCTCCAGCTCCACGATCCGCTGGGCCTCTGCGTACGTCAGCGTCTCCCTGTTGGGTGACGGCTTTATGGGAGAGGAATCTCTCTTCAGGACAGCCGGGCGGTGGTGCCGACTTTTCTTCTTCATTTTGACGTCTTTAAGACCCTGAAAATCAAACACATGAAACACTGCGTCACTGATACGAAGTGGCAACACCAAGATTTCCTGTGGAGTAAGGAGTAGCACACAGAGCAGGGTGGTTTGGACCGAGCAGAACCCGCCCTCATGACTGACGGCCTGAACTCTGGAACAATGTCAGGCAGTTCCTGTGTTTTTACAAGGATGTGACCCCCAATCACAGACAGCCTGAGAAAACAGATCAAATACGTCGTTTTAACGCGTCACATATCTGTCCTCGTCATCTTTCACATCAATAATCTCATTCTCATTGACAAACATGCAGATTATTTCTCAGTATTTAGACTCTTGTTCGTAAACGCAGCATGAAAGAGCGTGTCAGTTTGATGCAAAGTCAGGTCCCGGCTCAGTCTTTGTTGCCCTCACAAATCTTTGCCAACAGATTTGGTCAGACCTTCACACAGCAGCGAGTCAGCTCTTGTGTTTGTTGTTGTTTCTGTTAAACTCTCACCTCCATAACGACAGATATGTGTGTTAATGTCAGTTTCTCTCTGCTGACCTGTATGTTCTCTTAACTCCCTGTACCTTTAATTCTGTGAATCATGTAGAAGTACGCTGACAGCTGCTGATCGTCCACATGAGCAACACAGGACGACAGATTCTTTTCAACGAGTCACCGTGTGAAATCTTCAACTGTCTGACACGAGTTTGATTATAAAACTGTTTGTGTCAGCTCAGAGTTCAGCAACCCGCCATCTTCAGTCCTGGGAAACTTTCTTACAGCCTGTTTCAAGGGTCTGAACTGAGATGGTTAAAAGGTGCTTCAGTTTGTTTTCCCTTTTACTTTGAACAAATTACAAAATCACCGACGGTCGACTCTGTCTGATTTTCTGATCACTTGTTGAGTTTGTAAGTACGCCTGCTCTCTCTTGGATTGCGGTCGTTACTTAAGTTGGTATAACTAGAGAAGCAAGCGGTCGGCAACATTTATCTCTGACTCGTTTTGTTTTTGCACAAGCTTCACTTGTGAATATAGGAGGGTATCTATTGGTTTGTGTTCTGCATGCTACTGGATGCCTGAAATTTCCCTCCGGATCAATTATTAGCAGTGCTGTTGGTTCAATAACTGGTAAGAGTATGTTTGAGTGTGCGTCTATCCACAACACTTTTGGCCAATGAAATGCCCACACTTCTCTGTTGTGAAGAAAGCAACGATGTTAATGCAATTACAGTTGTATCCTGACGGGAACAGATGGGACATGCAGATCAGTAAACAGCTTTAAATGTGGAGCCCCTGAGTTCCTGTTTGCAGATTAACACTTCGAACCCAGCTGGATCTCCGGCGATCCCACATGACTCCATTAATATTGTTTACAGTTTCTCAGGAACTATACCGTGTATCTCTACGGGATCAAAAGTGTTGAAAAGCTTAACCTTTTGGCGATCTATCGAGGGTTTCCAGACATTTCTACACCTGCCACAAGGTTTACAATCCAGCCACAAAAATAGGTGTTTGATCAGAGACGTTTGATGGTAAATCCACAGTGATATACCGGTGAAAACAGGATTATTTATTATATTGTTGTGATTAAAAAAAATCACTATCTCTAAATGCCGCTAATGTCTTCCAGGTTTGACAAGCTGTTCCGATGACGTCTTTTTCTGTCAAACTTTCGACCAATTACACGGTCTCATATTCTTCTTCTATTGTTCCCTTGATGGTAGTGTCCAATAAGAGACGAGAAAGTTCCCTGTTTGTCTGCAAAATCAGAAATAATGGTCCTCAATGTTTGGAAACAAGCAAAGAAGAGATTCTGAGCAGTATGATGTGGTCCTCTGTCTCATCCCAGACAGGAACTGCTTCAAGGAGCGGCAGAAACAACTGTAAATAGTAAAAAAAACACCTGAATGAGTGTAAATATGTCAATAGTTTCTGTTGTGCGTTTGTTCCAATCCCAATATTTCTTCTCCTGATAGCCAGAGAATGATGAGAGAATGATGAGAGAATGATGTGCAGGTGAGAAAAGGCTTGGTCACTGTAGATTTATGTGTTTTTGGAGCAAAGTTCTGTTGGTTCTGAATCTACTGTCACATTTATTTTGCTCCATAAACTGACAGCTGAGGTTGTCCTGAAAAAACAAAGATGTATTTATATTTGCCGTGTTTGAAAGGAAAGAGTTGATACAGAGATTGTTACAAAAAAAAATGGTGGACCAAAAATCGCAAAATATAGCTGGGAGTAGGGACATAACGATTACCGGTAAAATGATAAACCACGGTAAAATGTCTGATGGTTAGTACCACTGTTTCAAATTTTATTTACCGTTAAAACCGTGTTTGATCGCCGCACTCTGAAAAAGCTCACAGTGATACTGTTCAATGCTGAAAAGAGCAGACGCACACAGCAGTCCTGCGGACGCAGGCGAGCCGCACACAGTATACAAATTGTAAACATGGCAGAGGGCAGTTTTGGAGGCGGTTCTCAATCAATCAAATTTTATTTATATAGAGCAAATTCACAACAGTCGTCATCCCAAGACGCTTTTCAAAGAACAAGAGCAGGTCTAGACCACGCTCATGAATTATCAAGACTCAACCTAAGATGGGATTTGGCCCATCTCATCTAACATGAGTAACAGCGGCGAAGAAGAACTTCCTTTTAACAGGCAGAAACCTTGGGCAGGACCAGACTCATGTTAGACAGCCACCAGGCCACTGCTGGGTTGGGCAGGAATACAGAGAGATAAGGGGGAGAGAGAGAGAGAGGGAACCAACTGACCGACCGTGTTGAAGAGATTTTTCGCTGCCAAATAAAATCAAGTCCGAAGTCTGGGCGTATTTCGGCTTCTACAAAGGGTTGCGAGGAAGCTTCTGTGCATCCCAGCAACCAGCGCGCTATCTGAGAGGTCATTCAGTGCCAGCGAGCAAATCGTTTCCCCTCGCGGATCATGACTCAAACCAGGAAAGTAGATATCCTAATAGTTTGACATTTCAATCTGAAGTAGTGAACAGCAGCAGCAGCACCTTATTGTTTACATATCTTAAACACCTGAACTTCACATTTGTTTACATGTGGTTGTATTGTTTCATACAGTTGTCTTGCTCTGTTATATATTTATAAGAGTCGAGCTTTTTGAGAACTAAAGATTCTTACAATTTGCACAATAAGGAATGTTGTTTTATTTAAATGTTATTTATTTGTTATTATGTTCATGTTAACTAGTACTAATAATGATTACTAGTACTAGTGTTGATGACCTCTGGCTCTTTAAAGGCCCTTTAATTTGTTCATTCCTCTGTTATTTAAGGTTCAGAAAAAGTTCGTTCTGCAGTGTTTTTTCAAAATAAAACTTTGTTAAATGATTTCAGGACGTGTATAACTACTTTTTAAACATATTTCAACAACACCGCGATAATACCGATAACCGTGATAATTTTAATCACAATAATCGTGATCTTTAATTTTCATATCGTTACATCCCTGGCTGGGAGTCCTGAGGGTTATCAGTGTGTTTTCAGCTGTGGAGGGGGCGGAAACAGGCTGACTGTAATAACCTCCACTTGATGAATGAAACAAACGTACAGGGACCTCCACCCCAAACACAGGCCGACCTCCAGCTGCTCTGAGCCGGCTCTGCTCGGTGAACACCCTCGGCTTCCCGCTGCGGCTAACGTTAGCTCTACTTAACCGAGCCCCTACGTCGGTCTGAGCGGCAAACACGGCCTCCATTAAAGCTTTTTAACAACCTCATGTCTGATATAAGACATGACCACCCGGCGGTTCCCTCCTGACCTCCCCGGACCCCGGATAAACGCGTTAGGACACTCCGTCCACAATCCGTGCTAACGTTAGCCTGCTAGCATTACATCTGAGGGGGGAGGAAATATGGCGACCAACACAACAAGAACCAGTCTCCGACAGAGAAGATGGCTTTTTACAGGATCAGTGAGCGGTGTATACAGATGAAACCCCGTCCAGAGTGTGTGCTGTGATATAAACAAAGAGAGGACGGAGTAAGAGCGGACTTACCTCGGTGTTTTTCACGAATTTAGCTTATAAATCCGACAGCAATGGCGGCGCGGCCTGCGGAGCGAAGCGGCAGTTAAATCCACATTCAGTCCGATCATCCAACGGCGGCCGCGGCTCGCGCTCAACCGAGTCAAACCTGCGAGTGACCGGCAGGTATCCAGGGCGACGGAGCGGGTTTCGGGTGTTTCAGGTCGTTTGAGGATAAAAACTGATCGATATGATTGTTTAAAAGCGGTTAGAAGTGGCAGAGCTCAGCAACAGCCCGAGCTTCTCTTCCCCCAACAACAATGCGGTTGTGTGAGTCCGTACGCCGTGACGTCAGAACGCACGAATGGAAATCAGGAAGTGGTTTTGGTTGGTTGGTTGGTGGGGGGTTTTCGTGGTTCCCCTAAAAAAGGGAAATCTTGACTTAATTCACGTAAAAGGAGTTTGGGTAAAGCAGCAGCAAAATAAAACAGCGTTTAAACAGAGTTAGGGTTAATAAAATGAATAAACAATACAGATTTATTTCGAAAAACCGACCGAGATGTGAGGAAGCAACCAAAACAACAGCATGTAAACAGTCCTCCAGCAGAATGAATTGAATTTCATTAGATTCAAGTCCAAATAGCATGACATACAGCACAACATTAAGAGAAACAGAAAATATATAAAAAGATTTTTTAAAAAGTGAGAGACTATTAACCATCTGTTTTTATTCAAAGGTGGGGTAGGAAGGAATCCGTTAAAAAAGCACCTTTTTGTGGTGTATTTACAAAAAAGCTCTTAATATCAGTCAATACCTATTAGTTATTGATCACATTTGGTAATATTTATGTCTGTGTAGTCAACATTTTAAATTTTTCGAGCGGCCCGCTCTTTCTGACTGTAAACAAAGCTGTTCTCCGCCTCCCCCGACCTGATTGGTTGTGAGGCAGGCACTGCTCCTTAAAGGTCCTTACCATAGACTGTATATACTATGGACAACTTAGTTCCGCCTACCACCTGTATACAGATTTGAAGCCAAAAATGTTTCTTCATTTCCTGAAACCAGTGCAGCGCAGTAGCAGAGAGTCGCTGTGATGACGCTCGGCTCAAACAGCGTATCCCCCCGGGAGAGCTATGCAATCCCTTAACGCCAATAGGCTGTATCAGGTGTCAATCAAAGAAAACATGAACCCCCTAATAACTTTTAAAAACGGAGCTTCACAGAAAAAAAAAGAATTGAGCACAAACCAGTCTGACAGTAACTACATGTCAACATCACAACCAGGGGGAAGAAAAATTCATATTCTGTGTCATTAATTTATAAAGTTTGTCCACAGCTCCATAGGGATTGCTGGAGGAGGCGGGGTTTATGATCCATACTGCAGCCCATCAACAGAGGGTGCTGTTCTCGGAGTGGCTTCACCCAGTGAGGAGGCAGACTCTGTCCATTCTATATACAGTCTATGGTCCTTACACACCAGGGCCGATGCATATATAGAACGCAAAATTACAAAATATTTGGAGGCGAATTTTGACGCGCCTAACTATACACATCAAGCCTTATGCAATTTTGCGACTTTCCGGAGGGAAAAAGACGCAAAGTCCCGCCTCCTTCGCCTCTGATTGGCTAGAAAAGCTGGAAACGTCATCACACACTCAAGCCAAACAGTCAGCACTTATAACCAATCATCTTATTACCATCCTACAGCGTCCCGGGTGGCAGCGAGAAGACAAAAATGGAGTCAACTTCAACTTCAAGTGATGGCGAATTGGTCCTCCTTTAGCTTTCTCCAAAGAAAAGAAACGTAGCACACGGGTGCATCCAATATTACAAAAAAGAAAAGAACTTGGTGAGTTTCACTGATTGGTTCAGGAGCTGAAACTGGACCACGGTCGCTTCAGAACCTATTTTTGGATGTCTGTTGGACAATTTGAAGTTCTGCTGAAACAATTAGCTCCAAGTCTGAAGAGGCACAGGACTAGACACTAGACACTAATGTTGAGATGGCTTTCAGTTTCTATGATAGCATGTACTGAGTTAGGGCCAGTACCAGATAAGAACATTAAACTATGCTAACAACCGTTAGCTTACGTTAGCACGGATAAAAGTTCAAACCAAGACGTTTATCAAACTGTTAAAGCACAAAAACCATCGTCATATGAGAAATCCGACGCTATGACTCTCCTCAAGTCGTCCTTCAGGTCGTTATGTTTGTAATGTTTGTGTCTTTTGTCAAAAATCACTCTGTTCTCCGACACGTAAACAGTCAGCCGGTCGGCCATGTTGGATATACCGGTGAATCTGACGTCGCAACAACACGAAATCTGATTGGTCAAAAGTGGACACACACAGTCTGCAAAACTTTAGAAAAATCGACATGAAACAAAAAAATAAATGCCGCAATATCGCAGGACTGGAAAACGTCGCTGATGTGAACGCTTGTATTGACAGGATACGGGTTCAAAAAAAATATTGACGTCCGAAATAATCACACGAAAAAAACGGTCCCAGTGTGAAAGGACCTTAAGGCTGAGAGGTTTTCTGGAGAAAACTGTTTCAAAAGGGAAAAGGCCCCAAACCAGTTCTGGATGGCTGTGATCTGTCAGCCCTCAGGGGGCGCAGAATTAAAACATAGACAGTTTGTAGTGGTCCCTTTTTTCTTCAACTTTTTATTGAATAGAAAATGTGAACAATCCTTCCCTGTTAGTCAAGGACTCATTAAAAAGAAAGCACTCCTCAAAAGTAACACCAAAAATATTTGGAGCTCCCCCTACTGACAGGCTGGAGTACTTAACAGATAGGTAAAACGGTCCAATGTCTCCTTTGAGTTTTTGTACACGTTTTTGCACTCGTACGGATCAGGTGGACTCGGCAGGTTGCTCTGTCTCTTCTTGGTTGGGACAGCCGGGAGGAGCGTCCTCTCTGGACAGTAGGTTGCTCTTACGAAGGTGGCAGGCCTGCTGGTAGGGGGGACGTATGGGCGGCTGGGTGGGTGGGGTGTACTGATACTGTTTCCCTTCCTCCAGCTGAAGGAAGAAGACAGAAAAATTCAGCCGTGAACTTATGTAACCATGAAAGAGTTAAAGCTCCTTAAATAAATAGAGCAGTTTAACCTCAAACTGATCAGATATTTAATGGACTCAGTCAGGAGAACCTCGTTTCTGTTTGTCTCGGTAAAAAGCAGCAGGATACACCTTCAGGTCGGCTCACCTGTAGAGGGTAGGTCCTGTCGGAGTCGAAGGCGCTCAGGTCACCACACGCCAGGAAGGGAACGATGACCCGGTTTGGCCCCTCTAACTGGTTAAAGTCCACATCTGAAGCACAGAAACAAAACCCCAGACTGAGGACATCATTCTCACTGAAAATCAAATTTTGTTTCAGGACCTTTGAAAATTCTGCTGACTCTGCACTTTTCTGTGAAAGCCTCTTACTCACCGTAGGAATGATCGAGCAGAGGGTTGGACATGTTGGGGACGTAGCCCTCAGGAGGAGAGTAATTCTGACACACCACGAAGGCTTCTGCACAATAAAAGTTAGTTTTAATATTCTCACATGATTTTTTTACAGGGTCATGTTTTCAGTAAAATCTAAATGACTTTTCCAACGAGGATCGCAGCATAAATTCTCTAATCTTAGCAGTGTAAGTAAGATACCGGAGAGCATTCAACACCCAATCAGCTCATCCACCTATCCATCCATCCATTTATCTATTCATCCATCTAATCCTACCCACATTCCCATCCATCCATCCGTTTACCCCCTCTATCAATCTATCAATCCACAGTACGGTAATGTATATAGGGCCATGGTGATGTGGAATGCTCTCCCAGGACATATTATCCAAGAAAACAACAAATACAGATTTAAAGATCTAGTTAAAGAACATTTATTAGTCAAAGAGCTTCTTATTTAGATGAACCTGCTTTGTACAACCAATCAGTTTTATCTTAAGTCTGCGTATGTATAGGGTACAGTTTCTGTAAATTAATTAAATAACATAGAATGTATGTTGATATTTGAACATCTGATTATTTCTGAACTATAGCTACACTGTGAAACTCAGGTCCAGTAATATGTGTATGTTGTTTGTATTGTTCTAGTTTTGTTGTGAGTTGCTGTGGTTTTCAACGTTGTCTTCGTGTTTGTGGCGTGATGTTTTTTTTGTGTGTCTTTGTACTGCGATGGAGAGTTAATTGTAAACACAGACTCCAGGAAGAAGAGCGATGGCCTAAACCAAAGCTAATGGAGATCTATATAAATGAAATCTATCTAACCCACCCATCCAAAAGAAGAAAACTAAAGTAAAACAAGAATTTTTCTGTTTATGAGCAAAAAATAGCGATGAAATGGAGAGAATAACAAATAAAAATAAATTAAAAAAACACTCATTTAAAGCTACTCTGAGTTTTTTTTACTGTTTTATCTTTTCAACAAACGCAGAGGGAGAGAGTTTTTGCCAGAGTTCCTCACTGAAGCTTTAAATGTAAATCTCACCTATGCTGGAGTTCCTGCTGCTGCGAGGCTTAGCGCAGGTCACACCGGTGAAGAAGATCTTCAGCTGAGAGTACAGCAGAGTCACGTCTTTACCTCTGAAGATCTGAGGCACACGGGGCAGGAGGAGGTTAGATTATAACAGGACCTGATCTGTAGTCTGTGGCCCATAATGCACCACTGAACTTCACCCTGTGCTGATTATCCAGACTGACTAATACGTAAAAACCTCAAACAGACTGAAGTTCATTGACAGTTAAAAAGCTTTTGAAAGGTCTTACTTTAGCCACAAACGTCCCTCCGGGTTTCAGGACGTGAGTCGTGATGTTCAGAGCCTGAGAGAGACAAACAGCTGTCAGCATGACACCTACAGGTGAGCACAGCACACACCTCTATACTCACAGCCAATAAGAGCTGAGCCTGGATGTACTCGTCCACGTCATGGAGACCAGTAACTACGGGAAAAACAAGGAAATTACTCCTGATGCCTCAAACCCAAAAATATTAGCAGCGACATACAGAGGGTAAATATCTGGATAAAGAACATGAGTGCTTTACCGTCTGGAGCTCCGTCACACACCACCAGGTCAGCCGGCTGACCCTCAAAGTGTCGGATGATCTCCTGAGCTGTTGACACCTGAGAGGAGGAAGAGGATGCGGGTCACCTGACACAGCACAGACCCGCTTCTGTTTCCGATGCGCTTTAAAAACTCAGACACGCAGTGTGTCTTCATTTTCAGATACTGTGAGTTTACCAACACTAACACTTGAACAGAATTTCAGTTGTCCCCGCTCATCTCCTCCAAACACACTCTTACTCCTGCTCCTATGAGACATACGAGACACCGATCTGACTAATTCATTCATGTGTTGATTGTGTCCTCGCCTTAGTGATGTCTCCTTGGATCTGAGTGACTCCGGGCAGAGGGGCCATGGCCTGCAGGTCCACTGCCACAATCTTCACTTCCTCACCTGCATCACCCTTTTCTCCCTTTTCCTCCCGCCCTCTGAGAAAAAAATAAAAATATTCATAAGTAAACTTAAAAAAAGTTGACTCAAGAAAACAGTCAACTTAAAGATATAAGGGTCATTTTTGTTCAGGTGTATCTCTGTGAAACGAAAACATAAAAAAGTCAAACCTGAGTTTCCGACTGAGGACCTGGCTCCAGCTGCCAGGAGCGGCGCACAGATCCACCGCTCTGTTTACACCTGAGAGGGAAAGTCACACTTGTAGATTAAATTTAGGCAAATCAGACATTTATTAAGATACAGCAGACGAGTACAGGGAAGCACAAACAGATGTCAAAGGTGCTTTTAAGGGCCTGAAAAGGACCAGAGAGCCCACTGTTATGGAATTTTCCCCTGTGGGACTAATACAGGAACATCTTATACTTGAAGAAACAGGTAAATGACCCATTGACTGCAGAGGGTCCCTCACCTGTGAACAGGTTAAACTCTTCGTCCAGCTGCAGCAGTTTGAAGGCGCTCCTGGCCCTCCAGCCCTCCTCTTTGGCCAGACGGTAGTAAATATCCCGCTTGTCTTTGGAGGACCGACCCATCCTGACCTCTGACAGACACACACAGACATAAAAACAGAGCTATGCCAACAAAATATCACCCTTTTATCAAATATTTAGGTGTGATTGGTTAGTTTATAGCTCTATAAATAAGGATAATCTGTAAAATAGCACCAAAATGAAACTGTTCGATTGTATTTTTATGGCAATTTCACGGAGAGTCAACTTGAGTCCATTATCACGAATGATTACAACCAATGTCAAGATTTTATTAAAATATCTAAAAATTGGTGTATTCTATGTTAACCGAATTCAATAGTGACTTTTAGTTAATATAAAAATGCATTAAGTAAAACATGATGATCAATCTTATTGCGCTGCGGACCTTGTTAATTATTTTTTATTCAGATTTTGTACAGAGTTTGGCTCAGAGCGTACAAAAACATGATATTTCATGGCTGTTTGAGCGTATCTGTTTAATGTTAGGTAAGTTGACATCCCCATGGTAGATATATGTACATTTATTTAAAACAATAAACATCAGAATTGCAAACTTAAGACGTATTTTAAAAGCTTTTCTTTACGTACAGTTCACATGTGGTTCCGTTGTTGACGGTGGAAGGCCCCCCTCACAGTACGGCTGTCCTCACAGCGCCTGATCAAAATGACGCCCCCAAACCTGCTCAAGAGTACCCAGATGCAGCGCCAAGATGGCGGACCCAAAGATAGAAAACCACATTTACAAAACGCAATAAGTTTCCGCATTACCTCCGATTGGCGGACCCAAAACATGAACTTTGAACTTCTGCTTTGCGATGCCAGAACAGTAGGTGGCGGTATGTACCTACACTTTCTGACGGCAAAATTTACAGGAGAAGAAGAACTCTCAGGAAGTTTGAAAAGAAGCAAGCCGTCCGCATTCATTCAATCTCACATCCGACCACTCAAACTAACCCTAACCCTGCATTCCATTGTTTCCATCATGGGAAATCTAAGTGACGCTCTCAAATTAACAGGAACATTGCGCAGAAGATATGTCCTGGGCAATGGACTGAGAAAACGGGCAGAGATTTGGAGGTATTTGTGCATGCTCTATATTACAGTTGAAAAGTGTATAACAGCTTTCCAATGCTGTTACTTGTGGCGAACACCTTTTTGCTTGAGTTGATGCGTGCCCGCAGGTGGAATAATGTCACATGTCACACACATTTTCTGTTGTTTTGATTTATTTACTCATTCATCATTTTATGTGCGCACCTCTCCTAATCAACCCACCCATTAAATAGACAGGCACAATAGCACCATCTGCTGGCACAAAAAATACATAACAATAAACTGCAAAACCCCAATCTGGCTCCTACAAAGTGTATGTGACAAGATGATTAACGTTTGCTTTTGTTAAATCAGGGCTTCCCCAGCCAGGACTTCGGCTCAGACTGTGGCATATTCATGTTGATGGTAGGTCATAACGAGCTGTAATGCACAAATATTGTATCTAGAATAACTTTCCAACATGGACTTTTTTAAAGTTATCTCACATGTTGTCTCATAATTTTTTTTTAAAGTCTGCCATGTACATCGTTATGGAGTCACAGTTTGACTACTCAGTTGTAAGTACTTTTCAACACGCAGTGTCATCCTCAAGATTGTATTTTGTATTGTGCACTAAAATGAAATACAAACAACAATTTCAGCATGACATGCCTGTTTGGCGGCGATGGTGGTGCCTGTTGCTCCTGGAGAACAATTCTTTGAACAGGTAGACAGTTTAAGTAAACTAGATGTCCTAATTAACTGGAAGACAATCAATATATTGTACTTAAAGACATATTGTCATTACAGTTGTGGGAAAATCTTCGCCCACTGGACCAAAGAATGTCAAGAGCTCATTGCTGGAAAGCATACTCCGGTCTTCAGTCTAAAGAGGAAGGCAGAGCAGCAGGACACAGAGGTTAGGAAATTGCCTTGTAAAAACAGTATTATCTCAGTGGGAGTCCTTCAAAATGCACACAGTTGTATGGATCAACATTGTCTCGATGTATTTGGTAATTGATGTTACTTTTCAAATTGCCTTGTCAAGGAAACCATGACGCAGACGGTATCGGATGTCCAAAGAATGTGCATGGCAGATTCAATGCAATTCTGTGTCTACCAGACATCGAACAACACAGGAGAGAGGTGTGTTGCAGACTCAATTTAATAAATGCAATTATCGGGGCCTATTCAGTGATTTTCCATGAAGTGACCACTTTTACATATAGTTTAAATGCATGAATCATGCAGGAAAATTATTTATACATTCAAATGTGCTGCAGAGGTATAATCAATTGGACAGCGTGTTTGTTTAATATTATGTTTGTCTCTCATTTGATCAGATTGCTTTACCCTGAGGTAAACGTCATAAAATGGGTCCAGTGCAAGACGTGCAGGGGCTGGCTGCATCAGGATTGTGCTGGGATTGAAATGGAGCGGTTTGACTGCGGGTGCGAGGACTCCATTGAGCATCCTCGGTGTAACATAATTTATCAAGGAAACATAGTATCAGTCAAAAATACGAGGCTCAAAGGATGAAAAAATGAGGGCTTGCTCTTTTCTTATTTCTCTGCAGGATCAAGGATGCTGTTGACAGTTGAGGAATTCATGCTGTCTTTTCTAAGACACAGATCAAGGTTGCTTTTGAATGCACTATCAGTTGTTAAAGCCACCGTTTCTTTTTCAGATGATTACATTTTTGTCTCTTGCTCTTTGGTTTCAGACATTACACGATGATCTACTGTCTGGAAAGATCCGCTCCAACAGAATGTTCCTTTGGAGGAATCCCGCCACCTCACTCCGACTAAAGCAGCATCTTAAGATAAGGACACTAAGTTGGAGTGAGCAGCGCGTAAGTAAAAATGCCATCCATCATGAGTATTTTTACTCTCAGGGGTGTTACATTTGAAAGGTGTTTACTTTCTGTGTTTTTCTTCAATAGATGTTCGAGCTCCTGCGGTTCATTGAGGTGGCAACAAACATTTCTAAAAAAATAAAGAGAGGCGAGATTTATCTGCTTGATTTCGTTTTTGACGTCATGCTCCCAGAGGTGAGTAGATCAAACTATATAGCTTGCTTTGAAAAATGATGATATTGTTAAGAGGTTGTTCTTATTCATTTGGAAAGCTCAAGAACAACAATTAACCCATACTGCATAACTTCAATTGTTCACATTATTTGACTGTTTTTCAGCTTTTGATCAAAGCACTGAAGGAGCATGGCATCAACCGGTTCAGAGCAGAGCTGATGATGGCCTGTGGCAACGTGTTTTAAGCCCCCCACCACACCGACGGCAGTGCTGAATTTTGTATATATATATATTTTTTTTACTGTTCACAATTTTGTTTGGAAAAAATTAAAGAAATCTTCAAAGCAGTTGTATGACAATTTCCCATTTCTTTACACAGTCTGTAATGATATCGCTATTCAATTGTTTTTGCTATATGGCTCTTCTGAACCTTAAAGAGATCATGTGACTTGTGTCTCTACAACTATTGTATACTTGGATTTTGCACAGTCAAGCAATCCTGAAGAGGTTCACCAGGAAGCACACCATTTCATAAATGATGTCCCTGGTTACACAATGTTACTAAAGGATGGGGGGAGTAAATTTGTGCAGCAACATAAGCACTCTCATAAAACATAATTATGAACAACAGAAAATATGTGAGGGTCAGGGCAACATTGTTGACATTAAACGAGGTCCTAATAGGAGTGGAGAAACAAGGTCACAGAGAAGTTAAGAAACATTGATGTGCTGTGTAATAAAGCTATTGGAGAGAAAAGTTAGAAAACACTGTTATATGATGTGTAACGAGAGGTTAAAACAGTCCATACTTGTAGCAAACTCTTACAAAAGAATTTGAGTAAGATGATAACTTCTACATACATTTACCTATTCTGACAAATTATCAGAATATGAGGACATCAGGCTATATATACATATTACTGTAAACTTCAGAATTAAATCAGAACAAAACAGTAGTCATAATTAATACATAAACGTTTTATTTTGATTTTTAGCTCAATAATAAATTTAATTCGATTCTTATGGAATGAACGGAGCAAAAAAAAAAAGGATCCGGCGACTAAATCCGACTACCTGAAGTATTTCGGCGCCGGAAGTCCGCCAACGAGAAAGCCTTTCCACCGGAAGTAATTGTTTTGGGTCCGCCAATCGGAGGAACTTATTGCGTTTTGTAAATGTGGTTTTCTATCTTTGGGTCCGCCATCTTGCGCTGCATCTGGTCACCTCTCAACCTGCTGCGATGTTTTTGCTCAACTTTTCTAATAAATTCCAAATAAATACATCAGAAGATCTAAATCTAAATAAGAAACAACACCATAGTCTTAAAAGTATACTATTACATATTCATAACGTTATTTCCCTTAAATTGGAAAAACAGTAGATCTAATGTCTAATGTTTATAAGTTTTTTAAACATAGATTTTCATTTTAGCGTCACTTGAAATAAATTGCAATTGAAAGTTGGAGCTTGTGTTTGTTTTTATTTTCAGAAAAAAGCTGCTGATGTTAACTCCCTAATCTTTTTGATTATTTGTGCTTTTGGTTTCTTCATTATTATTATTATTATTATTATTATTATTATTATTATTATTATTATTATTATTATTATTATTATTATTATTATTGTTATTAACTGAGAAGGACTATGAATGTACTAAAGGGATAAAGTGATTTTACTCCAGAATTGAGTTAGCAATAATTTATTTAAAGCCTCTGTCTGGAGTTTGGCACCCCCTTGTGGACAAACTTATACCTCTATATCCTTACAGTAGGACATGTGGTTTGTGTGTCCACATGGCTCACAGGATAAGAACATTGACTGGGACTCCTGACGTCATGGGTTCAAACCTTATTCAGGTTGAATTTTAAAGTCCAGGAGCAAAAGTACCAAGATAAAAGCACGCAGAGCTCATCCCCAACTGCGGATGGTCTCCGGTGGCGCAGTGTGGTAGACATCTAACACCCTAATGTGAGCCATGTGTTCTGGTTGAAGACCGGCTCCTGGTTGAAAACCCGCTCAGCCCAGGGATGTGGGGTTAAAAGGGGGGGGTTTGTCGCCAAAAAGAAAACGAAAGTCAGTTATCTGGAATTATTTCGGTTAAAAGTAGAATGATGTCAACCAAAACATGTGTTCTGTGTTCATCTGTCGCCACAATAACGTCCCAGCACAATAAAAGCTAAAAATATCTCTGAGACAGACAGAAGCCGTTCTAACATTCACAAAAAGAGGTAAGATCAGAGCAGGTTAACTGTCCTCAAGACTTCAGCAGTGCAGTATAACATTAAATGTTATTCAGGTCATCTGGTGAAAATTCCTATATTTTTAATATCGCAATATATATCGCAGGGTTGAAAAAAATCGCAATGTTATTTTTTCCAATATCGTGCAGCCTTACTCTCTTGCTTTGTGCCTGGTTCAGTAAACTGCACGTGCAATTTCAGCAAGGCATTACATCACTTGCTTACTTGGCATCCTACACACGAAGATTACCGAGCAATCCCGATGTTGAAAACTGTCAGGCGGCAGACTGAGGAGAAAGTTGTAGCAGCAGCTAAACGTGTCGGCTTCAAAACCACGAAAGGTAGAGAATGAGAACAGGGTGTTTTATGGCGAGTTGACCGAGTCATTTGCATTCATTTTACCCGCAGGAAGCACACAGCCAATTGAAAGTAGGCAGTTATTGGCAATACAAATGAAGTGAATATTTCAAAAGAGTAATGCACTGTAAAAAAATAAATAAATAAAAGTCCCTGGACCCAGGCCTGCAGGAATTTCATTCAGGTGGACCCACTGAAAATTTATATGAAGACCCCTGCTCTAGACCTTCAAAATTCACCAAGAAGTGGGCAAGGTTGGACTCGAACCTATGACCTCAGGAGTCACAGTCAGTGTTCTTATCCCCTGAGCCCCTTGGACACACTGGATTATACCAATTGTTTCCTGTTTCACTTTCCTGTCTAGACACTAGACTTCAAAATTCACCTTGTCCCGAAAAAGGCTCGAACACACCACCTCAGGAGTCCCAGTCAGTCTCCTTATCCTGTGAGCCTGTGATTCTTGATTCAGTGGTTTTGTGTGAAATGTCAATATTGTGTACAATATTTGGTGTTGTCATGACTGAATAAACGACTGCTACTACTACTGCTTAAAATACAAATCTTGGGGTGATCATTTTTTGCGTTTTATGAACTATTAGGTTCGTGAAACGTTATTTTAGCTCATAAGATATTTTCCTTTTTGCACAAATTCTGTTTCTATTTTGTAAGCCTGTAATCAAATATTTTTACATTTTACACTCATGAAGAAATACTTTTTGCTCATCTTCACGTGTCTTTACTGTTCGTGTTACAACTTTGAGGATGTTGGAGGTTGATGGGAATCATTCATCTGTTCGGGAAAAAATTGTTTATTTGTTCCTAAAAATGTGAAAAAAATACTAAAATACTAACCTTACACTGAATAAAAGTGACTCAGAACAATAATTTTACCGGTTTCAGGTCAAACAGTAAGTTGACAGTTTGATTTCTGTAAATAAACCCTAAAATAAAGTGTAATTTGAATGTCTATCACCCTGGATTGCTCTTTTATAAACTTTGAGTTAAGTGAAATCTAAAAAAAAAGTTTCTTTACACACTGAAAGAAGACAACAGGCAGAAGACCGATCTTTATACAAAAACTTTAATTTGAATTCTTTATGAAAAAATATGTTGTTTTCCATCAGATCAGTATTTATAACATGAAACATGTGAGCGGAGTTATGACTCTTGACCTGATGTCAGAAAACTCAAACTGAAGCTCGATTCTGACCCGGTTTTCAGAATTTATTAAAAAAATAAAAATATTAAGACAAATAAATAAAGAGGAATGTCTTTTTACATAAATAAATGACACTAATGTTAAAAATATACAAAAATGAGAACCTGTACATACATTGCATTGAATGTGCTCAGAGGGAAGGACATGAGAGGTAGGGGAGGTAAGGAGGCGGAGAGACCTGGATGTTCTTACGAAGCTGACTGAACTCAATGGAAACTAAATAAACGTGATAAAGACGCTGCATTCATGAAAACCATAAATAAAAAGGAGATCAGGTCAAAAGTAGCACCAGAGAGGAGTCAACAGTCAGGTTTGCTTCTACAGTAAGATCTCGATGATTTTTGTCTTTGTTCTCAAACACTAAATACAAACGGAAGGATCAGAAACAAACACACGTCGACTCCAGAGAGAGAAGAGTCAAAAAGTTTTGGTATCTGAGCTGCGAGCCCAGGTCTGCTGTCCTGAACCAGACTTCACAGAGGTGTGTGTCGTAGAGAGTAGATTGTGTGTTTCAAGTATCCCGTAAAACCAACAAGTGAGGGTGGGGTGTGGAATAAGGTAGACGGCCGTTTATGGGGACAGTCTTTAAACTTCAGGGTTGATCTTTGTGGCAAGACGATGTGGTTCCTGTCTTCATTATGAACTCTTTCTGCACTAACCTCACTGATTAAAGAAGAGACCAAAGAGGGCGCACGTTTACTTTCTGTCTTTTTGCCTTGAGTTTGAATACAGCAGTGTGCCAAGTGTGACAGGAAAAGGGTTAGTTTATACACACCTGAAGGCTCATTTATGTTCAACCTTACATACGGGTGGAGCTCTCCGTCCGTGCTTCACGTTCTCTTCGTCCGTATTTCTGCACATATCTTAACGTTTACAGATACTGGCCAGACAGAGCTGTACCACCGGAAACCGTGGGGGCGAGACCGCGTAGGGTGACAGTTAGATGCTCTGCACCACTCACAGGCGCGCTGTGTGACTTGTGGTGCCGGATGTGGGAGGCCACCCGGCTAAGCAAGAACATCCTGAGGTACTGGATGAAAATGACGATCGTTGTCAATTTCTCTCATCGGTACAACTAAAGAAAAGATTCTCCGTCCTCCAACCACGGCTTTTAGAGGCCCGACCGACCAACGCCTCCCCTCACCCGGCCTCCGTTTCTGTCTCCTATGCTAAATATACATTATCACTAGGGCCCGACCGATTTATCGGATAAATCGGCCAATTTTAGCCCGTTTGAGACTAATCGGTAATCGGCCAAAACTCGCAGATTTTCGCTGATGTATTCAGAAATAAAATGTGGAGAATAAGATTTGGTTTCCCTTGAAAAAGTTCCGCCATTTGAAAAGTTCCCCCGACTTATCCTGTAGATGGCGCAGCGACCTCATGACAGTCTTTATGCATGGGGGTGTAAACGCTTTTCCAGTCCGAGTTTGATCAGTCAGTCTTCCTGTCTGCGTGAAGAGCAGTAACCTACAGTATATCTGTATTTTTGACAACTTCATCAATTTTTAAAAAAAACGGCCGATTAATCGGTAATCAGATTCCCCCCCTCTAATAATCGTATCGGCCCCAAAAAATCCATATCGGTCAGGCTCTAATTACCACTAGCTCCTCTACAGTTGCCATGTTTCTTTTTGTTTGTTGTTATCAGAAACTTTTGACCCCGGCCTGCCCCCTGGTGGTTGTAATGGTTGCCATCATAAAGGACACATGGAAGTTTGTGGGCAGTGACAGAACCGGACGCGTACATTTTCAGATGTACGGTGAGCATAAATGAGCCTTAAAGGGGACCTGAGGTGGGCACACGTCTTTAAATCATCATACATGTTTCTTTGTTTTTAATCACTCCTAAAGTACGCTCATTAAACATCTTTTTAAACCTTTAACTTGTTGAATCTGTTTTTAAAAAATTGCCTATTTTTTCTTTGCCAAACCTCACACCTGAAACGCAGGACTGAGGCGGCAGACAGCCTCCAAACTGAGGAGGATGGAGGATTGCACCCTGAACAGACAACTTGAACAAGATCAGATCTGAAGTCAACGTCTCTGTGAACAGATTAATAGTCAACAGAGTTCAATTGATGCCGGACTGTGCTCACTTTAGAGGACAATAAAACTTTAAACCTTGTGCACGTTGTAAATTATGAATATTCAGATTTTTTCTTACAAAGTATTCGTCTGTTAAGTGTTTTGCAAAGAAATCAAAGAAGTAACACATGTTGTTTTTATACTTCCATCAGGCTGAGACTCAAAGTTCTTCTTTTGTTGCTCATCCTGGAATCTATACGAACTCAGTGCAAATCAGCCTGACGTTAATCAAGCCCTGATATGCAGCTTGTTGCCATGGCAAAGCTCGAACCACAGCAGCAGAGAAACCAAAGGCACTATGACGCAAAAAAATAAAATTAAAAAACAGTGATGGTGCTCTATAAGAGCTACTCTCGTCACGCTCGACACGTCAGAAATCAGTCCAGAGAAAAGTGATTCAACGCAGCAGGACAGCTGTCTATCAACTCCATGTCCCGCCCTCTGGAGCCTTAAACCAATCAGATGCTCTGCTGGCTGGAGGAGGACGTTGAGGAGGAGGAGGGGTCAGCTGTGATGGATTGGAGTGTGATGCTGCTGTCTGATTTCTGCTCGCTGCTGCCCGTCACCCATGGGTGGAGGAGGATCTGCTCCAGGGTTGGCCGGTCACACGGCTGCTGGCTGAGACACCAGCCAATCAGCTGCTGGCAGTCTGTGACACAAACGCAAGAGATGATGAGGAACTTCAACAGGAAATTACACCTTAAAACAAAAGATATCTTTGCCCTGAGTTTCGCCTGTCAGGCAGAGCTCTCTCCTCTTTCCTCTAAACATGGATCAGGATCCGACCGTATTTTGGTTCTCATGACCTCAGCAGATTCGACTCTTTCGCTCTTCTCGCTCATACTGACCTGATGAGACTTTCTGTCTGAAGCAGAGCCGTCCTCTCAGGATCTCCTCGTCTTGTTCAAAAGGAATGTCCCCACACACCATGTCGTACAGGAGCACGCCAAGCGACCAGATGGTGGCAGAGCGGCCGTGATACCTGCGGAACCGGATCCACTCTGGAGGACTGTAGACCCGTGTACCTGCAGGGAGGAGGGAGGGGTCAAACCTCAACTTTGGAACAACCTTCCTGACAAGCTGAGGCGTGGAGGATCATCAGACTCACCGTCAAACTCTGTGTAGGCGGTCTCTTTGAGGAGCGCCCCCGAGCCGAAGTCGATGAGTTTGATGCATCCCGTCCTCAGGTCCACCAGCAGGTTCTCGTCTTTGATGTCCCTGTGGACGACACCGCAGGTGTAGCAGTGACGCACGGCCTCCAGCACCTGCAGGAAGAAGCCTCGCGCGACCGCTTCGTCCAGCGCGCCGCGCTCTGTGATGTAATCGAACAGGTCCTGCCCCTGCTCCAGACACTCCATCACCAGCAGCCAGCCGTCCATCCGCTCCCACCAGTCTAACAGCCGCACCACCCCGCTGAAAGTCCCGCCCACTTTCTTCAAGAGCACGATCTCCAGAGGGACCACTGAACCACACTGAGGAGCACAGAGAAAGACAAGGATTACGACCTGGACCGCAAAAGTGCAGCAGAAACGTCAAACGGAAACGGTTCGTTCTCCGGGCGTCGCTTGTCACAACATCACAAATTTACTCGACTTTAGAGAAAATTGATAGTTATAGCAACTGCTGAGTAACAGCAATGTGAGATTTTGGCCATACCCTGCCAGCTGCATTACAACTCCTGTCAATAAAGCGAGTGTGAACATTTTTTGATGAAGCTAAAGTCTATTTAGAGGGGAAAATATCGCAAAATACTCGACAAATCCAGTTCTAAAATGAGTTTTAGTCTCAGGTTTTCTGTGGTGTTAAATCCTGAGACCCTGAGCAGAGTTACTCTTCATAAGAGCCAGATCTTCCACTCTTTGTAAACAGAAACTTACATATCTATTGGTGTACTAACTCTGTTTACGATATAGTGAATTGATTCATGTTCTGTGTGTGTAAAATAGGTATAAAAATGCAGGTTAATCTCACCAGAGAGCCCCACTCAGACACTCTTTCTCTGCACACATGCTTCACCGCCACCTGCACAAAACAAAAACCTTCATTAGAAACACGCAGCGTCTCAACCTTGGTGAATAACAGACTCTGTTACATAATTCCTTTAAGAGAAGTTACAAAACAAACAGCATTCATGTGAAATCTCTGCCATGGTGAACAGGAATAAGACGCCTTTTGTTTCCTGCTCCAGCCTCTGAATGTTTTCTTTGTTTACTGATTAACTGGATTTCTCCTCTATGTTTGAAAAGCTGAAATAAATCCGTTCATAAATGTAAAATAATCACCTTCTCTTTGAGTCAAAACAGAAATATTCAACTATTTCCCTGAAAATAGAGGGAAGATCTCAGCTTCTTTGACCATGCTTCTTTGTGAAAACAAAGACCACATGCTAGACAGGACTGAACAGATCAAGTTTGCCAGCTGACACAATTCAAACAGGAAGTTCAGGGGCCAGGCGAGGCTTTCAAAATAAAAGCACAGGCTCAAAACAGAATCCTGGATTCCCAACATTATGAGGTGAATCTAAAGTTCAGAGGTTTCTGTTTTCTTTAGTGACAAAAATAACATGGAAAAAAAGAAATAAATTAAAACTTTTACATTTGTATGACTGGAGAAGGAGCAAACATGATGAAGACAAAATGAAACCAATGAATACTTAAGAGTAATGAGTTCACCTCATTGGAGTATTACTAACATACCAGAACGTGCCTGTGACTATTTGCAATAAAATCTGCATTCATCAGTTGCAATAGAAAACAGTTATCAACATGTGCATCAACTAATAGATGGCCAGCTAGTACATGTCTTGTTTTCAATTTAAGTACTAAGTTAAATAAAAAATAATTAATAAGATTAGATTAGATTCCACTTCAATGTCATTGAGGGGAGTACAAGGACAGGAACAACGATAAAATAAGAATGACACTAATAATATACAAGTATTTACTGCATCTTTAACCCTCCTCCTGTATTAGGGTCTGCACAGGACTGTTTTTATTCTAAATGCTTAAAAGAACTTCATAAGTTAGCTTTTTTGCATCAAGACTTTTTGACTTTGTCAGAAACTTCTGTCTCAGCAAAATAAAATATAGAACAATTAAACTAACTAAAATTATAAAACGTGTTTTTCCCTGCACAAAAATAACGTGGGGCTGTTTAGACATGTGAGATCAAGTCAGTATAGATGTCTGTATGAGTGTTAAACTGACAAAGAAAGGCCCAAAGGCCATCTACAAAAAATATTACAATCAATATGTTCATGGACAATGAAGCTTAACAAGGTTACCTAGAGATGAGAACCAAACTGGATGATAGAGAATTGTTTTTAGTGTAATTTTAGTGGGTGCATGGTAAAGACTAACACAAGAGGAAGGTTAACTCAATCGATTCCGATTTAACTATGATCGGTAAAAAAAATAGCCAGCGCCGTTTTATTTTGAAAGGTCGTGACCGGAAGCAGAAGCTCTCTCCGTGTAACTTCACACTGGGATCCGCCACCATGTGCCACCGGCGAGACACTGGGACCAAAACAAAGCATCACCCCGCGCTTACCGGCAGACCATCGGCGAGGCGAACAGCCGAGTACACCGTCCCGAATCCTCCGCTACCGATCACCGAACCCAGCCGATACAGCTTCTCGAACGGCTGCTTCTCCGTCTTCACTAAAAAAAAAAAAAAAAAGGAAGAGAAAAAAGACGTTAGGATTCATTCCTATGATTTAGGCGGCAGAGGCCCTGACACGTTGGATCAAAATTGTAACCCACGTTTTCAAAATATTAAACAGTTATGACACAGTATATATCACATTTTCATAAAGACAAAAAGGTCATAATATTTTCTGTCTATTATCTACTCAGATAGAGAAAAATCCCTAAATCCACGCGGCCACGAAGCTCCGTGTCCTCAGATGACCCCTGTTGTTCGGAGCCGTTTAAATATGGTCGACGTACAATAGCGACGTCCACATGTCATGATGCCCTTCAGAAAGCTAACCCTTCAAACTGTTTCTGTGTGTCTGAACTAAACGATTAAAATAAAAACACCGGCGCGAAGCCTTTATCGAGAGACGGTGACACTTTTAAGCAGAACACCTGGCTTTTCAAAATGGCTCCTCGGCGTGTTACTTAAAGGTCATTCAAAATGAGCCGTTAAGATGTGTGGATTTAAAACTATACGTTGTTTTAATTCCCTCAACATTCGCCAAGCTTGAGCCGTTAAATACTAAATCGACATATTTCATTTGGTGTTGAACAAATTTTGGATTTACATCGTTCTTGTAGAGAAAAAAAGCTGCTTTTATTCCCATTATCCACCGGTTTGTCGGTTGATGTGTCGCGCTGATTTTTGTAACCCATCCGATTTGTGACCTGATGTGACCCGGCATGGAGGTTTTCTTCACGGCATACCGGTTGAGGTTAGATAAGGACAACAGAATCAGGTCACTCAGTGTCCGAGGTTAAAAAACTACAGTTTAACACCAAAACATGATCGTTGTTTTAACGTTTATTACCTTGCTGGAGATGAAACTTCGCCGGCAGATCCATGCTTGGTGAAATGTGAGACAACGAGTCCAGCTTGGAAAGCAGCATACTGCTCGTGACTTTTCCTCAAAAACCACAAGCACCACAGAGAAATAATATCAGGTTATATATCCTCAAAAATACAAAGCAGTCCTCAAACAAACAAGACGAATAAACGACTAAAATCCATCAATAATCCGGAGAAAAATCCAGCCAGCCTCCACGGCATCCAGCGAAGCGCGCCACTCTGCCTCTTGCCCTGCAGCTGCCAATATTTACAAACAGTACATAGATCCTTCCGCCCCCGCTCATCGTTGAGTAACACCGCGACCAATCCATCCCATACCCACAGTAACACACCTAGATAAAAAGAGATATACCAAATCGTATTGATCTCTGGTGGATTTTACGATCTTAATCACGAAACGAGCCCTGAACAACGAGAGGACACACACGGACTATTTTTACGTAGTAGGACAGGCGCAGGAATAAAGAAAGGGTCAGTATGGCGGTGCTGCGGCTGATCAGAAGGAGAAGGAGGATGATATTGGAAGGTCAAACACTTAATTCTGCTTTATTTTACACCAAATAAATAGATTTACCTGCATATCAGCAGACAAGGTCCTTTATCTACTATCATATTTTTCTAAATTTAGTCAATAATTATAACAGGCAACAAATTTATATCGTTTAAACAAACAAAAAATACTATTTCAAAATTGTAAACCCATACTTTTTGTCTTTTTCTTACATTGCAGACACATTGTGATAGATATAAACAGCAATAACTGATTCTTTGGCCTCACGGGTGAACCTCATCATCTTTGTATTTGGATAGAGGACCAAGGTATTATATTTTCTATCAAAAAGGAAAATGTTTTGTATATTTCTGAAGTTTTTGTCATTGACAATGCCGTTGTTGTGAATCAAAGTCTCAAGGTCCTTTCACACCAGGAGCGTTTTTGTGGTGCGTAAATTTCAGACGTCAATATTTTTTTCGAACCTGTATCCTGTCAATACAAGGGTTCACATCAGCGACGTTTTCCCTTTTTTTTTTTCGGATCATGGTCGATTTTTCTAGAGTTTCGCATTCTGTGTGTCCACTTCTGACCAGTCAGATTTCGTGTTATTGTGACATCTGATTCACCGGTATATCCAACATGGCTGACCGGCTGATTGTTTAGGTGTCGGAGCTTGGTGTGTATAGTCAGGCGCGTCAAAATTCACCTCTGAATACTTCGTATATATTGGTGGTTGACCGAACAGGAATAGAGTACGCTTTATCATGCACAAAAAATTGCAGCAGTCTGGTTTAAAGATGATTTAAAATGAAATTGATTCAGGGTCAGACACACTGTAACACCCAGTTAGACACCCCCTCCAGAGATGAATGTTGCCGACCGCTTGCTTCTCTAACTTTAGTAACGACTGCAGGATAGTAATACAGAGAGCCACGCGCTCAACCAAAACGCCACTCTATAACCACAAATAATGCTCAGAACAGCACCTAACTTCATCAACAGGACATATAGGGTCACAGACATAGTACTAGACACCAAACATCTTTTTAACTTTGACTCATTTCTTTAGCAAAGAGACAAAACACAACTCACCTACTCTCTTCCAGCAGCCGCTTGTTTGTAGTGAGACCTCAGGTCAGTCCATTACGGACTACAGCGGGGTGTCGCAGCTCAAGGAAGAACATTTATGATCATTACTTTATCATTTCCTCGAAGTATTAATCACCGTATTAATCATTTTACAGACGCGGTTGTTCTTCTGTCTTAGCGTCTCGGTCTGATTGTATTTCCAGGAAGAAATTATTGCTGGTCGTGTGGCGGCCGGGATTCATTTAGCCGCACCACCTATGAGAAATACAGGTTCGATTGAAGAAGTCCATGCAGATTTGGATGCAGTGCAAAATAGGGAAGATGCAATATTATGTTGAAACAATATGCCGAACACTGACCTGTGCCTTTTTGACTCCACTCCCAGGGTGTGTGGGAGGGTTCCAATGGGCAGATTGTATGGAGTGTGAAGAGGGCCATGTGCAATAGTTTCTTGGGAAGAAATTATATTTGAGGATGTGACTAACTGAAGTCGTAGGCACATGGGGTAGTTTAGTCCAGGGTTGTGGCAATTTATATGTTTGGGGATTTTAAATAAATATAAAGTTTAATGATTTTAGTACCCCGGAAGATGGTAGCACCTGATTGGGGAGGGTATATAGGTGAACACTTCCTCCCAGTAGCTGGTCGATCCTGTGCATGAAGCTTTGTTCCTTTTATTGGGAATTGTGCACTGTTAATACTGTAAATAAATGCCCTCTGTGTGGGTTACACTCATCTCCTGCCTCTGCCTCCTTCTATAATCATGACCGCTCAGAGGGTCATTCCTACACTGTACATGTAAACAAGGGCCTGTATACTCACTCTGGAATATACTCTTTATGTTTACTGTCGAGGTTAAAGGGGAATCAACTTAGCCTTACTATCGTCGCCATGGCTGCATCCGTGACGAAGGATCAGTGCATGCTCTGCTGTCTTCGGTGATCCCCTCACACATAGAGATCCCTGATTGTAAATACTGATCATGTTTAATATTTGTGATTAAAAGTCAGGAAGGCTCTGGTCAGGAGTAACTTTAACCAAAACATCAAAACAACCCGAGTCAAAACAAGCCAAATTTTCACTCTAGGAAAGAGAGAATTAACCCTTCTGTGACCCCTAATCCTTCGACCATCGTGTGAGGGGATGAGAGTTGACATCACTCGAAGGATGTTTGTCTCCTCTCCTCTCTTTATGTCTGTAAATCTGTTTTCTGTTGATCTTCTTCTTTACATTCACTTACGGTGTGAGGAGGGAGGGGCTGACCCAGATTTGGACTTAGTGGGGTGATAACACAGGAGGTCATGTGACACCTCAGTCAAAACAATCCTACCACCCATCTCCAGCTATTTAAGGGCTGACAGAGGGGATTGTGGGAACTTCCTGACAAGTCCATCAATTATTGGGAGTAAATTTAGAGGAAGACAGGATGCCATGCAACAGTCATGTTCATGCAGTTACAGGGTCAGTCTCACCTAAAAGAAGCTCAGAGAAGCCCTCGCTCTGATACCACTGCACAGGTAGACATGGTTAGACTCTAAATGGCGAGATGTTAGTTAAAGAAACCAATGCGTAAGTGCAAAAAAAGCGCAGTTCCTCAAGTGTCCACTTGAGGTTCTGTGTTTAAATGTTCAATTTCAAAGACAAATGTTAACATATTTACAGTTTTTCCTCTTCAGCAGCAGATATCTGGACTTGTCCCTCTCCCGTCACCAGCATGAACGTGTCTCTGGTCGTTTGTTCTCTTCTATGTTTAGCTGCGTCTATTTTTAAAGCTGTGAAACAACTGAGCTGCTCTGAAGAGTGAAGCCGCTTCCTACCGAGTCACTCCTCTCTGGCTCCACGATGTGACTTTTGGAAACTTCTCATGTCGTTTTTATGGAGGATCTTTAACTCGACCAAAGGAGAGAGATGTCAGCGAACAGCAGAGAAGCAGAAAATGGCAGCAGCTGTGAGGGTGCAGACGGGGGACATGTCTCGGGTTTCATTTCAGCTAAGCTAACTATCGTGGTTGGAGACACTCACTTCTCTGAGGAGAAGATGTTCCTGGTTCAGAGCTGTGACTATTTCCAGGCTCTGTATCGCTCTGGGATGAAGGAGTGTCAGCAGGAGGAAATCCACCTCAAGTGTCTTCACGCCCGGGGCTTCCTCATCGCTATGGAGGTGTTACGAGGAGAGCAGCCCACCTTGGACGGTGATGACATCGTGGAGGCCATTGAATGCGCTGCGTTCTTGCAGGTGGCGTCGCTGACCAAACATCTCATCAACCTTATTGACTCTGACAACTGTTTGCTGATGTATCACACCGCTGCAACCTTCGGACTCATGGACCTTTACCACGCTGCTGCGCTCTTTATCCGGAACATGTACAGCGACCTGGAGGTGGAAGTCAGGAGATCCCTACCATCAGAGCTGATCTCTTACATCGAGTCTTTGACCCCAAGTGTTTTTGTAGCGGTGGGGGCCCATGTGACCTGCGGCGGGGATGAAACTGTCCATGCAGCCTCCAGGACGATCTGCTACCTGGACGAAACTTGTAATAACTGGAAGGTGTTAACGGATCTTCCTCTACAAGTCAGCACCTCCATGGCTGGAGTGACCGCTCTGGATAACAAACTCTACATCGTGGGAGGAGTTCACGGGCTTCACAAGCAAGTCGTGGACGCTTGTTTCTGCTATGACGTCAAAAACAACAGCTGGAGCAGGATCTCCAGTCCGACACAGCTGCGATACAATCTCAGCCTTGTGGGTGTAGATGGTCGTCTTTACGCTGTTGGTGGGGAATACGAGCGGAGGGTGATGTCTTCTGTGGAAATTTATGATTTAAGGAGTGAAAGGTGGGAGTTTGCCGCACATCTACCCCGACCTGCAGCTGGAGCAGCGTGCACCAAAGCAATGAGCAGGATATTTGTGTGTTTGTGGAGGCCAATGGAGACCACAGAGATCTATGAGTACATCTCCAGAAATGACGAGTGGAAGCTTGTTACGACTTTGATCAAGCAACAGAGTTATGGCCACTGCATGGTGGGCCACAGAGACAACCTCTACGTGATGAGAAACGGGCCGTCGGACGACTTCCTGCGATGTCTGATGGACTGTTACAGTCTGAGCTCGGGCCAGTGGTCGTCTCTGCCCGGACACTTTGCGAACAGCAAAGGCTCTCTGTTCACAGCCGTGGTCAGAGGCGACTCGGTGTTCACGCTCAACAGGAGCATGACCACAGAGTATATGGTTGAAGGTAAAAACTGGAAGCCCCGGCGGCAGATGAAGGGTTTCCCCAGAAGTGGATCTGTTTGGACGTTTATGCTCCAGCTGCCAGACGCTCTGATGCTGAAGTAACATTTTCTTCTGAATCCATGTGATCGTCCTCATTTTTAAATGCTTAGACATGTATTTTCCACCTAACTTTGTTTCAATAAATGAAAATGAAAACTGATTTATTGCAAACTCAGGACTTTCTGTTTTTTTCATCACGTCACCCGGAAACAACGTTCTTGTTGAGGTGTTTGTTGTTATACAGAAAACTCGTCCGGGGTTGATCCAGCTTTGACTAACATCTCAGCAGCGTGAGACCAGGTTTCGTCCCTCTAGTTGGGTCTAATCCTGCAGATGAAACCCTTTTTGAAATTTTGACCAACCACTTTTTCTAAAAATCAGTCCCACTCCAACCTCTTCTCTTTCCAGACGTCTTGCTTCGTCTTCTTCTTCTTCTACACGTAGACTAACAGAGGGTTTTCTGTACGACCACTCCCCCTCTGTTTTATCTGTAATTTATAAGCACTAATGTAAATCTGATGAACCTCATTCAGTCAGCCCGTCTCTGTGCTGCTGCTGCTGGCTGTATGTGAGCTCCAGTGTTTATCCTCACACAGAGCTTCTGTTTCCTGCAGCAGCCTCGGTTTCCTCCCAGCACAGAACCATGATGATGGCGATGATGATGAGGAGGAGGAGGATGAGGATGGAGTGGCAGAGCCAGGCACCACGGGCAGCCGGGCAGGATGCCAGCAGCAGGCAGCGGGGATAAATCTGACCCAGAATGAAGAGGGGAGGCAGGGGTCAGGCGGGGACACGGCTCTGCAGCCGCCGCCCTCCACGACCTCCAGCTTCAGTCCGGGAGTGAAGCCAAGAACAAGAGCTTTAACCCAGTGATGGATGAGTGACATTAATCAGGTTATCAGGGTCCGATCATGTGGTGTGAGGGTCTGCTGTCTGCTTCACTGCTCTTTATCACAATAGCACACTCTAAATTATCTGAATCTGTCACCATCAATCAATTTCACCTGAAAATTACAAATATGTATTTATATATTCTCCAACTTTCTTTTTTTGTATTTGCTCACTCACTCCTCTGCATGATCACCTAAACACACGAACTCTGTGAGACCATTTGCATCTGGACCATGAATCCTAAAACTGCAGGAACAAACTGGATGAAATCAGATCTGGACTTCAGAGACCTTCTTCGAACCACTTCTTGAACAAATTTCGTGCAGCTAAAGTAAAGTTACAAATCTGTCCGTAAACACAGCTTTGGATAAATTAGTCATGTTTAAAAATAAAGAAGGACATTAATGATTTAAGTGACAATAAGTAATATTTTCGTTGTACTTTAAAGCTCCTGTGAGAAACTTTTGGGTTGTGTCAATTTTGGCGCCCCCCTGTGGACACCGGGAGTCCATTTCCTGGACTTGTCTGTGTGAGTGGTGGCTCTTGATGCACTCCCTGTGAAGGTCCCCTAAGTTCTTGAACCTGTTAAGAAACTGGACTTTTCCACAATATCCAATAATTATCTTGAACTGTAAGCCGTGATCATCTAGATCCAAACAGGTCAAGTCTCAAAATGTTTACTTTGTGTGTGACGAATCCAGACTATATTGAAATTATGGGAAAATTAACTCTTTCAGGACTTTCTCTAAATTTTTGAGCTGCACTTGTATTTGTCAGAAACTTGCACTCGGCTACTATTGGCGACTCGACTTCGACTGGTATAAATATGTCTGATCGCACCAGGTTTCTACGTCTTTTATGAAGTGGTCATGGCCATTCTTGAACATTTATTTATCCTGAAATTGCTCAGGAGGATGTTTACCACTTGCATTAATTTCCTGGCCGTGTATAATCCTGTCTTCTCGTGTCAGTTTCGGCAGCTAACAGACTAACTTGCCCTTGTTTTGACTGCAGGCTGAGGTCAGTGATCTCTGTGTTTACACCCTCACTGTTTTCATGCCAGCGGCTCTGCAGAGGATCTAGGTCAATCTAAATACAGCCGCTGTACACACAAACACAAACAAACACGCACGAGCACGCACACCGGTGGTCTGAAGTGGTGATGTCACCGTTGACCCCGAGGCGACCTCTGATTTTCCCCCCTGACATCTGAGGCTCTCAGAGGAGTTTGACCTCCCGACATGCAGCGATTACCCGTTCCAATATCATCAATCACTCCTTTATTGAACCATTGATATGATACTGATACTTTTATTCAGAGTTTAACTTTAAAAGGACAATAAACCTTTTACTACTACATGATTATCAAATTGAATTTCTCTCGTAATTTACCCGTTAATTTTTTTTTCAAACATTTAACAAGACATGCAAAGGAGTGAAGTGCAATATGAATAATAAACTCAACTCAACTCAACTTTATTTGTAGAGCACTTTAAAACAACCACAGCTGAACAAAGTGCTGTACATAACTAGACAAAACAACAAGATAAAAAACAATCAAAAAACAATTAAAACAATGGATAAAATAAAAGCAGAATTAATAATAAAATATAGCTTCAATGTTTTTAAAAACTAATTTAAAAACATAGAAACAAATAACTAAAAACAAACCATAGAACACTAAAACAGGAGCCGAGTCTCATGCAGGGTTAAAAGCCAATGAATAAAAATGGGTTTTAAGACGAGTTTTAAAAATGGACAGTGTGGGGGCTTGTCTAATTTGGAGGGGTAGCTCGTTCCATAAAATTGGGGCAGCAACAGAAAAAGATCTATCCCCTCTGAGCTTCAGTTTGGACCTCGGTACCTCCAGGAGCAGCTGATCAGCTGACCTGAGGCACCGAGCGAGCAGGGGTGTAGGGGTGGAGAAGCTCAGAGATGTATGATGGAGCCAGACCATTTAAAGATTTAAAAACAAATAAAATAATCTTAAAATGAACTCTAAAATGCAATAAAGAAATAACAAGAAATTTAAAAAAACAAAAACAAAATTTGATAATGGTACATCAGCAAAAAAGGCGAGCAGAGCAAAAACACAAATGAGACAGGAGTAGGGAGTATCAATTACAACTGTTCAAAATGTATAGCAGGTTCAAAGTAGAACTCCTGATAAGCGTTAACCAGGAATCATTGGATGTCAGTTAGTCATCATTATATAAGAATAACTGCACAGTATTGATCAGACATTTGGTACATGCCCTCCTGCATATTAACCCCCTCTCAGTCTGACAGCTTTACTTCAGTGCATCATGATACTAAAGCTGTTTGTGCACGTGTGAATTTCCGCCTACATGTGCACAGCATGCACAACAACAGAGCGAGGACATTTTCATTTTCCAAAGGGAATAATCAAACGCAGGGTTAAGTTTCAATTTTTTGCAAATTTGTTCCCCAAAGGATTCAAATGTTCGTTCAAACATGCCATGCAGCGTCAGAGCTGATGGAAACGTGTGTTATATCTGTGAATGAAACCTCTCCAAAACCCCCACCTCCCCCTTCAGAATAAGCAGACAATGATAAGTGACGGTCATGAATATTAAATGTATGAATACATTTTCAAGCAGCTGACTGATTCAGTCTGCTCCCCTTAACCAGTCTCTGTACGGGATTTGAAGTGTGTGTGTGTGTGTGTGGGTGTGTTTGTGGGTGTGTGTGGGTTTAGGGGTGTGTATGAGGACAGCCGGTGAGGCGGCAAAGAGGCGTGGCTGAAGACATTTCTCACCAGACTGGAGGCAGCCGACCTTTGACCTCTTAACTCCTCTCAATATGTTTGTTGCACATTGGGGTGTTATTAGCATTGTTAGCAGCGCAGCGTTCAGGAGGCTGCCGGTGGCCGAGGGTCGTTTATCATCAGGGCGTGTTGTGTTTAGAGAAATACGACGTCATAAATCAGGATCATCTTCAGAGATGATGGACACATTTAACCATGAGATGGAGGAACATTTGGCGAAAAGAAGTCGAGAATAACTCTTTCCTTTTCTCCTTTTTCTAGGCGTTACACTAACAAGCAGCTGATTAGTGTAACAGAACGCACTCTCCTGGTCCTGACGGGACACTGAACATTTATATTCACGTTATTTTGAGGAGTCAGGTCGAAAGGTATAGTCCATTACGGACTGCAGCGGGGTGCCGCAGCTCAAGGAAGAACATTTATGATCATTTCTTTATCATTTCCTTGAAGTAATAATCATCATATTAATCATTTTTCACTGCAGACGCGGTAGTTCTTCTGTCTTAGCGTCTCGGTCTGATTGTATTTCCATAAAGAAATGATCATAAATGTTCTTCCTTGAGCTGTGTCACCCCGCTGTAGTCTGTAATGGACTGGCCTGAGGTCTCACAACAAACAAGCGTCTGCTGGAAGAGAGTAGGTGAGTTGTGTTTAGTCTCTTTGCTAAAGAAATGAGTCAAAGTTAAAAAGATGTTTGGTGTCTAGTACTGTGGCTGTGACCCTATATGTCCTGTTGATGAAGTTAGGTGCTGTTCTGAGCATTATTTGCAGCTATAGAGTGGCGTTTTGGTTGAGGTTTGTTCATGGCTCCTCAGACCGCTGTGTATTGCTATCCTGCGGTTGTTACTTAAGTTGGTATAACTAGAGAAGCAAGCGGTCGGCAACATTCATCTCTAAAAGGGGGGTCTAACTCGGTGTTACAGTGTGTTTGACCCTAAATTAATTTTATGCCGGAACATCCCTTTAAGCTGGAAGAACTCAAAGCAGGTGTTGCTAGCTCTGCTGTTATTTGCCACACTCATAAAAAAAAAAACAATTTTAAAATTGACCCAAAATTTTTTTTCAGTTTTGAGAGTTTTCCATTTTTTAGACAAGTCATTTGATTGCATTTTAATAAGACTCCTGATTATCTACTGAAAATTAAAAAAAAAAGAGACTTAGGTCTGTGTAACTTTGAGAAAGAAGAAGCACCACAGGGATGACTTCAAATCAGACGAGGGCCTTGACTCCCGTCTGACATGTTTTGGCCCCTGACAGACCCTGGAGGGCCCCAAAGGGACAGATGGATGTACTTTGTTATTGTGCAATCAGTTGACTAGCAGCCAGCCCCACCCACCCCCATGGTACCCCTCCCCCATTTTCTTAAGGTCATAGGTGAGAGGGTGAACGAGTTCATCTGGAGACATGGCTGCCAGAGCTCTGATTCCAATTCATTCATTAATTCATATATAACACTATTAAGGATGTTTTCTCCAAATCAGATGTTTCCAACAGGTAAGTGATTAAACTCTTTAACAAAACCAAACAGGTTTCTAGATGCTGCTGAAGTCATTGAGACTGAATCAAGCTGTGAAGCTACGATTATGAGTGTCTTATGAGTAAAGTTTTTTTTTCTGTTGATTGATTTCATGTGAGAGAAAGGTTTGATTTGACAAAAGTTGATTAATACCTGGTTAATAATGAGGATGGTTAACCTTCATACCATGTAAAAGGGGAGATGTGAGTAGGCCTATGGGATTGGGAGGACACAGACAGGAGGGATACAAACTGGTCACGTCTGGTCATGTTCATACAAATGAAATTATACGATTTTAGCTATTCAGTCAAAATCTTCCCATACTGACTCATTTACGATGTTTTTAGCTGTGCGTGAGGCGCAAAAATCAGTCTAGTTTCTACCGAGTAGGTCATGTGTGCCAGTTTACAGCAGGTGGCAGCATGTAGGTTGAACGGAGCCGCTGGTGTTCTGACAAATAGTGCTACCCATCGAGGTGTGCGACCCAAGCGGCTCTGCTCCTGCGCAGAACCACACTCCCCGGCAACAGTCACTACGAGCCCGTTTACGAGTCTGTTTACACGAACTTTCCAATAAATGTGTTGTAAAATATTAATAAAACACGTCAAACATCCCCAGACAATGTAAATAGATAAAGAGACGTGGTCAATTTTTATATTTTTGAAATTTGAAAGTGGATATAAGCGTATTAGTATGCATTTCCCTTTTTTCAGTCAAATGTTAATGATGAAACAGCAGAAGATATATGATTGCTCATTACTTAGGCTCATTTTTTTGTAATAAAGCACAGAAATTACGCGAAAAAAGCCGTTGCTACAGTTTCGCACCGTGGAAGCAAATCTGAGCAGAACACCGAAGCAGCAGAAGAAGGGGGAAAAAAAGATGGCGGCACATAACGCCACACAACATCCGTCTGCCGAGACCCAAGAGTTAATGCTTTATCGACGACTAACCACCTATTTACTGTCATACAATTTTAATTAAGTAAAACGTCGAAGAGAAGGTTAAAAAACAGGCTTATTTATATGTTTCTAGTGATGTCCAAAAGACCGTCAGAATGTGGTGTTTCGGCAGCTCGATGCCGCCATCCTGTGTCCCCTCACCGTAACGTAGCCTCTGAAGGAAAGTGAGGCTGAACTTTGCTCTAAATAATCCTACCATGCGGAGGTTTTGTTTGAGTCGTGTTTTATTTGACACAGATTTAGTCGCAGGTGTTAGTTCTCGGATTCTTTCACATCTTCGACACAAAAGTAAATACACGACAGCTCCCAGGTGAGTTCCCGTAATATTTCTTTCTTCTTCTGTGGTTTCGCCGGGAACACAAAGTTAACTCTGCTCGTCAGTGCAAAAGAGTCACTTCTGGGGTTCTACTTTAAACTTGTGTATTTCCTTTTATTAATCAAACTTCATCCCTCTATTTCACCATATTTCACTTATAAAAACATGGACGTTTGTCTGAAAACTGAAGGCACCTACAGTTCAACGTGAGGCTCATTTATAAAGTGTTGTTGTAGTGCTGTTATTGTCATAATAGTGCTCCAACTACTTCAGTTATGGTTGGCACAATAGCAAATAAAGTGGCTCCCTTATTCTTCGAGCTCGGGCTGCACAATAAATCTCAAACTTTCTAATTTGCAATGTAAACATGGAAAAAAAAAACAGAATTTATTGCAACAAATTAGGATATTATTGACTGTTTTCTGTATCAACATGTACATTCAAACTCTCAGACGAAGGCCTGGGTAGGATATACATGATTTTGCACCAGTAGAATATGTAAAATAAGGGTTTAGCCGGCTGTCAGCTAACCACAGATTATTGGTGATAAATTAGGGATGTCAAAATTGCTTTTTGGTTTTATTTTGGGTGCTGGAGAAAAATGTTGCAACACAGGTAACATAAAGCAGCAGATATTCAGTGGAGATTGAGCTACTTCAAACCAATATGCTTTCTTAAATGTTGTTTCCTATTATATATTGTACAATAAGGAATAATATATCTGCACCTGGCTGTGTTTTTTTCATGTTGTATAATAATTAACGTTTACATGTATTTAAAGAACTGGGAGCAAACACAAATAAAAAAGAGCAATGGAAAATAAATGTAGAAATATTAGATGCCCGTGATATAAAAAAGGAGCATCACTGATTTATTCAGAAATATGACAAATTACAGGCCAAGTAAAGTCCAAGTTAACACAGCTTTTGCTGTGTGCAGGATACAATCCACAGGATGATAGTGAGTTTATAGTCTGGCAATGATTAACTCAGGTGTGTAGACTTTTTGGTGACTTTACAGCTTGTACACTGAGGTAGAAATGGTGCAAATCAAACGCTTAACCACTAAGTGGGACTTCTGATTTGTGTCTATTTAGGAGCCCCCTGTGGACCAAGAGTTACCTCCTCTCTAACTGTTCAGTGTACAGGAGACCACTTTTAACTCTTTAAAAGAAAATATCTTATTGCGCTGTCACTCACTGTGAGTTTTTTTCTGTAGAACATATAATCAAAGGCTGCTCTATGGAGCTTTTAACCTAGCTAAACAATTAAAAATGCAATTTGTGACAAATCTGCACATGCATCTCACTGCAAACATACATCCACTAATGCATGAACCGATCCACAAACGTGTAAAGAAAAATCCGCCTTACAGATTTGTTGTGTTATTGCAGTATGCAGAAGAATCAGTGTTGTGTGAAGCTCTCGGTCCAGCCGTCCAGAGGACTCATAGATGAGAAGGTCACCGTCTTGGTCCAGAACACACTGCCTGGTTTCCAGGTGACCGTCCACGCCCTCCATCACAGTGAGGATGGACACGACTGGGAGGCGTTCGGACACTACACCGCCAACAACACGGGGACTGTGAATGGTACAATAGACTTAGAAAATTCAGGAAAATAACAGCAGATATATTCAGGGACTGGTGGTAAGATTGTGAAGAAAACAACAATTTTCTAATGTATGAGAGAATCAACAAATTGAGATCGTAATTTTCATCCCAGTTTCAGAGGATCCCAGCCTGGGTGGGACGTACTCTGGAGTTGAACAGATGGGTCTCCTGTGGAGCCTGCGATCAGTTCCAGGCAGCAAACCTTGGCTCAGGTAAGCCCTAAAAAAATAAAACATTCAGAAAGTACAAAAACACTGAATATGAAGTCCGAATCAGAGTCTAATCTTTTCCTTCAGGATGAGAAAGATAAACGTCCAGACTCCCATGGAGTTCAAAATCTCAGTGTACCAGGGTCACCGAACTGAGGGCTTCACCGATCAGGTGCCGCTGGCCGGTGTGGTGGTGGAGCGCTGGTACATGGCTCCTGGAGTCCGCAGGGTACCGATTACAGAGGACGGACTCACTGCAACCCTTTTCCTGCCCTCAGGTAAGATCAGACAGAAGTCAAGAGGATGACGTCCTCTAGGTAGAACTCAGATGTGACCTACAAATGGACCAACAAGTTTAGCGCCAGTCCTTTCAGCCTGTCAGAAAGCGTAATCTTAAAGGTGCAGTGCGCAGTATGAGGTCATTAAGAGACATCTAATGGGGAGATTGTTGAATGGTTCTTCCCCAATGACTCCTGTCACCGAGGTAACGGTGGCTGCCGAGGACCAAAAATGATCGAAAGGTAACATGGATAATAACCCTTATTTTTTGCTGTTGCCTGTTTAGATCTTTTTTTGTTTATTTGTTTTTGGAAGGTAAATTCTGATTTACTCGGATTCATGTTCCTGTTAGGCATGATTAGTCCGATCCTTCAGGTTGTGTGTGGATTACAGAGTGTGAGTGTACCCTGAGTTGAGCAGCAGGAAGTCTAAAGCAACAAAACCTCTCAGTTTAGCATGAGACACAAGGAGCTTGTGCTATAATGACAAGGATGAGCACCATAGATGGGGATAGATTGGACCAGTATCTCACCAGGATGACAAAGACGTAGACCTGCAGAAAAATCAGGCGACATGTCCCCCCTCGTGAAAAACGAGAACAGAGTCAGCAGTGAGGAGCCGGAAGGAGGACAAGAAAGGCAGGGCTCTTTGTTGAAGGTCCATGTGGACTCACCCCGACTTCAGAACAGGTTGGACTGCTCCCAGCCCAACTTGAAGACATCTGTAAATCCCCAGGGATGTTGTCCACGTGAACGAGGCTCTACAGAGTGAATATATCACATCGGGTATCATGTTCTGATGTCTTTCTTCCTATCTGAAGGACCGGGACCTTTCCCTGGTCTCATCGACCTGTGGGGGGGTGGAGGGCAGCTGGTAGAGTACCGGGCAGCTCTTCTGGCCTCCCACGGCATCGCCGCTCTGGCCCTTGACTACCTAACTCCTAAAGTCACCATGGAAACTGGAAAGATGGTGGAGATGGATTACTTTGAGGTGAGCGAACGATTTAATTTGTTTGAATCAAAAAACAATCAAGGATTTCAAACCTGACATTTCACGTCTGCGATGAAGCTCATCAACAAACACATCATATTTATCACACTTACCAGGCATGCCAAAGGTCATGTAGGTCTGACTACAGGAGATACAAGGACGTTTGTCACCTGTTTTAAAGGTTCATGCTTACTGACTCAGACAAGAGTTTGACCCAGTTACTCAGATCACACCAGTGACAGCACCAGTAATCAACCCTTCTTTCATACAATAAAGTCATAACTTGAAGTAGGTCAACAGCCTGGCAGCAGCCACACTTCTGACTGACTGAAGGTGGGAGAGGTTTACGGCTCATCTCACATCTCAAGCAGTATTTGTAGTTCTCTTTTATGATCAGTAGGTGGTAAAATCTTGACTCACATGTCCGTCTTGGAAATGAAAAAAACCTGTAGGTCAGGATTTTAGTGTGAGAAGTATTTGGTCTGAAGTTTGTTTGTAGCTGTTTTGATCAGTCTGGGTGTCAAGAGTGAAAGCAGGTAGAGCTCAAACACGACGTCCGTCTCCTCATAGTGGTAACCACAGTTTCTTTAGAGGAGGCTGATCAGGGTTTAGATTCCTCTGACCACCAGAAACGCATCAGGAATGATTGTGATTGATTGCATCTTAACTAATGCTGTGTTCGAGTTACTTTGGAAGTCAAATGACGTCACACCTGAGTTACCAGCGTTTCAGTTACCAAAGCAAAATCGGAGGCGGTAACAAGATGGCTACATCTACCAAAGTTAATTTAGCGCTTACCTTGTCCTTGCTTATATTCGGACAATGTAAGCGCTGAAATAACTTTCGTAGATGTAGCCATCTTGATTCCACCTCCGATTTTGCTTTCTTCTGACTTCTGACGTAACTGGAATGCAGCAATAGGGCTGCCCATCCAGTTGCTATGGTAACTGTGAACACAGGAGTAGCACAGGAAGTTATGTTCGGGTTTTTGCCAACTACTGAATACAACAGAAATGCCCAAGAAGGAAGCCATTGTGATCCCACCTGTATCACCAATGTTAAAAGTGTGTGTGTGTGTGTGTGTGTGTGTGTGTGTGTGTGTGTGTGTGTGTGTGTGTGTGTGTGTGTGTGTGTGTGTGTGTGTGTGTGTGTGGACTAAAGCAAAGCATGTTTGCAAAATAAACTCTGCCAATTCTTCATCCATCCCATCCCCTGAGATGTTGCTCGTTTCTCCGTTTCTGGGAGGTCTCAGCCTCACCGTTAACATCCATCAATACATGACCTTCAGTGAACTTGTCTGCATGTTCTCCTGTTTCAGAGGGCCTACAGACTCCTGGAGCAGCATCCCCAGATCCTTGGCAGCAGGATCGCCATGTTAGGCCTGTCGTTTGGCACCAGTATGACCTTAAGAATGGCTGTTTACTCTCAAGTTATGAAGGTACGAGCCACTTTAAACGGCATGGTGAATAACTTCTTCACTTTCTCTCCAGGTTTTTGTTGCTCTCTGTATTGTGTCTCATCTTTGACCTTTCTTGACTTTAAAGACGACTTGTCATGTTTTTGGTTGTTGTTGTTTCTCAGCTCAGGTGTGCGGTGTGTGTCAGCGGCAGTCACGTGCAGCCAATTGAGGGATCTGTGAAACAAATATTGGAGTACTTCAACGAGTAAGTCAAAAACGATGCAGGTCTGATGTCTGGTTTAAGCCCTGTGTCTCGATCGCCGATATTTAAAACTTATCGTCAGTTCAAGTTTCAGAAGGTAAATATTTCTCTAATCCAATCAGAAACGGCGGAAAAACTCGCTTTAATGAGGAGAATCAGGTCATATGGCGAGACCTGTTACTGCCCATTCCTACCGACCCGGCGTTTAAAGTTGAAGTGAGTACCACACATCAGGGTTTTGGTGCATTTACTTCCATGTTCCCATCAGACTGTATTTTGTAGTAGCAAACAAGAGCCACAAGATGGCAGTAGCTACATTTACGTTCGCATTACTCACTGCCTAACAAAGTGGTCTGAATCTGGATTTAAGCACCATATCGATTTTTATAACTTGTTGGGGAAATTAGATTAGTCCAGAAACAGTGATTATGTGTCAATGATAAATTATAATCACATTTTCATAAAAGAAAGACTGATGCAGATCTTTCAAAAATGTCCTTGGAGTCCTTGAAATTGAGGGATTAACTAAAAACTTATGTTTGAGAATTTATACTTTCCTAAAGTCTAATAAGTTCTCAGATAAATGACTGGAGGCAATGCGAAAACATTCAAAGCGATGGCGGGTGATGAAAGCTGAGGTTGTTTTTCTCTGAGCAGGTGGGACGTCTGAAGTGTCCTCTGATGCTGGTTGTCGGTGAGGATGATCAGAACTGGCCTGCGCCAGAGTCTGCAAAAGACGTAAGTTTTTAATCAGGGACCTGAGCTCTGAACCCCGTTGAAACCCCGAAGATTCTTTATTTCTGTCTTTTGCTCTAACGGACGCGAATCAGGGGATCTTAACATGCTCCAAAAAACACAGTACTTCCCATATGCATCAAGCCTGGTGATGCCCTCGAAAAATACTCAACTGGATCCAAGTTATTTGCAAGACCCTCAAGACTCCCCTTGTTCGCATCCTCTAATACCAGCAAGAAGTCCAGGTATTGATTAAACATCTGATTTTAGCAGTTTACAGGGTGCATATTTGACCAAACTGACCCCAGAGTGGCTGTCTGATCAACTCCTGTGGTGCTATGTTTATGTTTATATTTATGTTTATGTTTATGTTTACATATATGAAAGGATGTGGATAAAGCGGCTCAGCAAACTTTGATAATCTTGTCATGTAGCAGGAAGTTACTCATACTGCATTCAGCCTGTTTGATTTTTTATAGATATGACCAAGATCCAACTGCCCATTTCTCCACAACATTCATAGCACCACCCAGTGGACATACATGTTACTAAATTTAACACACAAAGTATACCAGCCTCAAGTCTTGGACAGATGCATTTTTGTCATAGTTATCTGCCGCTCACTGGACACAGACGCAAAACTTCCTTTAACAGGCAGAAACCTCGAGTCGGACTGGACTGATGTTAGACAGTGATCTGTTGAGACTGAGCTGGGTTTATAGAGGGGAGAGAGGAGAGACTGACAGAGGGAGATTTCAAACAAACCAAAGAAAACCGTTATTTCGCCATCGTCCTTCGTGGGATTGCAGTTGTTGTCAGCCACAAACATATATTGATGGTGTACAGCTCAGCTCTGCTCTCGTTCATCAATGATCGTCGAGTAACACCCAGTAAGTGACCTCGCATTTTCACAGAGACCAGCGTTATCATCCACTGTTGTTGAAAACAAGTCTAAAATAACTTGCCGGTCGCTGTGATGGTCATGTCTCAAGGGTTTATTTTGCCTCCAGCTAAGCCCCGCCCACCAAAAAACCTCTGACTGTTGATTGACACTGAAAGGGTCTAGGCGTTTGTCTGTTTCATACCTAGGTAGAGTCTTTTCTCTGCGTGTGCAAGGATTATAAATCAAAGAAAAATAACTTTTGTGATAAGTTAATAAAAAAGTAAAACTTCAGTCAAAATGTGTGTTTATCGCTTCACAATTTTGCTCCATGTTCTTGTTTAGATAAAAGAGATGATGGAGCAGGCGGGAAACAGCCACCTGCTGACTGTCCTGTCATACCCAAACACCGGTCACCTGATTGAACCGCCGTACTCGCCTCACTTCCGAGCCAGCCTCTTCAAAACTGTGGACACGCATCAGAAGAGTGGGTTAAATCTCAGTCAGGTGTGTTGAGGTGGCACAGGTGACCGACAGGCTTTCAATAACTCAGGATGGTCTCTGTTGTCTTTGCAGTGGTGGTTCTTTGGGGCGGAGAAACGGTGGCGCATTCTCGCGCTCAGGAGGACGCCTGGAGGAAGATGTTGGTGTTTCTGAGAGAGAATCTATATGGCAGCTCAAACCCAAGAGCAGCTTCATTTTCCCATCTTTAACAAAGGTGATCACAAACTATGAGTGTCCACAGAGTTAAAGGCTCTTCCACTGATTGGATGGACGAAGATTTCCTGATTGTGTCACTACAAGCATTTTATATTTCTTTAATAATTGTTATAATCTCAAAAAGAAATGAAAAGAAAATTTTAAGGGTGAGCGCGTTTTAGCGACAGAAGCATGGCGGAGTAAAAGAGCGAAGAGAGTAAATAAACTTAAGTTTTACAAAAGAGCGACTGATTTCCAGATCCAGGTGGTAACAGTGAGAACATGAGCAAGAGGACCAATATTCAGTGGACTGATTGATGAGCAGCCAGTCACGGTTGGAGTCCAATTCTGACCATCTGCGGAGAGTTGCAATGAAGTATTTACTGTAGAGAAGGTGACAGGAGGATTTCTGGAGGTCATGAAACGTCATTTTTTTGACCTAATAATGAATTATTCATGAATACAATCTGCAAATAATACTTGAATTAAATCTGGCTGAAGTTAAAGGACAAAAAATCACAGTTATATTATATTTAACTTTTGCTAAATGTCTGAAAAATCTTTTTTTTTCTTCCAAGGAGTGTAAATAAAAAGTGTCTGATGACTTTTTGTTTTAACTTCTATATTGATTTTGTTAAAGTAGTGAACATGGGGAGCTTACAGGTGTACAGGTAGGAGGATAAAAAAAATACACAAAAAGCCCTTTTACTTGCAAATGAGCGGTAAGTTAAATTCTCCATGAAAGACTTTTACAGATTAAGTAAATCTACTTGTTTCTTGTTTTCATATTACTACGTATATCTATAGTATTGAACAAAATGGAGATGTGAATCTTATTAACTCTTTATGACTTAATGTCTGAAGAGAGGGAGCAACAAATTGATGTAAAGGAAAAACTTACGGGTCTCCATCAGGGTGACCGACTTGGTTCGTTGAAGTGTAAGGGCCATGGTCCCCTCCTGGATACGCTCCTGCTCAACTATCATAACATGTTTTCAGAGTATTATTGGTCAGTATGGTCTGTTTTTGGCAAACATTCACTGTACAAATATGAATAAGGAAGAAGGACAGAGTGGTTTCAGACAGAAGTTTAGTTTGAGTATTTCCCACAGAGACACGGAACACACCCTGACAGAAGAGAGGAGGAGCGACTGAAAGACAAACTAGGTTAATAGACACTTTTCCAGAAATGAAAGTGAAAGTTACTCTGAGTGTGAGCAGAGCTGCAGTTGAGGAAAGTCTCTGTGTTTCTCCGTAAAGACCAATTCAGCTGAAATTCTCCTGTTCTTCTCATCTCTACAGCAGAGTCTCTTTCCATCCCCGGTAAGTTCACAGACGTGCCAGGAAAAAATACACTGAGTTAGTTTGAAGCTCCGTTAAAACCGGAAGCTACCTTTTAATGCTCCCGATAAACCTTAACTTTATAACCTAGAAATGTGTCTTTAGAAATCAAACAGCAACCTATATTTTGTCAGGAGTTAAGAACAGATAAAAATAAATAAGTTAAAAAGATGAAAAACTAGTAAAGTAACTTGAAATTGCAGCTAGCTCATCTTAGCCTAAAGCTGTTGACAGCTAGCTCTAGCTGAAGCTAACGTAGAAACTTGATCTCTTTGACATCAAATAAAAACACGAACAGGTCAGACAGTAAAGTCTCGGGTGAAAAGGAACTGAGGATTCTGACAGGTGTGGTGTTAATTGTATTTTTAGAGGCTGGGAGGGACAAAGAGACAATAAAACAATTCAGTAACAAATGTAAGGGGATGTCGCAGCCGGTAGTCAGAGCAGTAGATTAAAACAGTGGCGACACTCCCATAGACATACGCTGTACAGCCCGGAGGACCCCACTTCCGGGTTATGGAACTCGTAATAGTTCCAACATGACCGCCTGTCACGTCGTTGTTTTAATCTACTGCTCTGCCGGTAGTGATGTGCAAATCGATACTTAAGTATCGATACTTCTATTACCAGCTCTTTATGCTCTAAAATCGATTCTCAAATAAAAATATCGATACTTTTAATACTTAAGTCGTTTGAGATAACTTTATTAAGAGGAAAAAATTAAGAGGAACACAGTGGAAAGTTACGTCACTGCTAAGAGCCTCTGTGTAATTGTCACGCGGTTGGTGGTACTTTTTCTTCTGCTTGGAGTACGTAATACGGAAGTGCAACTGCACGCTCCTCAGTCACTCAGGCTGTGTCTCAAATTAGGGTCTGCCACTGTGCATTGTTGTTATGTGATGCTTCTGATATACACACACACACACACACACACACACACACATATACATATATACATATATATATATATATATATATATACATATTAAAGAACATATATGCATTCATACATACAAAACTGCTGAGATCTTGTGTAATTATCACGCGGTTGGTGAGAGCTACTTCTTCCGCTTGCAGTGCGTAATGCAGAAGTGCAACAGCACGCTCCTCAGTCACTCAGGCTGTGTCTCAATTTATGGTCTGCCACTGTGCATTGTTGTTATTATGTGATGCTTCTTATATATTATTATTATTATTATTTTACAAGCTTCTCACATTTGTTTGCAGGAATTTTGGCCCATTTCACCTGACGGAACTGGTGTAACTGAGCCAAGTTTGTAGGCTGCCTTGCTCACACATGACTTTTCAGTTCTGCCTATAAATTTCCAATGGGATTGAGATCAGGGCTTTGTGATGGCCACTCCAAAACATTGACTTTGTTATCCTTACACCACTTTGTAACCAGTTTGGCAGTATGCTTAGGATCACTATCCATTTGGAAAACCTATTTGCGCCCAAGCTTTAACTTCCTGGCTGATGTCTTGAGAAGTTGCTTGAGTATTTCCACAAAATGTCCTTTCCTCATGATGCCATCTATTTTGTGAAGTATACCTGTCCCTCCTACTGCAAAAGAACCCCACAACATGATGCTGCCACCCCCATATTTCACAGTTGGGATGGTGTTTTCAGGCTTACAAGCTTCCCCTTTTTTCCTCTAAATGTAACATTGGTCATTATGGCCAAAACGTTCCATTTCAGCTTCATCAGACCACAGAACATGCCTAAAGATTTTATTTAATCAAACTAATCAAATATGTTGATTTAAAGAGCCTTTTTATTCAACTCTTAATAATTTTAATAGTGTTTATGTCATAGATCATAGACCTGTGGTGTAAAGCTTGTTGTACTGACTGAGTATGTTGTTGTGTTTGTGTGAAGGTGGGGGCTCTGCTATGAATCAGTGTGAGGACAGAGAGGAGGGGGCCCCTCCCTCTAAAACCACTCTGTGGGGGGAACATGAGAGCCAGACCAAAGCTCAGAGGTGAGATGAGGATCTCCAACTGTCCATGACTCTTCTCCATGTCAGAGCTCAGCACTCACATCACTCCACCATCACTATTATTCACACTCAGACCTCTGTCTGTCTGTCTGTCTGTCTAAGACCTGAAAAGCAGTCCAGACCAGACTCTCCTGGACCTGGACCTGGACCCAGCTGTGTGTCCTTAAAGAGTGACTGGTCTATGGGTCGACATATTGATTTTAAAGATGGACATCAGTCTGATCATCAAAAGTAATAATCTATAACAGCAGCACTCAAACCTGGAAGATTTTTTAGTGTTCTTGTTTCTTCATCAGTGTTTGTGTTTCTGTCAGAGTCAAACATGAAAGACCAGACTCTCCTGGACCTGGACCTGGACCTGGACCCAGCTGTGTGTCCTTAAAGAGTGACCGGTCTATGTACAGACCTATTAATTTCAAAGAAGGAGATATTTGTGATGAGCAAAGGTGAGACTTTCAAACTGAACTTTCTTTTGTTGTGTGTGAAACTTTTCATCCTAACTGTGGTCAGTGTTTTCTCTGTGAAGGTGAAGATTTTTCAGGGTTTGTGTTTCTATCAGGATCCAACAGCAGTAAACAGGATCTGAGCCACAAAGACCTGGACTCTGCATGTATCTTCATGTGTGTCTGTAGGAGGATCCAGCAGTGTTTCTACCAGGATCCTCTAGATAGACTCTCTCACATGTAACCCTGTGTCTCCTTATATTATATCCACTACATTAGATTCTGTTTGTTCCACAGAGTTCAGCAGCAGAGATCAGAGGTTCCCATTGGTCAGTCTGCCCAGCAGCATCAAACACAGCTGGACTCCATATTTATGGTAGGTGTAAATGTACAAACACAGCTCCTACTGATCATCAGAGCAGACACTCAGTATATTTGGAGGTTTCTGGATTGTTTCCTAATGACTCTGCAAACATCATCTCTGCATGAATTATCTTCACACTCACAGTTTGACTGATTGAATGAAGCCTCACATTTATGACCTGCACAGAGTCAGAGGTCAGAGGTCACGGTGGATGGTGGTCCAGGAGCAGAGTTCACAAACTGAGTCCAGTTTGAGGTTTAAAGAACAGAAAGACTTTGGTTCATGTCGATGACAGCTGCTGCTTTCAGCTTCATTCTAATAAACACATCACCTCTAAAGTCACTGCAGACTTTTTCTCCATGAAACCACACCAGGAGGTTTCTCCAATATGAAGGTCAGGTCATAGAAACTGGATTTGTAGAAGACAGGACCATCCACAAAGTCAATCCTGAAGCAGCATTGTGATCCAGTCTCCATGCTGGACTCTGTAGACCAGCAGGCTTTCTGTCTGTCACAGATGATCTGATGTTCAGTTCTACAAGTTCAAGTTCACATTTTGTTCTGTTTCAGCTGCTCCAGGAGAACATGATCAGCTTTGTAAAGGAACAGCTGAAGGAGATCCAGAGAGTTCTGAGTCCAGATGAACCAGAATACTTAGAGAGTCAAAGGGAGGATGAGGATGAAGAGCAGAGGAGGAGCAGAGAGGCATTTCTGAAGATCACTGTGAACTTCCTGAGGAGAATGAAGCAGGAGGAGCTGGCTGACTGTCTGCAGAGCAGTAAGAGGATTTGAAGAGATTTAACATGATGGAGACAACATGGGAGAGGTTTAGAGTTCAGACTCTGCTGTTCATATGATGCACACATTTGTATCACATCTATGAACTGAGAGAAACTGATCACAGCTGATGAGCTGAAGAGATTTCAGAGAGGAGGGAAATCAAATCCATCCTGATGTCTTCAAGTGTAAATTCATCAGACTGATTGTAGCTTCAGATGATTCATCACATTTCTTTTTGTTCATTCAGGATCTGCTGCTGCAGAGTGCCGACACAAACTCAAGTCCAACCTGAAGGAGAAGTTCCAGTGTGTGTTTGAGGGGATTGCTAAAGCAGGAAACCCAACCCTTCTGAACCAGATCTACACAGACCTCTACATCACAGAGGGAGGGACTGGAGAGGTCAACGATGAACATGAGGTCAGACAGATTGAAACAGCATCCAGGAAAACAGAGCGACCAGAAACAACCATCAGACGAGAAGAAATCTTTAAAGGCTCACCTGGAAGACAGGAACCAATCAGAACAGTGATGACAAAGGGAGTGGCTGGCATTGGGAAAACCGTCTTAACACAGAAGTGGACTCTGGACTGGGCTGAAGACAAAGACAACCAGGACATCCACTTCACATTTCCATTCACCTTCAGAGAGCTGAATGTGCTGAAAGAGAAGAAGTTCAGCTTGGTGGGACTTGTTCATCACTTCTTCACTCAAACCAAAGAAGCAGGAATCTGCAGCTTTCAACACTTCAGGGTCGTGTTCATCTTTGACGGTCTGGATGAGTGTCGACTTCCTCTGGACTTCCACAACAATCAGGTCCTGACTGATGTTACAGAGTCCAGCTCAGTGGATGTGCTGCTGACAAACCTCATCAGGGGGAACCTGCTTCCCTCTGCTCGCCTCTGGATAACCACAAGACCTGCAGCAGCCAATCAGATCCCTCCTGAGTGTGTTGACATGGTGACAGAGGTCAGGGGGTTCACTGACCCTCAGAAGGAGGAGTACTTCAGGAAGAGATTCAGAGATGAGGAGCAGGCCAGCACAATCATCTCCCACATCAAGACATCCAGAAGTCTCCACATCATGTGCCACATCCCGGTCTTCTGCTGGATCACTGCTACAGTTCTGGAGGATCTGCTGAAGACCAGAGAGGGAGGAGAGCTGCCCAAGACCCTGACTCAGATGTACATCCACTTCCTGGTGGTTCAGTCCAAACTGAAGAACATCAAGTATGATGGAGGAGCTGAGACTGATCCACACTGGAGTCCAGAGAGCAGGAAGATGATTGAGTCTCTGGGAAAACTGGCTTTTGAGCAGCTGCAGAAAGGAAACCTGATCTTCTATGAATCAGACCTGACTCAGTGTGGCATGGATATCAGAGCAGCCTCAGTGTACTCAGGAGTGTTCACACAGATCTTCAGAGAGGAGAGAGGACTGTACCAGGACAAGGTGTTCTGCTTCATCCATCTGAGTGTTCAGGAGTTTCTGGCTGCTCTTCATGTCCACCTGACCTTTACCAACTCTGGAGTCAACCTGATGGAAGAAGAACAACAAACAACATCTTCAATCTCTAAAATCTTCAGTGTCAAACCAAAACTGAAACATCTCCATCAGAGTGCTGTAGACCAGGCCTTACAGAGTCTGAACGGACACCTGGATTTATTTCTACGTTTCCTCCTGGGTCTTTCACTGCAAACCAATCAGAATCTCCTGAGAGGTCTGCTGACACACACAGGAAGTAGCTCACAGACCAATCAAGAAACAGTCCAGTACATCAAGGAGAAGATCAGTGAGGATCTGTCTGCAGAGAAAAGCATCAATCTGTTCCACTGTCTGAATGAACTGAACGATTGTTCTCTAGTGGAGGAGATCCAACAGTCCCTGAGATCAGGACGTCTCTCCACAGAGAAACTGTCTCCTGCTCAGTGGTCAGCTCTGGTCTTCATCTTACTGTCATCAGAAAAAGATCTGGACGTGTTTGACCTGAAGAAATACTCTGCTTCAGAGGAGGGTCTTCTGAGGCTGCTGCCAGTGGTCAAAGCCTCCAACAAAGCTCTGTAGGTGGACACATGAGAGATGAAACATTATTGTTCATGAAACTTTGTGTCTGTGCTAATCACTGATTCTTCTTCAGGCTGAGTGGATGTAACCTGTCAGAGAGAAGCTGTGAAGCTCTGTCCTCAGTCCTCAGCTCCCAGTCCTCCAGACTGAGAGAGCTGGACCTGAGTAACAATGACCTGCAGGATTCAGGAGTGAAGCTGCTGTCTGCTGGACTGAAGAGTCCTCACTGTAAACTGGAAACTCTCAGGTCAGGTTTTTCTGCTGATTGAGTTTTGTAGTTGTTTGAATGAAATTGTCTAAAGTTGGTACACTTTTCCTTGTTTTATATCTTTTTTCTGACTCCAGGTTATCAGGCTGTCTGATCACAGAAGAAGGTTGTGCTTCTCTGGCTTCAGCTCTGAGCTCCAACCCCTCACACCTGAGAGAGCTGGACCTGAGTCACAATGACCTGCATGATTCAGGAGTAAAACTGCTTTCTGCTGGATTGAAGAGTCCTCACTGGAAACTGGAAACTCTTAGGTCTGTATGAGGTTGAACATAAAACTTTACTCCGTCAGAATTAAAAACCAAACTATCAAAAGCATAATTAAAACAGAGAGCTACTTATGCACTTTTCTCATGATCTTGTGATTAGTTGGGTCAAATCAAGAGAATTAACTTATTCAATCAGATCTTGTTAGAAAAGACTGTTAAAACTAATGAAAAAGAAATGGAAAAAAGCCATTGATGATATGTCAAAAGAAACAAAAACTGTTTCTTTATCTTTGATTATCAATAGAAAAAAAGAGCTTATTTGTTCAAATATCTTCATGTCTTTTCAGGTTTACTGGATGTAACCTGTCAGAGAGAAGCTGTGAAGCTCTGTCCTCAGTCCTCAGCTCCCAGTCCTCCAGTCTGAGTGAGCTGGACCTGAGTCACAATGACCTGCAGGATTCAGGAGTGAAGCTGCTGTCTGCTGGACTGAAGAGTCCTCACTGTAAACTGGAAACTCTCAGGTCAGGTTTTCTGCTGATTGAGTTTTGTAGTTGTTTGAATGAAATTGTCTAAAGTTGGTACACTTTTCCTTGTTTCACATATTTTTTCTGACTCCAGGTTATCAGGCTGCCTGATCACAGAAGAAGGTTGTGCTTCTCTGGCCTCAGCTCTGAGCTCCAACCCCTCACACCTGAGAGAGCTGGACCTGAGCTACAATCATCCAGGAGACTCAGGAGTAAAACTGCTTTCTGCTGGACTGGAGGATCCTCTATGGAGACTGGATATACTGAGGTATAACCAGACAGTTACTGAGTCACAGACAACTACAAATATATTTGGTTTCTGCTGCCTGAGGTCTTCACTTAGCAGGTCATCATTGTGGACCATCTTTCTGATGGACTCTTGAATGTGAACTGTTTCATCCCGGATAGTAGCTCCGATGCTCACTAGTTCTCAGAATCCCACCTTCCTCTTAGTGTAGACCCTCAGGGTTCTGGATTTAGTGTGAAGACCTCCATTTGAGTATTTTGAGGAGCTTTCTTGTCTTGATGTCAGTGGTTTCTATTTCTTCCTTTGGCCAGGCTATGATGTCAGCAGGGTATCTGATCACTGGCAGAGCGTAGGTGTTGATGGTTTGGATCTTGTTCCAGCTGACATAAAGTTTGATGTCATCCATGTAGAGAAGGACATTAATCAAAAAAACCTAAAACAGTTGGTGAGAAACGACTTTGAATCAGACTGATGTGTGTCTGTCATTCTGTCTCCAACAGCAGCTATTTGTCTGCAACACTGGGCACCTGGATGAGCATCTTCTCTGAATGGCCCAGCTCTAAAATGTGTTGCTGAACTGTAGGTTTGTCTTCCAGTCTGAATGCTCCTCTGTTCAACAGCTTTGAGTTTTCTTCTGAGAGCTGTCACGTTGTCCTGAACTGCAGAAACTCGTCCCTCTGCCTCTGGTCTCAAAGGAGGACATGGTGGTTGATATTTTGAAGGACAGGAGTCGGAAATCTTTAGAATATAAAGAACCATTTTTAAATGCTCTTTACGGAGGACCACAAGGGTCGCAGAAATTAAAATAAAATAATTTTAATATAAATAAGTTATTGTACAATAAAAACAGGAATTCATAATCTGGTTTCCAAATTCACGAGTTCATCCATGAACAAAAAGAGGAATTATAAAAAGATTCTAAAAATGAATCTTTAAAACTGTACAAAAGTTTAGTATTTAAAAATAGAATATATTCTTTAATCAGAAGTTTATAAATCAGTTTGAAAATGCTGTCTTAAGAAAGAGAAATGAAGAAGTGAATCGACAAACTGAAGTAAAAATACAGCTTTTAATCAGACATTTAAAGGACAATTCCTCTTTTTATTTCCATTTCCTGTCTGCTTTTCCTTTTCCTGTTAGCTAATCGATTAACAAAGTCTTTTATCTTTCTTACCATTTTTCCTTCCCTCACACTTTGGGCCTTGAGCTGGTAAAACCAGGTAAAATAATACAGATGAGTCATGAAACAAGCTCTCTGATTGGTTATAACCTGGCCTATTACATGCAGATGTCTGCAGGGAGGTGAAGATGATGGAGGATGAGGAAGAATAGACCTTATCCAGTGTTCCAGGTGGAAAGAGGTCCAAACCTGGATATTGTGACTCTGTGGTCATTTCTCAGCTCCCTGATTGATGAACAGACACACAGGCTGTGTCTCATTTCAGAGACCGCATCGTGATAAGCGCACTTAACGGCGCTTAGCTGAGTGCACTGCCGTTTTGAGCCGTTTTACGCCGTTTTGCGCCGTTCTGTGCCCTTCCTGTGTCCCATTTCAGATACAGCAGCCATCGAACGGCGCATCTGACGCGTACGTGAGGTCACCACGCGGCACGAACGGTGTCCCGTTTGGCACAAAATACTAAGCGCGCTTCAAATTCGGTCTCAAAACCACACTACCCCCGCCTCGTTTTCAAGCGTGCATGTATGCACGCTTTCGTGCCGTCGGTATCCCAGAATTCTTTGCGTGCCGCTGCACAGCTGTGCATTTCAGGTGAGAGGCTGGACTCCCTTGGAGACACAGCGCGTCTTCGAAGAAAATACAAGCAATCCAAAACCATCAGACAGTCAGCTCAGGCTGTATGAGAGCATGATCTCTGAACTCACTAAAATCTGTAAACCAAACATTATAGATTTAGAGACGAACTGATCCGCTGTGTTACAACTATCAAAAACATTAGAAATGAGAAAGCTGACAAAACTACAGCAGAGGATCAGGACAACATTGAGGTTTTTTTTTTTCTTTTAAGATTTAGATATTAAAGTTGTAAATTTAGGAGAATAAAGTCATAAAGTAATTAAAGTCATAAAGCTGCTTTTGTGGAGGGGGAAATGACTGAAGCTGGGCATCTGCAGGGTTATCTGTGGATGTATCAGCGGGTCATTCAGAGAGATTTTGTGGTTTCTGAAGAAACAATCAAACTGATGATGATCAACATTTGTGATCCAGAGGGAGTCGAGCTCCGACGAGCACCACGTCTCTGACACCGGCCGTAGCCTACACCTGCAGAGACACCAACACCTTATTACGGCATATGGATTCATATCATAAACTAAAGCTCAATGTCATTCACGGATATTAACGGCTGCATTGACAGATATATCCTCAGCATATTCATTTCTGCCTCCACAAAAGCAGCGATTTCCTTCAAGTACACCAATATTTTTTTCCCGTGGAAAAGACGTATTTCTCAGATATTCTTTTTAAAGTCTTTATACTTATGACAATGTTATGCTGATGTGCCAGAGGATGAAGAATCTCCTTGTTTGTGAAACCTATACTGAAGCACAGTTCCTTCAAATGCTTCATGGCCCTAATTTTAACAAGTCTCTCTGAAATAACAGGAAACTTTAAAACTTTATTCTCATAAATTAATGACTTTATTCTCGTAAATTCACGACTTAAATCTCGAAGTCCTTAAAGTCTTAAATCTCAATATGGCCCTCATACTCCTTCTTACAAAACAATCATTGGATGAATTGTGCTTGTATGTATCTACTATTTTGTGTCTGTGCAAGGTCGCACAATTAAAACAATAAATGCTGCGCTCCGCGGGTTTCCTTTAAGTCAGTCGTGACGCGAGCCTGAGGGCGGGGACATTTGGCAACTCCACCAGGAAGTCCTCCGAAGGTCTCCAAATGTCCCCGCCCTCAGGCTTACGTCACGACTGATTAGAAAAAAAGCTGCGGAGCGCAGCATGTATTGTTTTAATTGTGCGACCTTGCACAGACACAAAATAGTAGATACATACAAGCCCAGATCATTCCCACAAAATTCATCCAATGATTGTTTTGTATGAAGGAGTATGAGGGCCCTATTGAGAAGGAGGATAGGAGGTACTTCATCCTCTGGCACATCAGCATCACATTGTCATAAGTATAAAGACTTTAAAAAAAGAATACATGAGAAATACGTCTTTTCCACGGGGAAAAAAACTGGTGTACTTGAAGGAAATCGCTGCTTTTGTGGAGGCAGAAATGAATATGCTGAGGATATATCTGTCAATGCAGCCGTAAATATCCGTGAATGACATTGAGCTTTAATTTATGATATGAATCCATATGCCATAATAAGGTGTTGGTGTCTCTGCAGGTGTAGGCTACGGCCGGTGTCAGAGACGTGGTGCTCGTCGGAGCTCGACTCCCTCTGGATCACAAATGTTGATCATCATCAGTTTGATTGTTTCTTCAGAAACCACAAAATCTCTCTGAATGACCCGCTGATACATCCACAGATAACCCTGCAGATGACCAGCTTCAGTCATTTCCCCCTCCACAAAAGCAGCTTTATGACTTTAATTACTTTATGACTTTATTCTCCTAAATTTACAAATTTAATCTCTAAATCTTAAAAGAAAAAAACCTCAATGTTGTCCTGATACTCTGCTGTAGTTTTGTCAGCTTTCTTATTTCTAATGTTTTTGATTGTTGAAGCAGAGCGGATCAGTTCGTCTCTAAATCTATATTGTTTGGTTAACAGATTTTAGTGAGTTCAGAGATCATGCTCTCATACAGCCTGAGCTGACTGTCTGCTGTTTTTGGATTGCTTGTAATTTCTTTGAAGACGCGCTGCGTCTCCAAGCGAGTCCAGCCTCTCACCTGAAATGCGCAGCTGTGCAGCGGCACGCAAAGGATTCTGGGATACCGACGGCACGAAAGCGTGGATAAATGCACGCTTGAAAACATGCTAAGCGCGCTTAGCATTTTTTAGCATCTCGTGCCAAACGGGACACCGTTCGCACCGTCGTGACGTCATGCACACTTCAAATGCACCGTTCGACGGTGCAGAAGGGCACTTAGGTCGATGCGGTCTCTGAAATGAGACACAGCCACAGACTAAAAACAGAGATGATCAGGAGAGAGATGGGCTCATATTTGAAGTTGACATGGGAAGGTCTTCTCTTCTTGATTTTCTGCTCTCTTTGTTCGGTGAGCCATCAAACAAACCCTCAGAGCTACAGAGAAACACCTCCTTCATACATCCACCCTCAGTCAGAAACATGGACTCAAAGTACTGGCTGCAGAAGTGGGTTCAAAGGAGATCAGATAGTCTTCATTGAGCTTCATCAGCTGAGCTCTACTGCTTTACTGGCACAGCTACATTCAGTGAGAGCAGCAGCAGACCTGTCAGTCATGATCAGGTAAGCTGAGGGGCTGTTTGAGGACATGCTCTGACTTTGCTCCACTTCCTGTCCATCCCAAACTGCAGGAAATCCACCTGCTGTTCCAGGTGTGATGCTCCTACTCCCTCTGCTCTAGTTGACTCTGAATGATCCAAGAAGAGCCTCACACACTCACATGAGTTCATCTGAGAGCTTTCATTTCATCTTCATTCAGATTTAGAAGAAGAGAGCCCACTACTTCATCTCTCTATCTGCAGACAAGCTTTCAAGTCTATTTAGAAGGAGCTTTTTAGACCAAAGTGTGGACAGCTGTCCTAAAAGAAGAAATGAAGGTCTTTTTCCAAAGGGTCCAAATCAAGTCTCCATGTTGTAGGACAGACCAGCAGCCAGCCTTTGCTCTTTGAATCTTGTTGTTTTTCTGTGAGTTTCTGTCAGAAAGACTCAGAAAAAGTGACAGAGTGATGGAGACTGTTGGCTCAGATGAGTTTCAGCCTGTTTCTCTGTCACAGGGACAAACTGAGGAACTCTGCTTCATGTTGGACAGCAGGTAGGACTCATGTTGGACACTCAATCATTCTGACTGTGTTTCTTCCTCCAGGGTGGACCATGGTGGAGAGCAGAGGTTAAAACCTGGTCTGAAGAAGTGTAAGTGTTGAATCAGTTTGACTCCTGATGACCAAACAGCAGACTGTCAGCTAACAAAGAAGAAAGCCTTCAGGTGTGTCTGATGATAACCTGCTGCTGTGTTGTGTCTTTTTCTCTCTGTCAGATTTCTGTGAACTCACACTGGACTCAAACACAGTACACAGAGAGCTCAGACTGTCTGAAAACAACAGGAAGGTGACACGTGTGGAAGAGGATCAGTCATATCCTGATCATCCAGACAGATTTGAGTTTTATCCTCAGCTTCTGTGTAGAGATGGTCTGACTGGTCGCTGTTACTGGGAGGTCGAGTGGAGAGAAAAGGTTTATATATCAGTGAGTTACAGAGGAATCAGAAGGAAAGGAATAGGTGATGACTGTGTGTTTGGATCTAATGATCAGTCCTGGAGTCTGTTCTGCTCTGATGAAGGTTACTCTGTCCGTCACAATAACAGAGAAACAGTCCTCCGTCTCTCCTCGTCCTCTGTCTCTGACAGAGTAGCAGTGTATGTGGACTGTCCTGCTGGTACTCTGTCCTTCTACAGCGTCTCCTCTGACACACTGATCCACCTCCACACCTTCAACACCACCTTCACTCAACCTCTCTATCCTGGGTTCTGGTTCTGGTTTCCTGGTTCCTCAGTGAGTTTGTGTTCTGTGTAGGAGGGAGAGTCTCCTCCTCTCTACACAAACAGCAGCTGAAGAACAGTTGACCCTCTGCACTAACACAAACTTCAGCTGATTATCTGACTGTTTGTATCCTGTCACATCAGTCTGAATGTCTGTTATCAAAGAGCAGGACTCCATGTCAAACTGGCTCACTGAACTGGACTGATTTCTGTCTCTATGGAGGAAAAATCCGCCTCATTCAGCACATTTTTCTTCACTGTATTGATCAGAAAGTTTGTCTGAACAGTCAGAGTCAGACTCCTGAAACTCTTCTTCACCTGCACAGGTGTTCATACCTGTGTTTAAACTGATGAAGGTCATGTCCTCATGAGACTGCAGGCTGGTTCACACACACAGAAAAATCTGAGCCAAGCTGAGAGGAGGATGAGAAAGAAGTGAAGACAGAAAACATGAAAATCTGGAGCTGGTGCAGCAGACTGTAAACAGAAGAGAAAGTGAACGTCACCTCTTAACAAACAAACCTGCTTTAGAAATCATTACAACTCAAATCAAAGAGAAAAATCACAATGAATGAAAAAAGAAGGGTGAAAAATTCAAGAGGAGTAATACAGGTGTAAGAATTGATGTAACGACGTTTATGAAATATGAACTCAATAAAGAAATTTATATTTTAACAACTGTCTTACTTACAAAAACACAAACAAAAAACCACTTCAGTAGGATGGCTCATTTTCTGTCTCATAGGGGCCCCTGACAGCTGAGGGGTCTCAATCAAACACTGAGTCCACTTCCACCCTGGACTGGCTCTGGTCCATCCAAAATGATCTGAAACCTCTGGGACCATTGAAACCTAACTTCTTTGGTTGGAATTGATATCCTTTTCATTTTTTAACTTTTTTTTTTTTTGTCACAGTAATTTATTATGAATCAGAAACAATCTAACACATTGTGACAACCATCCACATTGCAGGGTTAGCTGTTGCACAGTATGGGGTTGGTTGTCTTTTTTTAATGATTTTTTTTAACATTATTTTTTAAAATTTTTGGGGGAATTTAAATAAAAATAATGACAATCACATTACAATTACATTATAACAGGTTTATATTATAACATTACAGTTGAATAATAATAGAAATTCATCGTTGCTTAAACAGGACACAAAACATCAATTTCTTGAGGTTATTGTATAAAGACGAGAGCTCATTTAGACTAACAGGGTTCGACATTCAACACTGATGTCAACACTTAAATAATTTGTTCCTGTTTTCCCTGTTTTTCATGTAAAAAATTTGTAGTGCTTTTTTTTTAGGGTGAAAACAGGGTACAAACCCCATTCCCTTTTCTATATCCCACAATTAACGATGTAAACATTGAAAATTTGTAAAATACTGTGAATCGTCTGATTTTGTGTTGATTTTGAACCTATCATGGACTGTTCACGGTTGCAGGGCTCTCAAGTTTTGAACTAAGCTTAGAGTGAGATTTCCTTGGGGGGGTGATTGAAGATAATTATTAGTATAATTATCTCTTAAATACAACGGAGTATAAGGGGCACAATTAGAAAAAAAAACGTTTTTAAATCTTAAAGAATAAAGTTATTATTTGGGAGAATAAAGTCATTAATATATAAGTATTAAGTCGTAAAGTTACCTGCTGTGAAGGAGAGTTGTTAAAATCAGCACTGTGGAGCATTTAGATGAATTTTACTTTAGTATAGGTTTCACAAACATGGAGATACTTAATCCTTTGGTACATGAGCATTATACTGTCATGAGTATCAGAACTTATATTTGAGCTATATGAGAAATGCTGCTTTTGTGGAGGGGAAAATGGCCGGAAATGGCTGTACAGAGGCTAAATCCTTCAATACAGCTGTTAATAGCAAAAGCATAGGGCTTTAGTTTATCATATGAGTTTGTATGCCATGAGGTGTTGAGGTCTCTGCATGTGTAGGTTACTGACTTACTGTAATCATCGGGTCTATCTCGTCCTTATAAAAACCTGCTCTATTTCGGCGAGTGTCTGTCTTCTTCTGTAGTCAAACCGTAAGATATCAAAATCTACCCGGATACAGCAATGCTGCTTTTTTATTGGCTGTTCAGTAGATATACTTTATTTGATTGGCTTGGCGTGGCACGCAGCTTCTGAACTCTCGGAGGAACTCAGTTGATTCCAACCTGTTCCATAGTTAAAGAGGTGCAACTTGGTGGACATCACCATGTTCATTTAAATGCGTGAGAAATACAATGTGTGGCGTGTGAGCGTGTGAACGGGTGGGAATGCGTGTATCACACGCTGAATGCGTGAGACTTGAGAGCCCTGCGGTTGTTAACAGGAGTAGACAGGTGTCAATCAAGAGAGGAGCGCGGGCAATCGCCACATTTTGAACCAATCAGAGTTGGAGGGGAGGGACGAAAGGAGAAACGGGGAAGAAGAACTGAGGCGGAACAAAACGGATGGAGACGGGAGAAGAACTCTTTTTGGTCGGCCTTAACGGAGTATTTGTACCATTTATGAACAAGTTGGATGTTAAATTGTCCTGTACTGTTACTACGCTCTGTTTCGCACACGTTTGAGACTGTATTCTGTGATGGAGCGGGTGTTTAATCAGGAGCTAGCAGTGCTAGCGAGGCCGCCGCCATTTTAGCAGAGAGACCGCGAACCTCTTCCCGCGTGAAAACAGCGGAGAGCCCAGCGGAGGACGCGGGTTGGTGAGATGGTGCCGAGGACGTTATCTCTCAAGGAGGTATGTGTGGACTCAGCTGCTAAATGAGGGATTCCTGCTCGTGATCTTCTTTCTCATGTCCCGACCTTTGCCAGTTTTTTGGAATAAACCTTTTATCTGTTTGACCTGCTGCGTCGGTGTTGTGCATTTGTGTCTTCCCTTTCTGTGCCTCAGTTCATCCCCGGGTGTGTATCAACAAATTCCTCTTCTGTTAGCGTGGAGACCTCATATTGTTTTTCTCCTTATTGTTTTTCAGAAGATAATTAATAACAGCAGATCTAACAGAAAGGTATCTGCAACCTCCTCATGAACACATTACATTGACTATATTTAGACTGCTGTAAGGTTATCCAGTAAGATAGCCAACATTTACAAATAACAGATAAAATACACAACTTATTTACTGATGAAACCCACATGGTAACTAAACCAATACATGTGATTTGAATGTAGTACCTTAGCCCCACCTCATGGTGGCGCATCAGCCCCGTACTCCGTGTCATGACCGTGAACGCGCCGAGCCCCATTTTACTCAGAGCCGAGTAACTGACCAGAACACCTGCATATAAACGAGCTGACAAACCGGGAAATGTAATATGATGAAAACAGGTAAATTAATGATTAATCCTCGAGCGGCATCTTGATAAATCTTCAGTTTTTCTTCTGGGAAAATCGTGTGAGTGTGAGAGAGAGATTGGAGCCGGTTTCACTGTGTTAATCCCCTGCAAGAACTCTGGTAAGAAAAATGCGACATGCGGCTAGGTCTCGAGGTTAGCTGTTGATATTAGCAAGTTATGAGAAGAATTCTTTAATTTAAGTATGTTCATAAAACCAGTCAAAGTCACTGATATGTTTCCTAATGTTTTAAACCCACTGTGGTACCTGTCATGTCATTGTTAACTTTGGAAAATAGCTTTATGAAGATCGCTAGAGAGCTAACGTGAAGCTAATGCTAATCACGGATAGCGCTGCTACGCTAAGTCAGATATTACTTGTAACAGATATTTTAATGGTGTACTTGGCTAAACTTAATTGCTGCTACTGTAGCAAACGAGAGAGAACGAGATTACATATGCTTATTTGTGTTGATATGATGCCAGTTGCATGGTCAGGCTCCATCATGTGATCTGATCCAGCCTTACACCCCCTCTCGGGCTCTGAGGTCCGTGGTTTAGAATCTGCTGATGGTTCCGCGCACTTGTTTTCAGACCAGAGGAGACCGATCCTTCCAGGCTGTTGCCCCCAGACTTAATTAATTCTGTTGACTCCTTTAAAAGCCGACTCAAAACTTGTTTATTTGCTCAGGCATTTGTCTAATTGTTTTTGGGGCTACTATGACTGTTTAATGTTATTGTCTTGGCCTTTTAATTTGTATGTACATTTTTATTTTTGTCTATGTGAATCACTTCGTGAATCTTTTGTCTGTGAAAAGTGCTATTCAAATAAAGTTTACTTACTTACTTACTTTCCGTCAGTTTGACAGATTGGTCACGCCTTCAGCCGCCCGCTCGCCCCCCTGCAATATGACACTCCAAGTGTGGGATAGCATATATGCCCCCTCATCCCAGTTGATGGTCCTCAGGCCTCGCTTCCGGATTTCCATTGCCTCCCTGATCCAGCGCTGATGTATATTTTCTTCGGTGCGGATGACTCTGGCATTTTCCCACTCCATGATGTGGTTCTCTCGTCTGCAGTGGTCTGTGATAGCTGATTTGTAATTTTCTTGTTGTGCCTTTTCTTTTATTGTTCTTGTTTGTTTTGTTGCTGTCTCCTTCTCACACTCTTTCTTGTTCATTTTTTCATATTGTGAAACTCCTCCCTGTCCCTCCGATGTATGTTTTGTTGCATGATTGGCATGGGATCTCAGTATCTTCCGGAGGGTTGTGTGTGGTTTTGACAGGTGTGTTGATGTTGTGTTTCTTCATAGGGAACCGAAGTCATGCTAACTTCCAGGTTAGCATACGGTCCTATGGAGCCCATCAAAATGAATGGACAGATATATATAACTACTGGTCCGCTTTGGTATAGGGAACCGAAGCCCCTACACATTTCACATATAATGTTTATCATGTTTAAATTTACATTTTAACCTCGAAAAAGCCGTGATTTTAGACATGTTGCTATAACTACAGTTTAATTTAGAGTGAGACCACGTAATGAACTACACCGCTCGTCGCACTATTTTTGCGTCACTGTCTAAGCTTTGACAGACGACGATGGCGGTGACTTTGGCAAGTTTCACGTCCTTCTTCCAGGATGAAGGAAAGAGTATTAAACGTGGTGAAAACCACTACAAGTCGGGTCATGTTGAGAGGTGTCATGGTGACATTCTGGCACAAAACACACAGGCATTTTGGCAATGATAACGAGTTGACAGGAGTTGTCAGCTAGCTAGAAGTAGAAATACTGACGTGACGTCATTTACGCGACTTCTTGAGGTCTGTAGTCTCTCCATTTACGTGTTTTCAAAGACAAATAGATCAACAATTACACAACAAACATAGCCTTTATTTACCTTAATGGTTATCATTTAAGTTAAAATACAACATATTTGTGACTCAGGGTGTAAAACAAAGCGGACCAGAAAATACCATAGACCTGTCCATTCACTCCTATTATCCCAATAGGACCTATAGCGCTAACGCGGAAGTGGGCGTGGCTTCGGTTCCCTATTGCCCTTTGGATTCGTTCGGTTACGCCCCTCAGGTATGGTAAAACCACCACTCCCTTGTGTTCTTGTTTGCTGTGTTGCTTTTTGGCTTTCTTGTGTGTTTTATTATTGTTGTTTTTGGGTTGTTGTGAGCCCTTTGTTATCGCCCACTGTGGGTATTGGCAGGTTTTGAGTTCTTGTTGAATGTGTCTTTCCTCCTGCGCTCTGTCCTCCGGGTCCCTGATTATGGCCGCGCGTTCACGCAGTGTTCTAACTACCGCCGTGTAGGGACACCAGTGACTCCACCTCGAGTCATCTAGCCTTTCTTATATATGTCTAAGTATAAGTTTAAAAAGTACTTAAAGCCATAGTGTTTTATAGTTCTCTGTCATATAATGATTGTAATTTGTTATACAGAAATAATTTGCAATAGCACAATGATCTATTTAACTTTCGTACTGTGCAAACCTTAATTTGTAATTATAGGTACTGATAATTATTTATAAGGTATTACAGAGTCAAGGCATCCCCAAACACATACTGTTTAAAGGCATGAACTCGTTCAGCGCTGCACTGTTTCTCTTCTTAAACTCCTTTACATCACCACGCACAGAAAGAACGCATCGCTTATTATGAAACATAATATTCAGAGGTTTTTTTTTTTAGATGACCGTGTTATTTTTCCCTGTAAATACTGTAAAAACATCAGCTGTTCAGAGGAAATTAAAGCCAAACATTGCTTGATAAGACGCCTGTTTTGGTTCCTCAGAGGGGTGAGCGGTTTCCTTTTGAGCTGAACTTTAATTAGACGACTGAAGCAGCCGCAGAAATGAGGAATTTCCTGTGTTTATGGCCTGAAAATAGCCGGTTTAGAGGACAGAGAGGTGAGAAAAGCACTTAGACTGGTAGCCATAATAAAGAGATGTTCCTGAACCTTCCACTAGATGGCAGCACAGTTATCCAAACATCACAGTGAGCTCTCCTTTTTTCTGATTTTCAGCTCATGGGGGCTGACCTATTACAGGCTGAATCAATTCAAATTATAGAGACAGATGACAGGGAGCAATCAAAAGAGAGAAATGAGAGGTCTATTTCAATGGAAGATCTGCATTTTACTCACTTTTCATACAAACTGACATGCAGATTTACCAAAGAGGAGGTTATTTATTTAGTTTACAGCCAACAAAGAGGAAAAGTACGGTTCCTGCAGGCGGTTTTGCCACTTTAATCCACTTTTATTAGAAACAGACTGATGATGAAGAACACAAAAGTGTCTAAAAAGACAAGAATTGACAGTAAATGAGAGATCCACATTACCTCTCCACGAGCTTTTAATGTCAAACATAAGAGGTATTGCATTTCATTACCACACTGGAGTATTTCCTCATTATAATAAATATTGATCACTGTGTTGTCTTAATGTAAAGGTCAATTTCCCATCTTGGCGTTCTTGGTAGGAGGGTTTGCCTGCAGCAGTTTTCTGTTTTACAGCTTCTCTGCTATTGATGCAAACCTTAAAGAGATACTAATCCTGTTTTTAAAACGTGGAGTTTGCGACTGTGGAAGTAGTTGCCTCATGAAGCGATTTTTTTGGTCAGGCTTTTATTTGGATATTTTTTTGTCTCACAGTGAGGTAACTTTTTTTCTTGCGTTTTCTCTCGGCTCAGATCAGTTTTCAGAGTTTAATTCCTGTTTTATTTTGTAGGAGTTGATTCCATGTGTTTGTTGTCTGGTTTTACTTCCCTAGTTTTCCCTCCTTTGTTAGTCATCTCACTTGTGTCTCGTCTGCCTCACCTGTTGCACGTTTCCCAGTGTGTGGCCGTTTTTGAATTCTCCTACTATCCTAGCAGTACGTACTGATTTGCCCAAAATTTAGTATGCAGTATGCAGTAGGCGAAGAAATGCAAAATTTGCAGTATGCCAAAAATACCCGGATGACTGTCGTCATTGTCGTTTTCTCCTGCTTCATCCAGGTCTAGATCACGGGGGCAGCAGCTTCAGGAGGGAAGCCCAGATAGTCCTCACCCCAGCCACTTCCACCAGCTCCTCCGGGGGGATTCCCAGGTGCCCCGAGGCCAGGCAAGAGATATAATCCCTCCACCCGGTCCTGGGCCAGCCATGAGGTCTCCTCTCGGTGGGACATGTCCGGGAGGTGTCCGGAAGGCGTCCTAACCAGATGCCCGAGCCACCTCAGCTAACTCCTCTCGACGTGGAGGAGCAGTGGGATGTGATGCCCCCCCCCATTGGTTGTGGTTTGGGTGGGGATGTGATGGGCCCCCGATATTGGTTGTGGCCCTCCATTTTGTTGAATTTTAAACAGACAATGACTTCACGATGGGATGACGTGAGCTTCTAGATCATTTAGACAAGTGGTGGGCAACTTTGATGATGGAGAGGGCCACAATATTTCCACACTCATTCCAGGGGGCCACATTACATAAACTGTCAGTCCATTCGATGTCACACAAAAGTTGCAAAAATAGCCGATCTACAAAGGAAAACTAGGGAAGAAAAACCAGACTACAAAACACAAGGAATCAACTCCTACAAAATAAAACAGGAAATAAACACTGAAAACTGATCTAAAGAATAAAACGCAAAGAACTCACAAGACTGGACTACAGGGGAACAGGAACACGAGGGAGAATGGACTCGGATAACAAAACCAGGAGAAAACTGAATGAACAGAACATATCATGACAGGTTTACAGTTTTTGTTGTGAAGAAAGAAGAAACAGTCTCTCCAAGCTCCACTGGTTCACTCCAAGTGCACATTTTTCATGCAATCTGGTGGTTTATCTTAGTCAAATAATCTCTGATTGCTCAGTGCCTCTTTCACACATCCGAGGAGGGAGTATTTGTCGACGAGCAGACAGGAAGCTCTGCAGCCTCCTCGCCATCATCAGCATCACGGTGCAGGTGGTGAATGAAAGCCGGGGCTCTGCAGGAGGCTTTTTGGGAATAATTCAGAGTCAGTGAATTAAACAAACACTTAATCAGCTCCAGCAGGAGGTTAGTTCTTCAAATGTGGTTAAGCCTCATGTACTGGCAACACTGTCTTGTGCATGTTTAGACTGTAGGACGATGTGATGGATTTAACAAATAGATTCACAGTTTCGGTGCATTATTAAATGTGCAAAATAAGACCTTGTGCAAAGATTTTAGTGCAGTTTGAAGAGTTGCAAGAGGTTATGCATTGCCCTGATGGAGGTTATATGTAGTCGTAGTTTGCAGCATCATGTGTGATCACCTTTGCCAGAGAAGGGAAGTTAAAGAAAACAGCTCCACCTACAGAGACTAAAGAGAAAATCTGAAGACAAAGATGTCTAGGAGCCACCCACTGAGTTTGACTGACGGGTCATTACTGCAGAGAGCAGCACAGAAACACTGCTGACGTTACCAAGAGTGATTAAAATGTCAAGAAAATATGTTTTAGTTAAAGAAGAGAGTAAATCTGTCACAGAGTAAAGCGCTGTTTGCTCTAACTCTTAACATGAGTCCCTCTTTTTGCTTTTCTGCAATTCTCCACTCCCTGCTGATGATTAGAGCAACAAAAGATATCGAACAGCCAAGAGAATAAGAGAAATTTTCAATAAATGTGAGAGGAAATACAATAATACTTCCTCTGTTGTTTTCAGAGAGAGGAAGACTGCAGACGGATGGAGACACCACCTCAGAGCGCGGCCTTGTAGCTTCAGGTCAGCGATCTTATTTGGCCCCCGTGTGGAGGAAGAATTGGTTTTGGCTTGGCTGAGGACAATCATCCGAACCGAGGGGATTGGATGCTGCTGGGACACGGAGAGAGCCAATCAGAAAGGCCATCGATCAGTTCCCCTTAATCTCACAGCTGGTGAGCACATCCCCACTCCAATCTCAAACTCTGCAGCTTACTCAGACTGACTGACGGGGGATTGGAGGGCGTCCAAAAGACTTCGGCGTCCACAGAAACAGATCCAGGATGAAGCAGGAGGATTGTGCAGACAAAATTAGATGATACTTGACTGTGTTCTCAGCATCCATTGCTGCGATCTTAACCGTGAAAATAAACAGTAGTTTAAGCTGTTTAGTCGAGTTTAGCCAGAAAATCTTCTTTTTCCCTTGAAAATGTGAAAGCAGTGAAGTCAGAGCAGGATTATAATGGACAGTCTCCCATTAAAATAAGCAAAAACAGGATGCAGGTGGAATCATCTCCTCTGAAATGTGAATTTTACCCCACAATAAAACCAGAATTTTCCTTTTTTCCAACATCGCTCTTCCCAGTGCAGTGTGAAGAGGGTCATCATAAAAACCCCAGAATAAAACCTTACAGTGAAAGAAACACCAGAACACTGACTCTGAAAATTCATGACGAACATGTTCTCGTGTACGTTTTTAAAGTCCAAATAAATAAACTTTTTTAGCATTGTGTAAACAAGTATTGTGTATTGTAAGACTCGATCTAACTTTCGTCAGCTCTAGAAGCTGGTAAAGCGGTGGAGTCAAGGACATGGATATTTCATTCAGCCTGATTATGTTTGATTCTGCATAAACATAATCACGCCAGATGACTTGTATCAATAAAAGGATCACGATGGAAAAAGCTAAAGAAGCCGAAACCTTTTTTTTTTGTACTGGACTATTCTGCTTTCAAAAATCAGCATTTTAACATGAGACTGAATGAGGTTTCTCTTTCTTTTGGAGTCTGCCTCCAATGGACAGTTGCAGAACTGCAGCTGTTTTTTTTTTTTTTTTACCTCTGCATTGCCTTCGCTTTACAACAGTAACTGGCTAAACCCACAGGATCTTGAACGACGCCGCTCCGGACAGGACTGGCAGATGGATCAGATCCACAAGCATACAGCACCCACTGGATCCAATCCGCTGCCGCCATCAGGGGAGAAATGCTCACGAGATTACCGTTATTTCTCATTAGACTGGACGAGATCTCACAAGCTCTTGCGTGTTTCCCCGGGAGTCATAGAATGAGATCCACCGATCGGTGTATATTAACAGCCACATCCCACAACCCTGGCCTCTCCTGTTATCAAGTTAACAACAGTTAAACGTATTGACTTTATTTTATTTTGAAAATTAACTGGATATTTTACTCTGTAACCGCATAAAACTTCCTCTGCTGCTCGTGTAGTGCTGCACTGAATTGATGCACCGTCCTTCGGCGTCCGGCAAAAAAAGAAGCCTTGCATATCTGATCTGGCCGCCGGAGCCGAGCCATTCCGGACCCTGTGGGTTTTGCCCGTAAGAGTTGCTGTTTGGGGAGAACAGAGTGATGGCCTCAGGGTTATATGTATGAATGATCATTAGAATAAAATCATGTTTGTCAGTTTTTCTTTGTAGTAACGCGTTAATAGTAACGCTGTTACTTTATCATTTCTTTATCATTTCCTTGAAGTAATAATCACCATATTAATCATTTTACAGACGCAGTAGTTCTTCTGCCTTAGCGTCTCAGTCTGATTGTATTTCCATGAAGAAATGATCATAAATGTTCTTCCTTGAGCTGCGGCACCCCGCTGTAGTCCGTAATGGACTGGCCTGAGGTCTCACTACAAACAAGCGTCTGCTGGAAGAGAGTAGGTGAGTTGTGTTTAGTCTCTTTGCTAAAGAAATGAGTCAAAGTTAAAAAGATGTTTGGTGTCTAGTACTATGTCTGTGACCCTATATGTCCTGTTGATGAAGTTAGGTGCTGTTCTGAGCATTATTTGTGGCTATAGAGTGGCGTTTTGGTTGAGCGTGTGGCTCTCTGTATTGCTATCCTGCGGTCGTTACTAAAGTTGGTATAACTAGAGAAGCAAGCGGTCGGTAACATTCATCAATATCCCTTTAAACGGGTGTTTTAATCAACAGTTTGTTTTATTTAGCATCAGTACAAAACTGAATTGACGGTTACAGGGAAACTCAATCCACCTTTATGTAATGGGAGCATTAGACGAACGTCTTACAGTAGCTATAAAGTGACCTCAGTAACGCATTACTTTTTGGTTTAAGTAACTGAGTTATTTTTTTAATATGAAGTTACTAGAAACTGTAACTAGTAGCTTTTTACAGTAACTAGAATACTGTTTATTGTTAAGTGATATCCACATTCAGAGAATCTGTCTGGGTGTTTATGAAAAGTTATCTTCTTTGTGAATACTAGTATAGAAGAGAAACCGTGCTCGTATTTGTTTGAACATAGTGAGTGTCACGAGGGCACATTTTCGATGGCTCACATCTGGATCATCTGGTTCTATTTAACACTGAGTGATTTTCAAGACATGTATTGTGAAAGGAATCTTATTTAATCCTTTTCATATGTCGTATGAATTGTTCTCCTCGCTGTCCTGTGGTCTCCAGTTTCCCTGAACGTGACGGCCTGCTGTGTGTGCTCTGAATACTGCTCTGTAAGAGGCTGGTGTCCTCTTACAATGACGCTGCCTGGAGTCTGAAATGAGGTGATTCTGATATCACAGAAAGAGGTGTTTTAAAGCTTTTGTCTGAATCAGAGGATTCTTCACTTTATTGGTGCAAAAAAACAGGGTGAATTATAGAAAAACATCCTTTGTATTTAAGTTTAAAGTCAAACACACCTTCAAGTGCAGCAACATTCATTACCTAGAAGCTTCTAAAGTGCCTGATACTCCTTCCTGAATCTGGTCCATAAGAAGGACAGTAAAGTGGGCAGATGTTTCGGGGTTTTCCACTTGGAGGAAATGAGACTTGTAAAGATTTGAACACTGTGTCCATGAGCTTTCGGAGGCCTCCAGGACCCAATTAACACGATGTGGACCGACGAGTCAGTCCAGAGCCAGATTTAAAAGGTTTTTGTGGTATTATTGTGGCTCTTCTTCTGGTTAATGATTATGTTAAGCTCATCTTCAGAGCTCTCTTGATTAGTTCGTACTCTTTTTCAACAGAAGAAAGTTCGTTGGACAACCGCAACAGGAAAGGCAAACTTTAGTGTTGACCTGAACCCGATGCTTTCTGTCCTGTATGGTCAAACTAGACTTTTATTTTGAAGTATTTGCTTCTTCTGGTAGATTTGAAGTTACAGAACCGAATAAAAAAAGCAAAAATTGTCAATTGATTAGTAATCTGAAGAGTCATGAGCTCCAATGTTGTTTTAGATTCAGAATAAATCTTTGAATGTCAGTTTTAAAACCGTCTAATCATCTCTCTGAGGGATGCTACAGCTAGGTAGTTAGCGGCTGCTATGTCTTCTTCGTATACCTGTTCTAGGACATGTGGTCAGCATACAAGACCACTTCAATGGTATGTTGTGGCAGACTTGGACTGTTCAGGCCTCTTATTTGTGTACCTTTACAAACGTTTGACTAATTTTAACTTGAACGCAAATAGTTCTGAACCTTACCAAACCAGACAGCTAGTGGAAATGCTGCTGAGCCGGCCCAGTCTTTTGTCTACCTTTTTTCAGACAGGGATGAATTATGAAGTACTGAAATAATCAGGGGTTCTCTAAATTTAAAGTGATTAACCATATGTTATACACCCATTTGGACATTTGGTGCAGATTGTTGCAAGTGCGGAGTCAACTCATAATAATTTTAACCCACGCAGTATTAACGGGCATTTTAACTGACCAAATATCGCGGACCCAGCTGTTGAGATACTTGTTCAGGGCTAGCATTACTGCTAGTTTACTGACATATATACTGTATAACGCCACTCTATAGCCACAAATAATGCTCAGAACAGCACCTAACTTCATCAACAGGACATATAGGGTCACAGACATAGCACTAGACACCAAACATCTTTTTAACTTTGACTCATTTCTTTAACAAAGAGACTAAACACAACTCACCTACTGTCTTCCAGCAGCCGCTTGTTTGTAGCGAGACCTCAGGCCAGTCCATTACAGACTACAGCGGGGTGCCAGAGCTCAAGGAAGAACATTTATGATCATTTCTTCATGGAAATACAATCAGACCGAGACGCTAAGACAGAAGAACTACCGTGTCTGTAAAATGATTAATATGATGATTATTACTTCAAGGAAATGATAAAGAAATGATCATAAATGTTCTTCCTTGAGCTGCGTCACCCCGCTGTAGTCCGTAATGGACTACAAACAAGCAGCTGCTGGAAGAGAGTAGGTGAGTTGTGTTTAGTCTCTTTGTTAAAGAAATCAGTCAAAGTTAAAAAGATGTTTGGTGTCTAGTACTATGTCTGTGACCCTATATGTCCTGTTGATGAAGTTAGGTGCTGTTCTGAACATTATTTGTGGCTATAGAGTGGCGTTTTGGTTAAGGTTTGTTTATGGCTCCTCAGACTGCTCTGTATTGCTATCCTGCGGTCGTTACTAAAGTTGGTATAACTAGAGCAGAAAGTGGTCGGCAACATTCATCTCTAACTGCGGTGTGTTTGACCGTGAAATAACTTTACGCCGGAATATCCCTTTAAGTCTTGTGTATTAACGTGACTTTTTCATCTGATATCTTAAAAGCAAACCTGATTTTGTTTGAGCTTGCTTGGTATTCAAAAGGAATACTTCAGTATAAAAATAGGTTTTGAGTTTAAACATCTTCAGTTTTCTCCTTTGAGTCCGACAACAAACAGCAGGCGGTGGTTTCATATGTAAAATCGTCTGACCTTGCTGCCTCAAACTGCTGCAGTTTCCTCGTTCCCCCTTTTGTCTAAATACAGCTGTAACTGTATGAAATGTGCTCCTGCGGTGACCCAGCCTGTCGTGGCATCATATCTGACAAACAGCCTTTCCACGAAAACATCGCCTAAATTTGTCTCTGCCCTTTTCACACTGAGAGAGGACACGTCGGCAGCAGATGGGCCAAAAGGCTTCCTATTTCCACAGGCTGCTAATTAGAGCCCTTACCGCAGCTCACCTTTAATGTCAGCCGCAGACTGCTCTTAGCACAATTAGCCTAATGGGGTCTGGGCCTGTGAATAGCCTGTAATGTTTAGCCTGGATTCAGCCGCTGCATTGGAGTCGGTGTGTCAAAATAAAAGGACAAGAGAGGTCTAATGCTCTGCAGATCCATTTATCACAGCAGCAGAGACAAGACGAGACAGTTACCATGATTACCCAGAGAAACTATTTAATTAGATGCATTAATAATTGAGCTAATTAGCTCCCATGTGTCTCGCAAATGAAGAGGGAACCCGGAGCTCCACTTGCACCTCATCAGCTGATTAATTAGTCTGTTGATCGTTAGCTGTCTTGACGGCCTAAATGCGATCAGATGAGAGGGCGGATAATGAGGGAATTGTCGGTCGATGGTGCTGGTTAATTAGTGTGACCTGATCCAGGGGCCATGTTAGAACAGTTGTTTATGCCACAGCGTCTAATGAGGAGGATTTAGGGCCGGATGATCTATTTGGAAACAGGCTGCAGTCTTGTTTATGGGACCGCGGTTAGTGCTGCCCTTGAAAACCCCCAAAGAAAATCACTATAGTGTTCCAATAATCCGTCTACAAGGACTAATAATGCCTCTGTGGAGTTCAATATTAACTTTACAAAATGACTTTGCCATACTTTGAGGGGTTTTGATCCTTAAATCTTCAATATAGTGACTTAAAGTAGATTATCTAGATCAAATATCCTTTTTTTGGTGTTTCAATAATATGTCTATAATACCACAAAGACTTGTAAATCTGTGGTAGCCAAAGTATTGACTTTTACAGCTATTTTTCAAAACGATACTCTAGAGTTAATTCAGCTACAGGTCAGATAAAGGGCTGCACCAGCATTGAAACCTATAGTGACACATTATAAAAATGGTCCCACAGTGACAGACTGTATTTTCACTCAACTCTCATTTTATGATGACCCATGTACACTTTAAGTATTTACAGTTTAGGAAAAGTATCTTGTGTAAGTTGTGTGCCATACAATGTAATACAACGTCTACTAACTAAACCATACAAAACAATACAACATGACACCGTACAGTACAATAGCACAAGATACAATGCAACATGATTCACAATACCAAACAATATTATACCATATATATTTAATTATAAATATTATACTATATACATATATATATATATATATATATATATATATATATATGTGTATATATATATATATGTGTGTGTGTATATGTATAATATTATACTGTATCAAACCACAATTTATGATACAGTACTACACAATACATTATACAATGTGGCATGGTAGAATACAAAATAACATGTGATACTACAATATTACACAATTCCATACAGTATAATACTTTACCATACACTACAATACAATATTTAACAATTCAAAGTGATATGATACAATACAATATGATTTAATACCATACCACATTACAACAAACAATATGATACTATTTTATACAGTACAAAAAATTACAGTAATATACTGTAAATGATTTAAAAAACTGTATATGATACAGCTATCATAGTATAATAATGTACAATCAAGAAAGAAATACAAAATGATACAATACAGCACAGTATAATATGACTCACTATAATAATTGATTATGGTAGGACAAACTTAATAGTACAGTAAGATACTGTAAGATACATATAAACCCAGGCAGCCACAACGGAAGTGAGCTGCCGGGGACCAATAATGATGATGCATCGGTGTTTTACGATCTCGGCGCAGAAGATGATGGTGTGAAGATGATCAAAGAAGTAAGTGGAAAGGTTATTGTTAAAATTCGCTTCGTGTGCTTTTTAACGTGTCATTTGGTTCTGCCATGTAGCGCCTAAGTCGATATGAAGTTGAAGTGAAGCTAACACTACACCAACATCCTCCTGTTCAACTTTATATCGACTCAGGCGCTACATGGCCGAACCAAATGACATCCTTTTATTTCCGCAGTAAGTAACAATTTTTTTCCATCGCCACTTATTTTTACTTTTTTGCCTCTTTAACTTCTGTTGTGGCTTTTTTTTTTTATTATCTGAACTGTTTCTTTTTTAATTTGCAGCAGGCTTCGGTTTCTTTTTGTTGCATGAGTAACTTCTGTTGTGACTTCTTTTTTTTTTTTGCATTCTTTTTTTATTTGCAGCAGTGGTTGTTCTTGGCCACCGTATACATATAGGGGAAAATGGGGCTACCGCTCCAGGCCTAAAAAAATTAAAGTTTATTTAGACGTCTAAATTTAAAGGAAGTTTAGACCAAGTCTAAATCGAGGCTATATCTTTACTACACTGTATATTGCTCAAGGGCTATCATAATTATTTTGGTTAAGTACTTGGAGATCAGTCTTGCAACTCACAGTTGCTTTTTGAGATAAATAGTTATCGAATAGCGGGTTAAAGTGCAACGTCTAAATTCCATCTAAAAATATACAGAATCTAGACGTTGAAATTAGGTCTAAAAAAAAAGATTAGACTTGTAATAGACGTCTGTTGCTCAGTGGGTTGACCATAGGAGACCACGTTTTTTATGCAGATACACAAGTTAGGGACAAACTAGGATTGATGATGATGGAAAATGTCTCATCTTACCCCACTCTCCCCTACTCCAAAAACACTCCCCTCAATAATCTTCCTCTCAAAACACATAATTGATCATTTCAATTCATTTTAATTTCTTCATTTGTCTTCAAGATAAACCTATGTATGAATTCACTGAACCGTGCACGCACGCGCATGTTGAGTGTGCGCGCTTAAAAGGCAGAGCTTAGAGTCCAGGTCGCCCTGGAGATAATTGGTGTCCTTGGAGTTGAATAAGCTCATTCTAAAACACCTCAGGCCCGGGCCGTCCTGGTGTGTGACTGTCTATTGAATAATTGATTCAGAGAGGGAGGGGGCGGTTACTATCAGATCTGAGCGTAATGACTTTATATAATTAGCACGCAGCGATGAAAAAAGAAAAAAAGAGGGTTTGACTGTGAGAGAGAGAGAGAGGGAGAGAGAGGGAGGGAGCTGTGAGAGGAGGTTCAGTCTGTGCAGAGGAGCAGCCGCAGACTGCGTGCACACACAGGCATGCTTCTGCACTGACATCAGCTCAGATAAGACACACTCACTCTTGATTTAAGGACATCTCTCCTGCCGGCAAGGTGATACACGGAGACGCTGTTTTCCTCCGCCCCGACACACGGCTGCGTTTTACGCGCAGGGAGAGAGGCAGAGAGCGGCTCCATGGCTGTTTCCCACGGCTCCCCTCGCGGAGCTGAAGTTTGAGGGGCTGATTCGGTGATTTATCCCGAGTGTGTGTGTGTTTGTTATCCCCCTCACCACCACCACCCGTGGAAGCTGTGGCACTCCTGCTGTCGGTGGATTGTTGTCGTTCTCCTGAAGGATGGTGCTGGATAAGGAGGAGAGTGAGTACATTTTTCGACATCATATGAATGCAATCAATAAAAGAGGACGTCAGGAGATGTTTAGAGGACTGGGAGGGACTCTGCTGCAAGATTTAATTATCTAAGGAGACATAGTTTCCTCCGGTTTTAGTGACAAACTTAGAGAAATACTTCTATCAGCGTGAATGATGAGGTTACTGAATGAAAAACACACTTATTGGTGATTTTTCTGTGAGTATAGTCATCTTCTGTTGTAGTTTCCTTATTTCTAACTTTGTATTTGAGTGGCTCTTTTAGTTATGTTTGTTTGATAATGCTCAGACTTCACTAACATCTCCAATAAAGGCTTTTAATTTGTCTCTGAATATCCTCATAATTCAGTTTGAAATCTGCACATGTATTCTCACGCTTCTCTTTGCACGTCTCTTTCCCTCCCCTTCCACCTGTTGTCCCCCCCACCAGGTGTGTCTCTCGTTCCCCTCCAGTCCAGAGAGAAGCCGAGGGCCTGCGCCGGCTGCAACGGGAAGATCCGTGACCGCTTCATGCTGCAGGCGTTGGACAGGTTCTGGCACGAGGACTGCCTGAAATGCGCCTGCTGTGACTGCCGCCTGGGCCGCCTGGGCTCCACCCTCTACACCCGGGCCAACCTCATCCTCTGCCGCAGGGACTACCTGAGGTAACCCGAGACCTTCTGCAGGTGTTTCTGCTCTAAAGAGGGGGAGGAAATAACCCGAGCAGCTACTGCTGTTCTATCACCTGATATACACGCATTATGAGGACAACATCTAGGTTTCTGTTTGTCTTTGTGAGGTCTTGTTTTCACTCAAGATGTCTCACAAAGAGGTGGTTATAAAGACGTCATGAGACGATATGATACAACTCAACACAATAAGCTGATTCCATTAGACACAAAAGGCCTGTTGTTAAATTTCACTCATTTGTTCAGTTCGTGGACTTTTCAGTGTTTCAGTCTTTGTCAAAGTGAAACCAGAAAAATAACTGCTGCCTTTATACTGTTGTGAAACCATTTCCTGTCAGATTAACCCTTTTAGATCATACACAGTACAACAGAGAAAGAGTTAAGTTAGGGATCATGAAAGGTGATCATGTGAGTCCCAAGAGGGTGAGCAAAACCCTAACCCCTAATTTCCACAAAAAGGCCGATCACAGCTGATCGTAACCATTCAAGTTAAAGTGTCAGTTTCCACCGGCTTCTTTCCGTTTTATTAGGTTGAATTTATGAGTGCAGGAAGAGGTTGAGGTGTGGCGCCTTCATCCTGAAACCTGCTAATTCTAGAAGTCTAGAAGTAGATTTCCTCCTCTGGAAAGACACACTCTACTGCTTATATGGTTAGCCTCTGTGGCTAAGGGACAACTTGTTATCACGGGTTCTTGTGAATTCTCACAATTACCGCTGTCCGTAATCCGCCTTGAAATTTGACTCACCAACGGATCCAGTAGGAATTGTCATTTGTCAATTGTCACAGTGAAAATCGCCACTGTTCTGGATCGGAGCCGTTCCAGATGTGGTGAAAATTGGTGGTTAATCTTCACTCATTTCCACCAGATCTAAATTCTCTCAAACCTGTTATTATGTCCTCGTCCTCACGACCAGTCTGAGGCGTTTTTGCCACAGTGTCAACAGGCAGAGGAGAGTAAAATGTACTAGTCTTCTTCTGGTCTGTGATCACGTCGTCTCTGTAAACGTTCGCTGTAAGTGCTGCATTCATGGGACGTCTGACTAGCTGGAAAAATGAGTTTTGGAGTTTGAAAACGCTCATGAACTCCTGCTGAAGCCAGAACAACAACTCTGCGAGATTACCGATATTTCTCGCAAGACTTGACGAGATCTCACGAAATCTCGCGTGTTCCACCGTGAGACATTGAATGAGATCGGTGGTGTATATAAACATCCACATCCCACAACCCTGGCCCCTCCCGTTATCACGTGAAGAATAGTTCGACATATTGATTTTATTTTAGTTTGAAAACTAACCGGATATTTTACTCTGTAGCTGCATACAACTTCCGCTAAATTGATGCGTTGTGCTGCGGCGTCAGCCAAAAATAGAAACCTTGCGTGTCTGATCCGACCGCCGGAGTGGATCCGCAGCGTAACCGGACAGATTGTGTTGAATTACGCACACTAATTATAATACTTGCGTATTTGATCAGGCTGCCGGTCTGTATCCTGTGGAATTTAGCCGTAACAATCGTCCATCATGGTTAACCAATCAGAATCAAGCATTTAATATAGCCAGACATCGCTCTTAATGATATTAGAGATGTTTTTGGGGAAACGGTACCAAGCTTTCCATGTGAGACTTTCTTATATGTGTGATTCAAAACAGGAGCAGACATTGTGACTGAAACAGAGGGGTAAAGGTTCGTCCGGCCTCGTTTTGACTTCAGACTTTAAATGTTTGAAGTCTGTGAACTCAGGGAGGTTATCAGGGAGTCTCCTCTGGACGGCAAGTAAAAGCGCTCTGAAAAGTCGTGTCAGTTTCCACATGAAAGAAAGAGGAAACCTACAATGTGAACAGCTGCTAAAAGGTGTATTTCCAGTCAGTTCCTCCTTTTTTTTTCACCTACTTGTGTGAATAAGATCATTTTCCAGACGTCCCTAAGTGTATTACTCGAACCTAAGTGTGCACGATGCAAAGGCAGACGGTATCTGCTGTACGGAGCAGTAAGTTTCTAACACTTAGCGCACTTTGAGGCCCTTCAGACTCTTTATAAACCCTTCAGACAAAGATGAATGTTCACAGATTGTCTTAACAGCTCCTCTCCGTATCCTTTGAGCGAGGTTATTCATCACTCGACCTCTCGCGTCTGTGAATCACCGCAGGGTTAATTTACGACGGAGTATGCTTCAAATTAAAAAAATTCCTCCAGTTTTCCACCTTTACAGTCTTTCCAGCATGAATCCCCGATGACAGGCCTCATACACAAACCTGAACCCGGCTCAAACCGCTCCCCTGAGAGTTATACAACCTTCATTTTCTTGCCTTAAATAACGTCGTCTGGTGTCAGGTCAGCAGGGGAACTCCTGATATCTCAGCCACATTGCTGAACTCATGTGTTAGTCTCATGTACAATCCAGCTGGATTTGGTTGGAGCTAAGTCTCTCATTAGCTGCGCTGCACTTAAGAGACCAAAACCCCTTTTGACAGTTAAATTGGCTAGATTGCCTCCTGTTTTCCTCATCATTGCGAGGGTGCAGACCAAAAAGCCTTTGAAGAGCGGGATTAAAACCATGTGATTTCTTTTAATTGGACCATTAGTAGAGAATTAGCATTGAGCTTCGTAGCCTCGTTAAGGAGAAGGAAAAAAAACCCACCAGGTGCCTGCTCAGGACTCAGGCTCGTTAGATCAGAACATTCGCTTAATTAGGACTCTCTTTTGTTCCCATGTTGGTCACTCGTTTGATGACGTTTTTCATTTGTGGCGCTTTACTCCCCCCTCTCTCTCTCCCTCTCTCTCTCTCTCCCTCCCTCTGAGGATTTTTTCATAACGGTTTCTCCCAAACCTCCTTTTCTATTTGCCCTCTAATGGAATATGGAAATCAGCAGCGGCCACTTATCTTCATGTGTGTCGGGCTCTCAGGGAGCCGTTTGTTCGTGCTTTTAGAGGTGAATGAGAGGTGAAGCAATCTGCAGCTGGTCAGGAGTGAGTCACCGAGTCTTTAAAACAGAACAGGGTTTTGTTTTCAGGACATACTTTGAATCTTATCACATGATTTGTTTGAAGTTCTCAACTGTTAAAAAAAAAAGCCTTGAAGGCGGAAGCGTCAGTGTGGATCAGACATTTCCTCATCACGTTTGACATTTTCCTATCAGTGAATCTGATAAAAGGATAAAATCTCTAAACTTTTATAAAGTTTTTACCTCAAGTGAGACTTTTAAAGTTTCTGCAGCAGCTTTAAGTGAACTTTACTCAAGACAGGAACTTCTGTTTGTATCTAAAGTATCTTAATTATGACAACACCCATTCAGACATTTACAGGCTAATTCTCAAATAACTCCGGGATTAAATGAAGAATTCCCTGAAACATGTTTTAGCTGCTTTTCAACTGAAGAAACTTTCCTGGCAAGTAGAAACCTTTGGATGAACTCAGGGACTGGGTCTCGATTAAACCCCTTTAAGGGTTTTTTTTCTAGTAATCTTACGCCGCTCGGTTGTGAAATGAAATTCAGGGTGTTTATGGAGGTTAGCTTACAGGTTAAGGTCCTTGCACACCGGGAACGACGCAAATATACAACGCGAAATTACGAAATATTCAGAAGCGAATTTTGACGCGCCTGACTATACACATCAAGCACGATGCAATTTTCTGACATCCCGGGTGGAAGCGAGAAGACTGAGCCAACAGCAGACTGAGTGTTTTTCAGTTCTGATCAGACACTAGTGTTGAGATGTCTGTCATGATAGCATGTACTGAGTCGGGGTCAGTACCAGATAAGAACATTAAACTATAATCCATAAACGTAAGGTAACAACCCAGACCTAATGGAGCTGTGACAGCAATGCTGTGATTGAGTTTACAGTGAAAATACATATGGTATGTTGTATCTGAACAGGTTAGCTTACGAGCTAAAGTTACTTAGCACAGATGAAGGTTAAAACAAAGACGTTTATCAAACTGTTAAAGCTCACAAACCATCGTCATATGAGAAATCCGACGCGATGACTCTCCACAAGTCGTCCTTCAGGTCGTTATCTTTGTAATGTTTGTGTCTTTTATCAAAAATCACTCTGTTCTCCGACATGTAAACAATCAGCCGGTCGGCCATGTTGGATATACCGGTGAATCTGACGTCGCAACAACACGAAATCTGATTGGTCAGAAGTGGACACACAGTATGAGAAACTTTAGAAAAATTGACCGTGATACAAAAAAATAAATGCCGCAATATCGCAGGACGGGAAAACGTCGCTGATGTAAAGGGTGGAATTGACAGGATATGGGTTCAAAAAAAATATTGACGTCGGAAATAATCGTACAAAAAAACGGTCCTGGTGTGAAAGGACCTTCAGTATGAGGTATTATAGTTTATAGATATTAATCTGAAGGCTGCTGGGGGTTTACGAGCTGTACAACATGCATGCGTCATTTGCAGGATGATATTTGAGTACATATGTTTGCCGAACTCGGACAAAAGGTTCCATTGAACTACTTTTTTATACTTTAATCGTTAGTTTGATTGTATCAGTTAAAATATTGGAGTAACTTGGACCACGCTTGAGCTCGAGGGTGGTCCAGAGTGTTTGTTTTGCACCTGTTTGTTCATCATTTGCAGCCGTGTGGGAGGTATTAAAGTTGATAGAAAGAGGCTGATGTAAATGTTTCCTCCCACTTCTCTGTGTGGAAAAACACAAACGCAGCTCAGTTCCCTCCTTTCTACGCCTGGCGCAGGATTTTCAGGCCTGTCCACTTTTGTTTCAGGTTTTTGTTTTGCCTCCTCAGCTCTTGGCTGAAATGTATCTAAGTGCGTCCAGACTACAGGTCTGCTTGTCGCCCTCTGTCTCTCTGCAGGCTCTTTGGGGTGACAGGGAACTGTGCAGCCTGCAGTAAGCTGATCCCTGCCTTTGAGATGGTGATGAGAGCCAGAGACAACGTCTACCATTTAGACTGTTTCGCCTGTCAGCTCTGCCGCCAGAGGTAAGATTAGGGGAGCAATTAGCCGGGGAGATCAAATTCAGTTGACTTATCTGGGGAGGGCGTGCTCGTAAGCTCAGTGGTCATTATGAGCGTGCATTGTAATCAGGGAGCGATGAAATGTGCTGCAGAGTTGAAACCTCAAGGGGGTTAAAACTTTGTATATCACTGGGAGAGTTAATCATGCAGCAATCATGCAAGATTAATTTTCTGATTATCATAGCAGTGGATGTATGCTGAAAACACGCCTGAATGCTCCTCTGGGAACTCATGATTCACTCCAGCTCAAGCAAGAACCAAGACCCAGATCCATATTTTTATTCCTCTCTGCAGATTTTGCGTGGGAGATAAGTTTTTCCTCAAGAACAACATGATCCTGTGCCAGCTGGACTATGAAGGAGGCCATCTTAACGGCGGCGCAGAGAGGCAGACTCAATAAGAGGTAATATTGCGATGACGATAAATTAGGGGCCCAGACAGCCGCTCTGACAGTTTGAAGTAAACCATGCGCACAGATATCTGGAAGGTATACAAGTGAGCTCACGGGCTCATCCCACATATGACCATATGTAGACATGAGACCTCCAACCACATGCTGCTGGCATTAGAGAGACGAGCCGTGCCAAGATATGTTAAAAAAAAAAGTCTGTGTGGACAAATATGCTTCGCTCTGAAGGGGGGCCTCCGTGTCCCACATCACGACAAATATTAGTTTTATTCTCATTCAAAATCCAGATCTTAAATTCTCTGTAATCCTTTTAAATGATTCAATAAACTTTAAAACTTAGAAAGTAAACAGTGATTACAAAACATCCAACAGCTTAAAGGGATAGTCTGTCTTAAAATTAAGTTAGGGTCAAACACACCGTAACACCGAGTTAGACCCCCCCCCCCTCCAGAGATGAATGTTGCCGACCGCTTACTTCTCTAGTTATACCAACTTTAGTAACAACCACAGGATAGCAATACACAGCGGTAAACAAACAACATAAACATAAACAAACTTCAACCAAAACGCCACTCTATAGCCATGATCATACATGTTCTTCCTTGAGCTGCGACACCCCGCAGCAGTCTGTACAAACAAGCGTCTGCTGGAAGAGAGTAGGTGAGTTGTGTTTAGTCTCTTTGTTAAAGAAATGAGTCAAAGTGAAAAAGATGTTTGGTGTCTAGTACTATGTCTGTGACCCTCTATGTCCTGTTGATGAAGTTAGGTGCTGTTCTGAGCATTATTTGTGGCTATAGAGTGGCGTTTTGGTTGAGGGCGTGGCTCTCTGTATTTCTATCCTGCGGTCGTTACTAAAGTTGGTAAAACTAGAGAAGCAAGTGGTCGGCAACATTCAACCTCAGTGCAAAACAGGAAAAATATCAAAATAAAAGCATGACTAACCCTTAGTTAATGCAGGAATTTCGCCCCCTAAAGAGGTTTTATAGGTGTGTCAGGATCCTGCTTAGTCAGAGTCAGGATCTTGTTCACCCTGATGGGATTCTTAGGTCCATAACTATCAGCCCAGTTTACATAACCTCTTAGAGTTTGAATCCTCATCCAGCCATGACCATTTCAGTATCTGTTCCTGCACCTGAGGGATCATTTTCCAATATTAAACACATGCAGTTTGACAAACAGACAAGAGTTGAAGGTAAAATCTGAGAAAATCGAGGCTCCAATGATTATAACGCACCCTTTTGGGTCAGAGTGTAACTGGACATGTGAATCTCATTAAAGATTGGAAAAATGGCGTCTGTTGTCTGTGCTATGTGGTGCGTGCAGATCACATAAGCTGTTCATTATAAACAAAAAGCACTTACATCAGAGTGTACAGTTCTCCGTGCTCTTAAACTGAGCAATCTTGACTTCACTCGCACTGAAAAAGGAACATTTAATTTAGATTAAGTTATCTTGTAGAGCTTTAAACTCACCATAATCCTGAAATGGAATCTAGAATTTACATAAACGATTTTCACAAAGCTTCAAACTGCAGAAATGCAAATCTTGCATGAAAACATGGTCTCGGTTGAGCCTCTCGGTGGGTGTGAGCAGCAGTGGACTCTGAGGGCAGATGGGAACATTTAAAAAACAAGTGCAGCAGAAACCACCAAATCCATAATCATGAGGGTTTTCAGGGTCTGCAAGGGTTCAAACACACACACTGAAGCCACCAGAAGCCCAAAGCTATCATTATGAAGCGAACTCTACAAGAACAGTTCATAAAAAATACAGCAGCAGTGATGAATTCTGGACTTGGAGAGTTTTGACTCTCGGTTGGTTTTGGGTCTTTTAGAGTTCATGTTTGCACAACTTCAGACTTTGGAGCTCATTTCAGATGAAAATCTTGGTACAGTTGAGGAATCGAGCTCATTTGATTGTTAGCAGAGGTGAAAAATGAAGGAACTTTAACACACATGGGGTAAAATGTTTGTGTATTTTCTTTGGAGAGATTGAAATGCCTGATTTAAATTACAACAGTGAATTTTTCAGCCTCCATAGTAATTTACTGTAATTCTCTCTACAAACTGGAACAGCCTGTTGGTATTGGGTTTTCTTTGACTTATAAATGTGACCACTGTTTATGATGCGTATATTTTTCTTGGTTTGTTATTCTCTACTACCTGGATGTAAACGAGCATGGCTGACAGATTGAATAATTTGTGTTGTAAGTGTTGTATTTGGCAGTTTTTTACTGTAGAAAATGGGGATAACTTATAGGTGGCTGTGTCGGGTTAGTCAGTATTTAAATTTGTTTAAATAACTTGGAAGTTCTTTCGGTCATTACCCAAAGTTCATGACCGTAGGTGAGGATCGGCACGTAGATCAACCGGTAAATCGAGAGTCTCGCCTTACGGCTCAGCTCTTTTTTCACTACGACTGATCAGTTAAGCGTCCGCATCCCTGCTGACGCCGCTCCGATCCGCCTGTTGATCTCCTGTTCCATCCTGCCCTCACTCGTGAGCAAGATCCCGAGATATTTGAACTCCTCCTCTTGAGGCAGGACCTCCCTTCTGACTTGGAGAAGGCAATCACGGATACAAGCGGCCGAAATGGGTTTCCTCCTCAGGGTGTCCGGGCTCAGCCTTAGAGATAGGGTAAGGAGCTCGGACACTCAGGAGGCGCTCAGAGTAGAACCGCTGCTCCTCCACGTTAAGAGGAGTCAGCTGAGGTGGCTCGGGCATCTGGTTAGGACGCCTTCTGGACGCCTCCCGTTAGAGGTGTTCCAGACATGTCCCACCGGGAGGAGACCTCGCTTGGTCTGGGAGCGCCTGGGAATCCCTCTGGAGGAGCTGAAGGGCTTCAGTCCTGAAGCTGCTGCCCCCACGACCCGGACTCGGATAAGCGGAAAAAAACGACAACGACAACTTAGAAGTTTTTCAGTTTATATATATATATATATATATAGAAAACATGTTCCTTTGGCGCAAATGACTAATACAGAGTTAAAAAAAATAGCTGAGTATGTCAAGCTCAAAAACCCCGCAGTTGTACTAGTGAAGTAAAATCTGGGAAATGGATCAGTTACCAGAGCGTAAAATGAGTCTTACATAATAAGTCTCGGGTTACTTTTCATTATAATCAAACTTACCAAGACCTGAACATGTAAAACTCCCACATTTGATCATCATACCGGCCTGATTCTAAAATAAACTCTATTTTAGTCTTTTTCCAACTGAGAAAATATCTTTTCCTTTCTGAAATGCAATTATAAGAAATTGAAACTGCCTTTTATTTGTAATGGACTCCACAATTTATTACCAGACAAATAATTTATACCGTATTTAGTGGACGCACATGTTTTTATTGAAAGCCACACACAGTGACCAGGAGCTGTTTTATGTTTTCTCCTTTCAGGACGACTCTGAGCCAGTTGGACGATGAAGACCAGCAGCAGTGTGGTCCTCAACAGCTTCTTATTCCAGACTGAACCTGATGGGAGATGTTTCCACGAGCACAGGATTGAACTTTTTGTTACAGAGCTGCGTGGTAACTCTCCTAAAAAACTGAATATTTCCGATCAGACGGACCAGAAAAGAAAAATGGAACTTTCAAGAGGAACTTTATGTGGATGGGAATAAATCTGCCCCCCTTTTTCTTGATGTTTTCAAAGAGTCTGCTCCCCAAACTAGAAACACAATCTGGATGGCGCGAAGCCAATCAGGCCACGCATAACATCAACCAAGTCATCCATCACAGAGAAAAATACTGCGCCGTCCTCTTTAAACTTCTCTGATTGTCAAATTGTCCTGGCAGTTGCTCAGCTGTCCTCTGTGGTGAACTCCACCCGCCCCGGCATCCAGGAAGAAGCCCCAAAACAAACTGAAACATGATCGCAAACACAGTCCGGCTCTAGCAGAGGAGGCCCGACCATTTCTCCTTCAGGACTACATCGAACTCAGAGGATCATCAGACTCAGAAAACTTTAGTTTCAATCCGATCTCCAGCTGTTTTCTCGACTAATTAAACTGAATTATAATTTTGGTTTGTGTGGTTATTATTTACAGACTCGGATGATCAAAACTAGTGTGAGCAGACCAAAGATCATCAAAGGATCCTTTAATGTTTACTAAAAAAAACCACTGCTTTTTAACGAGTAACTCGTCAGGCCTGAACTGTGTTTCTGTGGAGAAAGAAAAGCTGAAAAAAACCTTCTTGTCGTGTAAATCCGTCCACCCAGAATCTACAGTCAATTTGGTAACTGAGTAGAGGTGGACTATTTGACTTGCTTGCTAAATGTGCATTTATCCTGCATGCAAATGGGTGTGAAAAGTAGTTTATTTTTACATTATATCCAAGCAAAAATCTCTCATGTCCATTATACTTACAATTCAATACTGTAACGTACTGAAAATGACAAAACAACTGCTATTTATGCAAACATCACAAATACAGTGGTAAATACCAATACTGATAAAAAACTTAATAGCCTACATGCTCATCTTAGAGCAGACCTGGGCATTTTACAGCCCTAGGACCAGATCCGATCCTTTGGATGTCCCTGCCCGGCCCTTCGTGAGGTCCGTCAATCAAATCATAAACATGCTAAAAAGTGTGTTGCTTTAATTTTGAAAACCTAGCCGTTGTTTTATTTCTGTTTGGCCACTCGTGCGAACATCCTAGATCTGCATTCGTGAACAGAGACAAGTTTAAACATCTGCAGAATATACGTAGATGCCTTATAGTTGCCAAGTTTGCTTATTATAAAAAGCAAATATTTGTTATATATTGGCACACAAAAACAAAGAATAATTAAGACTCTGTAGTTGCCTATATTGTGTCTTACCATGCACTGGAGCACTACCTTATAAGTGTCCATGTCTTTTTCATGTTCAAGTCTTTATCCAGCCACTGCGCCATGCTAGCTTAATCACTGAACTTACGGTAAAACCACTGTCACCAATATTTTTATGGTGAAACTTCTGTCTCCGATGTTGTTCACGGTGAAAGTGTGAATCAAATCATCCCGACCAGGCAGGGAGGGAAACATCAGCAAATTTGGTGACTTGGGATCCTGTTCCAGATACGCCATTAGCTGGCATATTCCTTAATCTTCTACTTAAGCGCAAGATGGGTCATTAAGTGCTTAAAATTTGGCTCCTTGGTCTTTAGTTGCTTTCATTTATGTTGTTTAAGTAAACTATCCATTTTCCAAATGAGCACTCAAGGCTTTTTTGTGCTAGTGATAGCCGGGGCTCCTGCTTTGCATTCCTTGAAAACAGCTTTACTGAATTAACTACTTTTCAGGTTACTACTTATAGGATTTCTTATAATAAAGCCCAGGGATTTTTCTCTTCCTTTTGAAATACTTGTGGCACTTATTTCTCAAGTTGTAATGGTGTTGACCTCAGCTGAATGAGTCAAAAACATCCACAAAAACGACGCCATTTTTACTCAACTTAGTTTAAATCCTCATGGAAAATCTGAAAAGTTATCCTGAGCCATTGAGATGACCGAACTAAGCCCTGGAGAAAATTATTGGAGGGTAAACTGAGCTAATAAATGTTTGAAGGCATGACCATTCAAGGCTTCCGTACAACTACCTACTGGCACTTAAACTCTAAAAATAAACGTAAATTCAAATGAACAAAAAACTGTTTTGCAATTTATATGTTTAAAAGTACATTACCCGACTATGATCAGTATTAGAGATTATGAGCCCTTCAAAACTCCGCCGCGGTGCTTTGGCGCCATTTTGTGGTCAAACACAAGAAACGCAGCCCAGGTACACTTCCGGTCCTCCAGTCAACAAGGAAGTTAACCGATGGATGAGAAACGACATCAACCTGCTCCGGTCTCCTCCGTTTTCTCGCCGTAAATCCTGCAGGAAAAAAAACACCGATTTACTGTCGAAGTAAATTCCCGTTGCTATGGCGATGTCAACGTTCCAGAAGGTGACTCTCGCGACGTGCCTCGTGCTGTGCGTGGCGCTGCTGCTCCCCAAAATGCTGTTATCCCGGGGGAGGAGGGATGCTGAACGACCGGACGGTGCGTCTCATTTAACGGCCTTCTGTCGTCTGTTTTTACATTTACAACTTCGTAAACATTTAAACTGCGTGACTGACTGGATTTCAAGCGTTTATTTTAAATCTTTTATCGTGATTTTTGCTCCAACGTAAACTGAACATCAGCGGTGTACCCTGCTCTTATACTTTCCTCCCTCTAGAGGGCGTCAAACTACACTAAGAGACATGTTTGAGTAAAATCTGAAGTATAAACACTACAGGACAAACAGTTGGGAGTAACTTCAAGTTTTTTTCCACAATACTTTTATTTTAAATCCAGCATGAGTTTTATGTATTTTGTGATGTATTTACTCCATGATCAGATGTTGCTTTCATGAAAATGCACCATTTTCCTCAGTCTACCTTTAGATATACATTAATGTTAACAGACCATTGCTAAATATAGGTCAACAAAAGAAAATAAGGGCTTAGTTTTAGGGCGTGAACATTTGCAAGCGTCACAACATCAGTGCAAAAACAAACAAAAAAAATTACAGTTTGCATTATTCACTGTACCTCTTTGGCTTTTGAGAGTCTGCAGACGAAATCCTAATAAATCTCAACTGTGTTCAAATCTGACAAACTACCGCAGAAATGTCTAGAAAGAAGCAACTGAGTAAAGAAACAAGAATGCAGATTTGTACATTGAGGAAAGAAGGATACACAGAAAAAGAAATTGTAAAACGCCTCATGGGGTCTAACAAAGGAGTCCACTACACTCTGAAGAGACTAGAGGAACCTGGAAGTTATGATGATAGAAAAAGACCTGGACGAAAGAGAGTTACTACAAAAGCAGAGGATAAACATAGCATTGTCACCAGTAAGAGAGATCAACTAAAGACAGCACCACAAATAAGGGAGGAAATCAACATGACAAGGTCGAAATCCATATCTCTGACAACTGTGGAAAGACGTTTAAGAAAGGCTGGTCTGAAAAAGAAAAAAAAAACTTTGTCCAAAGAACAAGAAAAATAGATATGAGTGGGCGAAAGCTCACAAAAATTGGACCGATGAAAGCAAGTTTGAATATTTGGTTCAAAACGTAGAGTCTATGTCCGCAGAAAAACTGGTGAACGTCTGAAAGCACCATGTGTTACACCCACAGTGAAGCGAGGAGGTGGTAGGATGCGAGGATGTTTTGCAGGCGATCAACAATTAGGAGAATTGTTTGAAGTAAAGGGTATCATGAAGAAGGAACAGTACCACTCCATCCTCCAGCACCATGCTGCTCCATCTGGACTCAAACTTGTGGCTCATAAGTTTGTTTTGCAGTAAGACGATGACCCTAAGCACTCTGCCGAGCTCTGTCAGGGTTACCTAGACCGAAAAGAAGAGGAAGGTGTTCTTCAAAAGATGGTTTGGTCCCCTCAGTCTCCAGACCTTTCTCCAGTTGAGCTTGTGCGGGATGAATTGTATCGATCGGTCAGAAAAACGCGTCCCACGAATCAGCGTCTCTTTTTAATGAACTTAAGAAAGCTTGGAATGCGATCTCTGGAACATACCTTAGAAAACTTGTGGAACGAATGCCTGGTATATGCAAAGCTGTTGTTAAAGCCAGAAGAGGTTACTTTAAAGAAAGCACAAAGTCTAAGCAACAATAACTCAAATACCTCATAATTATAGTCAAAATGTCTTCTGATAAGTTACTCTGTACACGATAATCATGTTTATTTTGTTGCAAATTATATAAATGAAACTATGATCTTCGGTAAAAGCGGTAAAAGACGACAGTATTAGGTTTTTCTCTTGCAGAAGCACCATCACTGCATGTCAAATCAACTGCGCTGCTGTGTTTTAAGTCAATCGTGTTTTTCATCTTCTGCAGGTCCAGGTCATCTCCCTCCTATGATGCACCGTCAGATCGCTCCAGAGGGTCGAGGACAGAGGGCTGCAGGACCCGGTTTCTCCAGAGCACACAACACCGAAGCCATCGCCAGGGCAAAGGGAGCAGGAACAGGAACAGGGGCGGGGACGGGAGGGAAATCCAACCTGGCTGGACAGATTATCCCCGTGTACGGCTTTGGGATCTTACTCTACATCCTTTACATCCTCTTCAAGGTGAAACACTGGAAATACAACACACAGATTCTCGCTAAGATAGTACAGATATATGTTCTTGTAGAGACAGAGATTATGTGAAACTACAGGTGGAGGTCTCTACGTGTTTATACCAAATAACAATGTTTTTTTAAATTCTGTTATTGTCTCATTGTCAGATCACATCGAAGGGAAGCAGCAAACCCACAGAGAACAGATTTCCTTCAGTTCGCTCTGAGAACATGAAGCGGAAGATCAGTAAGTATCATCTAATCTGATTTAGATTATTCTCTCTTTAGTGACTTTAATCACTAACTTTTTGAACATGCCTTAAGTTGTTTTAATTTAATTTTTAAAATCTTTTTGGTGAATTTTTGATCAAATTTTGGGAATAAATACCAGTTTGTTTTGCGTCAAATCTGTTTTCTTAATTACTGTCATTATTTCCCATCTCTAATTTGTAATAATAAAATGAGAAACAAACAAACGTCAGTTATTTTCTTGCATATCGATCCTAAAATAGCACAAAACTCAAAGTTTGACTCCAGACTTTTGCAGCTTGTACTTTTATAGCTCTCTTTATTCTGAACTTTATTTTTTAACTTGCTCTCTGCTCTCTCGCTCTTCTCTCGTGTCCTTCAGCTGACTTCGAGCTGGCTCAGCTGCAGGAGAAACTTCAGGAAACTGAACTGATGATGGAGAATATCGTTTCCAACGTCCACCACAGTCCTGACAGGTGGGTGTGAGCGTTTCCTGAGGAATCAGTGTCAGCCTGTTCCTGACAGAATGACTGTTTTTATTCGATTAATTTTCAGATGATTTAATTACAGGCGTGTGATAATCTCTTTGGAGATTAATCCGAACATCACACCCCGTTAAACTTCACACGCAGGATTTCTGTCTGGTCTTCCTGTCGTATTAAAATGCTTTTCATCCATATGAAATCCTCAAACTTTTCTTTAAAGCCTGAAGCGTTTTGTCTGCTGTGACCCACATTAAGCAGCTCTAGAATAAGACTAGATGAAATTTGTTCTTTAAAATCTTTTAAATAAAAAAGTGTATTTGAATTTGTTCTTTTTGTCAGTTTTATTTAAAAAAAAACTTTGCTTTTGGTTTTCACTGACAGATCAGTAAGAAGCGATTTTATGGAATAAATATGTTAAAGCTTCTGTGAGGAGTTTTTTTAATGTAATAAAATAGTCTGAAATTCATATTGATGCTTTTTCATGATACTTAAACACAGTCAAGATCATCGGCGACATGATTAAGAATGTGTATAGTGTAATATTTGTGCTTTAAACAGGTATACGAGGTTAGGTGTCAACAGAGTAGATGAAGAGACAGCCCTGTTTTTACAATGTCTACATCAAATATTCACAATTAGTGATTTATTTAACTGTCAAAAGTCTGCAGGATGAGTTTTTTGACATTTGAGGACAAAATAAACAAAGACTGATGTGTCCCAAATTGACACAAACCAAAAGTTTCTCACAGGAGCTTTAATTTATACTAATCAGATCTGTTGTGATTGATTTGTAAATGTTATAAAATGTGTGTGTGTGTGTGTGTGTGTGTGTGTGTGTGTTGATCAGGGTGAAGGGTGTGATGGAGGACCAGGAGGAGAGCCTCCTGCAGCAGCTGACGGAGATCACTCGAGTGATGCAGGAGGGGAAGCTGGTGGACGACGTTGTTCCCAAGAAGGACCAGGAGGACTGGGAAGGTACATGAGCGCCTGTACACCCTCTGACTTCACATTAACATTAAACTCTGCTACAGTGATATCTACTGTATCATCATTACACTATATTTATGAGAAGAAGGTGGTTTAACTGGATTCTTGTCTTTGTCCGAGTTCATAAATATCGAGCCAGAACATTTGTCTGCTTTTATTTGTCTGAAGGGTCTGCAGGTTACCCTGAGGAGCCTCAGCAGTTCTGGGAACACCCCCACTGCTGCTGTCAGCACCACAGTCCACAGGCGGAGACCAACGCTGAGAGGACACAAGCCGACGGCGCTGATCTGGAAAACATCCCCGAGCACGCCACAGGTGGAGGAGAGGAGGAGGAAGCAGAGAGTGTGAGAGAGTCCGTGGATGAGACTGTGCAGCCAGAGAGTGATTTAGGTGTAAATGAGGGTGTAGACGTGCACGAACACAAGGAGGGAGGGGCCCACATCGATCTGGGCGTTGCAGAGGAAGACCTGGCCGGAGTCCTGCAGGAGCTGGAGATCTCCCTGAAGATGACGTCAGTGATGGAGCAGGAGAAGATGGAGGACCTGAGCAAGACCGCGGAGGCAGAAACGTCCTGCAGCACGGTCAGACGGAGGAACAGGAGGAGGAGAGCCAAGAAGGCCTCACACTGACTTCAGACGGGACTGCTCATAGACTCCAGAGTTTTTAGTTTTGAAACTCGTCTTATTAAATTCTTGGAGATCTGAAAGGAAGGACTGTAGGTGCACAGGGATCAGATTCTACAGAAAAGTCCCAATCTGAATTTAAGGACCTGGACTTTGTGTATCAGCATGATGTGATGAAGAAGGGAACAGTCTGAATAGAGGACAATCCTTTATTTATCTCTAAAGAGAGATCTCTGCATGCAAGTGCAGCGAAAAACCCACCCTAGATCCTAAATTTGGACTCCTGAACACCGTGCTGTAAAAACCTCTCAGCTGTTAGACTTCCTGAGAGTCCAGAACGACAGCGTTACTCCACCCCGCCTGACTCAAACAAACATGTTTTCAAAGTATTTATTATAACTGACAAAACTTGACTTCTTTCTGCATTTTTAAGAGCAAATAAATCTGTTTTTTTTTCTGGTTCAGACCGCTGAAATCTTTGTATATCTGACACTTTACAGAGACTAATGTCCCGCCTCCTTCGCCTCTGATTGGCTGTGAAACGTCATCACACGCTCAAGCTGGGCGCGGGCTGTCGGCTCTGTACATCAAACAGAACATTATCGCACTTCTGAATCTCCTAACCCTGAACCTAACTCGACAGACGATGACGTTTAACAGCCATAAGGAATAATCAATCGGAGCCCAGCACTTTTAGCCAATCAGAGGCGAAGGAGGGCGGGAACAAAATCGAACTTTAATGAAACCTTTCTCTTGTTCTGAATTATTTTAAGATTCTTACTTTTATAAACAGAGTTAATTCACTCTCTGTGACATCCCTAACTCTAAGAAATCTCGACATTAAAAACTCTGCCCCTGATGAAGCTGTGATATAATGAAGAGCAGCAGCAGCACAATTCAAAAAAAGAGTTTATTACTTTTATAATGGTACATTTACTCATACAAAAGCAACATCACACTGGCGGATGTTTGCAGAGAATATTTTGGATCAACAGTTTAGCGAGTGGCATGTCAACACAGCAGCGCCCCCCCCTCTGTGAGTTGCATTAAGTGTCAGGTTGGTCTGGGGTTTGTGCCCGCCCCCCCCTCCTAACGATGAACAGGAGGCAAACAGACTGGACCGCATCAGTGCTCCATCGGCTCGTCGGGTGCTGCTCCGGCTGCAGGTTCGTCTGCAGGCTGGGCGACCTGAGACACAAGAAGAGAGACAACCGTCAGGGTCCGTTTCAAAATACAGAGTCTGGCTAGTTATCGTCTAATATCAGTGCAGAATGTCGACAGACTTAAACACCAAGTTTTGCATAAAAAGGTCAATTTTTCACTTAGTCGAGTTAAAAAATAAGCAGAAATAAGAAGAATGAGTCTGACCTTTCTCTGTGGTCTCTCCTCCAGTCCCTCCAGGAAGGGGGCAACATCATCGTCATCATAAATGGTGAACTCCATCTCCTTCCCCACGATGCCAATAGAAACGTTCTGAAAGGGAGGATCAAAAAAATCAGTAAAAAAAAAAAAAACGGATGGATTGAATTTCTTTTAATTATTACTATTATCAGAGCGTGTCGGACAGAGCTGGGTTACCTTGGTGGTGAGGTCCTGCTCAGCGGGGAGCGTTTCTCTGAGAGCGCGGAGGCCGTGCTGGACGAGATCGTTCAGATTACCTAAAACACAAAACAACGCTCTCTTAGAGAAAGATCTCAGCGAGAATTTAAAACAGCTCCAACACCGTCAAAGAAACGGTTAAGTCAAATTACACACGCCGCTGTGATCAGGAGGGTTAGAAATAACAGATGAACAGAAAACACTAAAGTTAAGGATGAAAACAAACTACAGTTTCCTCTTAGGATGTATAAAGATTAGAGAGAGTGAAGCTTACAGTCAGAAAACTTGTCCATGAATCTCTCCAGGTATGTCCGGGCAGACTGAGAGCGAGCGCCGATGGACATGGCTTTACAGTCGAAGTAGTTTGCTGAGGGGCAAGTCTGGAAGATGTGAGGTCCCATATCCTGAGCGAAAACAGACATATTAGAGAGAAGCGGTCCAAAACTCATCCTAAACTGTTTTCAAAAGGTACAAATAGTTTTAATGAACAGATACAAACAGGAACATTTGAGTTTATAAACTTACGTCATAGCCGGCGATGAGGAGTCCGACGCCGTAGGGCCTCCTCCCGTACCTCTGCGTTGGGATTTGGGTTTCTGGAGGTTCAGTTAAGAATCACTCGAGACATTGACATTTATTTTACTTCACAGAGTAACAGCATTGACTTTCCTCTAAAGAAATAAAAACTTGTATCAGGCTGACAGAAGTTTAGAGGATACTGCTGCCAATAAGAGACACGAGGCGTGACGTGGGGAGGGGCCTGTCGAACACAAATCTCGAATCCAAGCACTCCTGACGCATGAAGTTACTGCAGAGAGAAACCACAATCAATATTATCGTCTTTTATTAACAAGAGTGAAAAGTTTCATTCAGACTATAGAGACTCTTCTGACTCACCACAGCAGTCTGGCATCAGCCGTCAGTCCAGCGATGGAGATGCCAATGTGGTTATCCACGTGGAGGATCTTCTTCTGGTGGGCCGCCAGTTCAGACTGGGCTCTCTGCAGAGAAAACAGGATCGACACCTGACTGTGACTATCACAGAGAGCTGAGGTTTAAAGTTACAGTGAATAAACGCTGGAGAGAGGCATCTTTATGATGACTTTGGGAGAAAATGGTTCTTATGTAATAATTAGAGCTGCAGGAGAGTTATGGCCGCCTCCTGTAATTACAGCCACAGAGCAGCGAATAAAAACGGTGTCACAGTCTAGCTCAGCTGGTTTCCTCGTTCTTTTGGCAGGAATCCTTTTCACATTTATCACTGCTCAGATTTTAAGTGGAGGCTGAACTGAGCGGAAAAAAAAAAACAAAAAAGAAGCTTGAACAGAGAAATGAGCGTCCCTCAAACGCTCTGAAGAAAGAAAATCTAAAACCAAACAGGATAGGACGGTAGGGTTCAGTTCAGCAGATAGAGACGAGAGGACCCGTACCTTTAGTGCAACCAGGACTGCATGGCTTTTGGATTTGAGTCCTACAGTCGCAGATCCTTGTTTCACTGCCTCCATGGCGTACTCAATCTGATGAATACGACCCTGGATAAACACAAGACATTCAACCTCTTTGAGATCAGAGATTACACTCATTCAAGGTTTAAAGTCGTGGACTAAAGTTCTGAGAATGACACAAATATTAATTTGCACAAAGTCTGCTGCTTCAGTGTTTTTAGATGTTTTTGTGTTGTACTCAAGTAGAATTACAAGTATTTCTTAGGTGTTGATTTGTAAGTTTTTGTTTGTCCACCCACATCTTGAGGATTGACCAAAAGTTCTCTATGGGATTAAGGTCTGGGGAGGTTCCATCGAGCCTCTTAGTTATCATTTTTGCCTCATGGTAAGGAGCTCCATCATGCTGGAAAAGATGTTGTTCGTCACCAAACTGATCTTGGATGGTTGGAGAAGTTGCTCTCAGAGGATGTTTTGGTACCGCTCTGTATTCATGGCCGTGTTCTTGGACAAAATTGTGACTGAGAAGCAACCCCTCACATGAATATTCTCAGGATGTGTTCCTGCTGTTATGACACAGGGCTGATGGTGGCGCTCACCTTTTCTTCTCCAAATAAGCTTTTTTCCAGATGCTCCAAACAATCGGAAAAGGATTCATCAGAGAAAAAGACTTTCCCTCAGTCCTCAGCAGTCCAGTCCCTGTACTTTCACAGAATATCAGTCTGTCCCTGATGTTTGCTTTACTGAAGTGGCTTCTTTGCTGTCCTTCTTGACACCAGGCCTCACTGTGCGTGTAGATGCTCTCACACCTGCTTACTGCACTGGTGGTGCCCCGATCCTGCTTCCCCCGAATCCACTTTAGGAGACAGTCTTGGCTCTTGATGGACTTCAGTGTGAAGTTCAGGTGTTTAAGATAACATGAAATATGTAAATAAATCAGATGAACCGATTGTCTGTTTTCTCCACCATAAGGTGCTGCTGACTTTGTTCACTACTTCAGATTGAAATATAAAAATGTCAGCAGATTTACTTTCCTGGTTTGTGATCTGCGAGGGGAAACAATGTTCCCGCTGGCATTGAACATCCTCTCGGATGGCACGCTGGTTCCTGGGAAGCACAGAAGCTTCCTGGCAACCCTCGCAACAATTTGTAGAAGCCGAAATACGCCCAGACTTCGGACTTTGTTTTCTTTGACAGCAGAAAAATCTCACGAAATCTGCAACACGGACGGCAAAACTGCCCGCAAAACTACCCTCCGCCATGTTTACAAGTTGTAAACTGCGTAATGCGTGAGTTTTTCAAGAGTGCGGCGACCAAACACGGTTTTAACGGTAATTAAAATTTGAAACGGTCGTACTAACCATCACATATTTTACTGCGGTTTATCATTTTACCGGTAATCGTTACATCCTTATCTCCAGCCTTGTCCTAATCAATAATCTCACCTGTGTTAACGAGAGAATCACTGCAATTATGTCAGATGATCCTTTTGTAACAGGGCTGAACTGCTGTGGAAATGTTTTTTTTGGGATTAGTTCATTTTTATGGGAAAGAGGGACTTTGCAATTATTACATTTCATCTGTTCACTCCTCAGAACACTCCAGAGTATCTGCATCTTGCCATCATAAAAAACTGAAGCAGCAGACTTGGTAAAAACTCATATTTGTGTCGTTCTCACTATAGTTTTAAAGTCAGTAAAATACAGAAATAAGAGGAAACAGACTGACCTGCGGGCTCCATACTGTCACGTCGTTGTCGTACTGATTACGGAACTAAAGATGGAAACAAAAGAAGAAAACAGATCAGATTAAAATCCTCAAACAGACCCTGAATACAGACCCAAACCTGCTAATCTTACATAGCTGTCCTCCATCATCCTCCTCTTTACAGACTCGGACTGACTTCACTCTGAGGATCTACGGACTCTTCTAGAACTGGGTTTAAAGTTACAGACTCATCTAAATTATTGATAACCAGGTACAACTGAGTAATTAAAGGTTATAATCTGATCCCTGTAACATACGAACACACGATAACAGTGAGGAAGTTTAACTCCTCTGTGTTCACTGGATTATTAAACTGGATTATTACAGACAGGCTGTCATAAATTAACCACAGATTACAGGTGTGTTTAATAACTTCACATGAACATTATGAGTTTATAAGTTAAAGTGAGTTTGGAGAAAACGAAAGTAAACGACGTGACTCTACAGATTAACGCTAACTCTGAGCTAACGTTAGCATGTTAGCATGGATAATAAGTAACAAAGACAGATACAATCTGTGACTAAACGTCGAATGAAGTTAAATGACAAATAATTCAATTTTAATGCATTTCCTCCAAAGAAAACAAAGCTGTGGTCGTTTCTTTTAGCAGGTTTCCACGCTGCTAACGCTAACAGCTCCTGTTTTGCTTACTCACACCGCAGCTAGCTTAGCCGGCTAACGCTAGCTCAGAATGATTAAATTAACCCCGTTTATTCAGTTATTCTGTTAAATTTAACAACATATCACAGAGGGAAACATAGTAACCTCACAGAGATTTCATATAAAGTTGAACAGATCGATACATTTCATTATTACTGACCATCTTTACTGATGAATAAAGTCTCGTCTCCTCCGCCTGTGATCCGAACTCGATTCTCCTTCCTGGATGCGACTTCAGGGGAAAATAATGGAGCCCAGATTTAAGATCAGTGATTGAAAAAGGTAAAAATTAAAGGCGGGAAGATCCCTGACAGAAAAAAGACAGAAAAATACATATTTGTAAACCAATTTAAGTGTGTACGTTTATCATGTTAGCAATCAAAACGATTAAGTCGATTAAGGTTGTTTATTCGATCAAATATAGAGGAGAGTGGGGTAAGTTGAGCCAAAGGAGATATACCAAATATTTAGGAGATGGGCATCAATTCATGGAGTCTGTGAAGGTAAGAAGCACATGGGTGAAGGGGTTAGACATTTATTTCCACAAAAATACATATTTCACTCTGTAAAGTGAATTTAGTCTGTCATAAGTTTGATTAGAATTGTGTTCAGACCAAAAAAGATCATTTTAAATTTGTTTTATACATCAATTGTGGTATCTATGAGCTACAACATAAAAGTCCACCATTTTAGCTTCGAGGACTAATAAAGTCATCATAGTAGTTCAGGGGTAACTGAGAAAGTAAAGGAGTCTGATGAGAGGATCAGAGTTTCAGATTGTTGAAATTTTTGACATCTACACCCCCACAACAAAAAGACACATGCTTTTTATTGTAGTACGAACGCCTGGTTGTTCTTAATACATACCTTTCCTCTCTTCCACTAAACATTTTCTGTATATGACTAGGGAGTAGATTGTTACTTGTTTCTAAATTCAACTAGATCGGCAAATTTTAATCCTCTTCATTTCAGAAACAGTTCATTAGTATGATGGAAGAATCCTACCTTGTTAACAACCCTTATCGCTCTCTTTTGCATAATATAAATAGGTTGTAAATTAATTTTGTATGTATTTTACCCAGACTTCTATGTGATAAGTCAGATATGGTAATACAAATGTGTTGTATAATAAGTATAAAGTTTTATGGTTTCATATGTGTCTTGTCCTACCCAAAAAAACCGTTTATTTGGGGTTTCCAGATGACATTATGGTCCATTTGCACCCCTAAAAAAGTAGACTCATACACTCTTTCTATCTTAATGTTATTAATACTCACTTCCACCTCTGTATTTGGTTGAATTAGTCTCTTTCCAAACACTGTGAACGTATTTATGATGAAGACATAAACATCTACTTTTTTATTCCCTTTCTCCAGATTTACTGCATAATCACATCACAATAAAAAAACACGCAGTTTAATGTATTTTAATCTGTGTGATACAATCTTCTTATTGAACAATGTAAACTTTAACTGCCAACACCTTCAATATGTGGTACTAATCAAAGTCTTCATATAAATAAAACCAACAAAAAGCCATAATGACTAGTTTCAGTAATGTTAAACGCATTATTTATGCCTTTTTAGGGGCAAAGCAAAATCCATCTGAGCAGTTTTTACCAATTTTGCACCGAGTCTGATAATTCTTCTGGACCTTTTTTGCTTTTCTGCGGAGGCTGCAGTGCTTTTTCATCACCACTAGGCGGCAGCAACAAGTTAAAAGAGGAAGCAGGGTGCATCATCGGATAGAAACAGACAGAAAGTCCTTTAGAAAGAATATAGTGTGTGTGTTTACAGAGAAGTCAGCTGAATAACGAACATCCTGCACAGTTTCCATTAAAAGAAAGTACATATAGATAATAGATGCAGGTCCACACTCTCTAAGGTGGGTTTAGTTTGTTTCAAATCTTTAATTAATACAATTAATCCAAACTTAAAATGTAGTACAGGAAAAACCTGTCTTTGTGGACATTTCTCATACTAATATTTTAATTCACTGATTTCAGGTTGAGGCACCAGAGCTGATGAAATTCGCATTAACAAATCTGACTGTAGTGTCATCCTAATTATATTTTACATGTGAGATTTAATGTCTTTTTCACATCTGAACAATGTCTAATGATTGAGGAGCTTAAAAAGAAACCTTCTTCCTTAAAGTAGTTATATAATAAAGTAAAAAAAGCTTCATGTGCTCGGTGTCATTAAATCCAGAGGCCACCCATTTTAATAATTCACATATGATATTTCTGAGCCACAGAGCACTTTAGTCAATACTTCTCAGCCACTGAGCTTTGGTAAAAGCTTCAGCTGCAGAATCAACTCCTGACCTTTAAACAGGAGGCAGAGATCTCCTCACAGAGACAGCAGTCTGGACTGAGCCGAGGACCCGGAGTTCTGAATGAATCGTGACTCACAAGATGTTTTAAGATTGAGGTTTTCTTCCTCATCTTGGTCTTTTGGATTTAGTCTCATTCAGAAGAGTCAGTGGCCTGTCAAGATTTCTGGATAAATTTGCTGTAATTTTAGTTTTTTGTCTCACCTTCGTGGCTGTGCATTTGAAATTGTGCGTCTCCCCTTTACAGTGGGTCAACTTAAGGAGTTTTTATGACGATTGGCTCATTTTAACCAGCAGTGACCTGGTTTTGTTTGTCAATGTCCCTATAAGCAGAAAGAGTCTTGGAGTCCGCTTCTAAATGAAACTTGACAGCTGAAAGTGAAGCTTAAATATATTCAATAATACTGTGATAACCACTTACTTGAATACATGTAGTGTTGAACGAATATATATGAAGTCCATCATGCAGCACTTTATTAGGAGGGTATTGACAGTGAAAGAGTGACATGTGAATGCAAACCGCCCAAATTTTCACTCTGGACACAAACACCCTGACCCTGAAGAGGCTGTTTGTGTCCAGAGTTTTCAAGAGTCCTTTGAATCAGACTGTCTGGGCCTGGAGCTGGGACTTTGATTCTGGTTGACAGGTTTCGCAGTGATCTGGACTCAATTCGACGTTTGCAAAAACAAGGTTGGAAAAATACGTTCAAATTGGCTCAAACAAAAACAGCGCTTTGTAAACAGATGAAGCCAAAGCCGAGCTTGGATCCTGCAGAGTTGGTGGTTTGATTTTAGATGAGCAGCAGTTGAGTGGATTGAGAGGATTGTTGATCCAGGTGAACGAAGACAAAGAAAAAAAGAAACGAGGAAATCAGAATCAGAAATACTTTAATAATCCCCAGGGAGGAAATGATTTTAGTCACAGTAACTCCAGTGCAAATAAGTAGAAAGAGGAGATAAATAATAGATTAAAAAAAAAAAAGATAGCTGAAAATATAGGTATAATAAGTAAAATAAAAAAAGAGATAAATAGATAAAAGAAGTAAATAGATCAAAAATAAATTAAAAAAGAGAGATTAACTGATAAGTAAAATAAAAAGAGAGATAAATATATTAAAGAAGTAAATAGATCAAAAATAAATTAAAAAAGAGAGATTAACTGATAAGTAAAATAAAAAGAGAGAAAGATAGATAAAATAAGTAAAAATAAGTTAAAAAAGAGAGATTAACTGATAAGTAAAATAAAAAGAGATAAATAGATAAAATAAGTAAAAATAAGTTAAAAAAAAGAGAGATCAATAGATTACATAAGTAAAAATAAGTTAAAAAAAAGATAAAAAGATTAAGAAATAAGTAAAAATTAGTAAAAAAGAGAGAGATAAATAGATTAAATAAGTAAAAATAAGTTAAAAAGAGATAAAAAGATAAAAAAAATAAGTAGAAATAAATTTAAAAAAGAGAGAAATAGCTAAAAAAAGTAAAAATAAGTTAAGAAAGAGATCGATAGATAAGAAATTAAGTAAAAATAAGTTTAAAAAAGAGAGATAAATAGATTATATACAAGTATGTACACTATATACAACACAAAAATAGTAAAGTAGCATGCATGTTAACAGTAAGCAGAGTCCAGGTAAATTTAGGATTAAGGAGAGGAGATGATGAAATCAATAAAAGCACAATATTGGCTTTAAGGCATAACTGTCATAGTATGAAGCCTAATAAGGACTGACTCTCTTTTGGATGGAGCCTCAACTGCAGTTTCACGCTGGCTGCATATTTGAGGTTGCTGCTTTATTTGTGCGTCTAAAACAGCCTGTATGGTCGAATAATTCCAAGTTTTAGTCCAGGCTTCATATCTAGCTGCTCGTATTGTTACGTACCAAACAATTCCTCCATTTCTGATTTTAATAATAAAAAAGCTTCTTCATCCATTTGCCACCAAAATGCTGCATCAGCACTTTCGTCAACAGCGGGAAACTGACGGCAGCGAGCTGATCCTCCGCGCCCCTCCTCTCACACGTATGCCGCTCTGGCCTTTGTCGTAGGAATTGTTAACGTCAATGATGACATGCAGTATTTGGACTCATAAAACCTGAAGAAGGGAGGGGCTGGGACGGCTCGGCTCTCCGCTCTGCGTTTGCTGTGCGGCTGCTGACCCGTGACCCGTCTTGTTATCGGACACCTGCCAGCTTAATGCAGCCTTGGCTGAGCCGCCACCTTTCCCGCCCATTAGTCCAGTCATTTTCCAGCCTTAGACATACACTGTAAGTGACCTATTTTAGGTAACTAGGAGATAGGAGGTATGGAATATTTACCCGTATAGCATGTCACATTATATCCTTTCTGGGTAAATTGATGCTCAGTGGCTCAACGCTGGAAAAAGTGGTGTCTGTGCTTATGCCGTTACAACAGAAAAGACACATAACTTAAGGAAACGAACACAACGTGAGCCTCATTCAGAAAGTAAAGGCGTTTGTTGTCCCCCCATGTGGTTAAACAATCTGAAAAGCATGAATGGGTGGAGGAATGGGTGCACCCACACTCCCTTCTACTCCCCAAACACCTCCTTCCCCCGTCTCCCCCGTCACCACGTGCGAGCGCAGAGTCCACAGTGTGGCTTGGACCGAACCGCACAGTGACTCAGGCTGCTCTCCATTTGAAAAATTAAACGAGGGGGGCCGTTTGGCAGAGTTAAATGAGGCCCCCAGGAAAAAAAAAAAAAGAAAAAAAAAAACATGCTGAGCTCAGCAACGCTCCTACAATCTCAATCACAAAGGAGGAGGTTGGCGCGCTGATGTAATGGCCGCCGCCGTGCTGCCGCTGCCTTGGCAGAGGAGGAGAGCTCGTCAGCACAGCCTCGCTAATTCATCTCCCTCCCCCTTTCCTCCCTCCCTCCCTCTTTCCTCCCTCCCTCCCCCTCCTGGATCAAGGGTACATCAGATATCATTAACAGAGACAAAAAAGCAAAGTTTAAAACCAGAACTGAAGCCGCACCAAGAAAGGATGAAAACGCAGCGGCGTGAAAAATATGCAGGGACGCTTGGAAGAAGCATGAACAGCATGTGTTGTGAGGTACGAAGGGTCAAAGGTCAAAATGGAGGCATCATTTATTGCAGGCTAACTGGTAAAGCTGCCACTCACCTGTCAGCACGTACCCACCTGTAGAGCCTTTTGTATAATCTGGATTATTTAAGGCTCTTCTGCTTAGACGGCAGCGTAGAACAGAACATCAGTCTGTGGTGGAAAGTGTTCTGGGGAGGAAGCATCAAACCCAACGATGCAAGACGTCTGAATAAACTGGTGAAAAAGGCTGGCTCTGTGGTTGGACTCAAGCTGGACTCAGTGGAGGACGTGGTGGAGAGATCTACACTGAGGAAGGTGGAGTCTATTCTAAAGGTCCTCACACACCGGGAACAACGCAAATATACGACGCGAAATTACAAAATATTCTGAGGCGAATTTTGACTCGCCGGACTATACACATCAAGAGCAATGCGATTTTGCGACTTTCCGGGGGGAGAAAGACGCGTCCCGGGTGGAAACAAGAAGACTGACACAAGAAGGTCAGAAGTGGACACACAGTATGCGAAATTTCAGAAAAATCGACCGTGATGCGAAAAAAATCAATGCCGTAATATCACAGGACGGGAAAACCTCACTGATGTGAACGCTTGTATGACAGGATACAGGTTCAGAAAAAATATTGACGTCTGAAATAATCGCACGAAAAAAACGGTCCCAGTGTGAAAGGACCTTAAAGAACATGGATCACCCACTTCACAAAACCTTGGTGGACCAAAGGGCCAACGGTGGTGGACGGCTCCTCTCTCTTCGCTGCAGGACAGAAAGATTCAGAAGATCTTTTGTACCAACAGCCATCAGACTTTATAACTCTGGTGTAAATAGAAGTAGAGACATATTATGTGAGACAACAGACAATTTAATTTTCCTCCAGGGATTAATAAAGTTCTTCTTCATCATCTAATCTGCTTCATGCCAGCCTGTCCACCCTGAGGGCCAAATATCTGTTGTAGCTCTAAATGAAGACCCTAAATGACACTAAAGGCTGTGATTTAGTCGACAATAAGTCCTGATGACTTTTAAAAACCTCGTCTTATATCAGCGTAAGTGAAACCAGGAAACTGAAAACCACCTGATGTGATGAAGCAGCATTACACACACTCAGACTGGCTCTTGACTCATGCAGATGCCAGCTAACAGTAATCAGATTATGACTAACACTCTTCACTGTAAGAAGGAAATACAGAAGCAGATTTTAGTCATTATGTTAACAGCGATGACAATTTTCCCTATCCGTCATTTTCATTGTTTTAATACCAGGAAATGCAGCCACACCAGAGTCCATCAGGTTTATTTCCTGATTTCATTTGTCTTCAACTCACCGAACACAACTCTGAAACTTTTTCTAAGAGACTGCGTTATCTCTGGAGATGTTAAAGCAAAATTAAAAAAGGATATTCAAACTTTAGGCAGATCAATGTTGCTCTGTAAAACATTTTAAAGATGAGTTAATCTCGCTCAAATAATCCAAAAGTTGCAGATAAACTATAACTTTATGGCCTCCTTGTAGAGGACACCCTCTCTCTGCACTGAAGCTGCAGGGAAACCCCTTAGCCATCCAGTTTTGTGTTTGTAAATGTGTTTTTTTTTTTTTTAAGTACAGCCAGGATTTATGTCTCCGGTCTCACACACTTTGCTGGTTATTACAGTCGTCTGTACACACTCAACTGAGGTATAAATTTGATCCTGTTTGGCACGGGCTCTCTTTAATGTAAAAGGACAGGGATATAACTTTTCCCTGTTTGTTATTGGTTCATCAGTCTGTGAGAGGACACAGCGTTGACTGTATACAGACATGGTAGATGCAGTTCCATCCACTCCTATGATATTGCATGATGAATAGGGAGTAAACTTGCACTCTTGTTGGCACCTGTGGGTGTTTTAGTTTAATAATATGGCATCTAAGCGCAGCAAAACCTGGTCTAAAGTCTTGAGTCAGTGGCACGGGACTTTCCTGATTGTTAGAGGCTACTTATTGAGGTATTTATGAGAGTTCAGAAAGCATGATCGAAAGGAAAGGAGATATCAATGTATCTGCAAAACAATCCAAAGCATGAAACTGAGTTTAAGGGACTTCAGGTTAAAAGTATTTCTGCCCTGTCTCTCCTTACATCATGATATTGCCCACACTGCAGGGCCAATCCAGGGATGCCAGAAGATGAGGACACCAGCACTGTTACCTCCTTCATTAAATGTTCTTCCTTGAGCTGCGTCACCCCGCTGTAGTGATTGAGCCTGATTGGACCAGTGAATTTTCTCTGGAGGGTGTCAGCAATGGTCGTATACAAAGTTGCCTCTGGAAGTGATTGTATAGACCTGCAAACAATCAGATTAATGCACGGCATAGCATAGCAGCAGAAATGTAAACAGACGGAGGCATGCAGAGGAAGGATTCGCACCTTTCTGACCAATGAACGCTGTATGTGCTGTTGTTTGTGGTCAAGTCCAGGTAGCGTAAATCTTTGGCACGACTCGATATGCATGAGCCATAACTTACAGAGGGTCTAGCTTGTTTAGTATCAGCACTAAAGCAGACTCAGAACCACATCAATTGCAGCCATCTTGGCTAATCTGCACAGACGTCATAATTAAGATAAACCTTTATGAGGGTGACCATATGTCCTCTTTTTGGGGGGTTTGTCTGGGGAAGTTTATAAAATCCGGCAAATGTCTGGGGTTTTGTACAGAAGTTTTGAGTTTGTGTCACGTGGACTTACTGAGTTAGAAGCGCGTAAAAGGCACTCGATCCGACCGAAAAAACTCCCAAAATTAACTTTGTGACTCTGTGATTCTACCCCAGCATAGTCGTGTCCTCTTTTTGGGAAGTCAGAATATGGTCACCCGACCTTTATTCATCCCACAGTGGGGAGATTTGCATCATATCAGATAAGGACAAGAAATCTTTCCACACAGGATGGGAAACCAGTGGAAATAAACCACGAGTTACAGTTTGATCGGTTTCCCATGCAAGTTAGATAAAGGCCAAGCTGGAACAACCTGACCCAAACGTTCAATGTTAGCATAATAAAAAGCGACGCTTTTATCCTTTTGGATCCAAAAAGTTTTTCCAAATCATTACAGACGGCAGAAAATATCCAGTCACAGTATGTACAGTACATAAAGATGTTGGACTTGTGATGGTAATGAAACCTGACCTAATGTAAACAAATGCACCAGAAGTATTTATGAAAATGTCGTCCCTCGTCTCTGTCAGTGCAGAAACATCTGATGAAGCCGAGCCTACAGCACAGACACATCCAATCTCTGCTTTGGCTCTCCGGCAAACATTACAGCACTGATTGCCTTTCCTCATTTCGGACTGCAGTTTGGATTCAAACTAATGTGAGCAGTCACTTTCGGAGCTGAGAGCATTGTCTTCTGTCAGATCACGCTGCACCCATCTGTCGGAAACTCACGAATGATTATTGAACAGCAGAAAAAAAAACTGATACGACAAATCACCTCAAACGTCACGGCTGATGTGAGTTACACACACCGTCACTGTGTTTCTCCCCTCATGGTGATACATGATGATTATAGGAAGAGCTGGGAGAAGTTTGGAGAGGATCAGGTCTCTGCTGTGCTTCATCATGACTCACTCTTTACTTTTTGTTGTCGCTCCAGAGCTGATTTCTCAAGGCAGCAGATGAATGTTTGACACCAAACTCACTCTGCTGTGCGATACATTAGTCTGATTTCTGGCTCGTGTGAAGTTCACTTCAACATGCTTCACATTGACGTCATGGATATTACTGTTCACTTGCTGTAAATATTCTGATAGATGGCACGGATCTACAGGCAGAAAATAACAAACCAAACCAAAGGGAGATTAAATTCTTTGGACCAAACTGACCCAAGATTTCTGAGATGCAATAACTTCATAAAATCATTTTTCAGTACTGCAAATGCACCACTAACACTGGAAGAACAAAAAGCCCTGATAAGACTCCAGTAAATGGCTTGACTCCTATAATTTGAACTACCTGTTGAAATCAACTTAAAGGCTATAATAGTTATTAGTTATTGATGACATTTGGTAATATAACAATATCGCTGTGTTCTCTTATACCTGTGTAGTCAACATTTCAAGACTATTGCGCAGTCCGCTCATTTTGACTGTAAACAAAGCCGTTCTCCGCCTCCCCTAACCTTATTGGTTGTAAGGCGGACGCCACTCCTTCGTGTTGTGAGGCATGCTTCACGTCCTTGAATAACGTGCACGAGCCATTACCGGTCGATCTATGTGCCGATCCTCACCTATGGTCATGAACTTTGGGTAATGACCGAAAGAACAAGATCACGGATACAAGCGGCCGAAATGGGTTTCCTCCTCAGGGTGTCCGGGCTCAGCCTTAGAGATAGGAGAAGGAGCTCGGACACTTGGGAGGCACTCAGAGTAAAACCGCTGCTCCTCCACGTCGAGAGGAGACAGCTGAGGTGGCTCGCGCATCTGGTTAGGACGCCTTCTGGACGCCTCCCGTTAGAGGTGTTCCAGACATGTCCCACCGGGAGGAGACCTTGTGACCGGCCCAGGACCAGGTGGAGGGATTATTATCTCTCGCCTGGCCTGGGAGCGCCTGGGAATCCCCCCTGGAGGAGCTGGTGGATGAGTGCCATCTGGGCTTCCCTCCTAAAGCTGCTGCTCATATGACCCAGACCCGGATAAGCGGAAGAAAACAACGACGAATCATGAGTTAAAAAGTATAGAATACTTTATAGAATAGTATAGAATAGTATGTGTCTGTGACGTGGTTTTTAAAAGGTGATCTTTAGCCTGACTCAACCGAACCTCTGGTCAGTGTAATGGTAAAGCCAAGGCTGGCCCTCAGTGATCGAAACTATAACGTGTTATTGTTGTTGACTCTGCCATATTATTATTTCTCTTAATCAATACAGATTTCACTCTGAGCTTTAAGTATGTTTATTTCTGCCTTTTAAATTGTCATCTTATCATGGGTGTTGATGGGAATTTCTGCATCACCAAAGGTCGCCACTTGGTGGGATGTAGTAAATTTCGGTTACAGGGCTGCTTTTTCGTGTAGTCAGGCACAGCTTTCCTCTCAGTCTGCTCTTCCAGGTATGAGGTTTATCGACATATAAATGACCCACAGGTATATAATAATCATGTGGTCAGGTTCAGTAGATGGTTCCGTCCCAATATCATGTGAGTATGCATTGTTGATGACATTGCAAAAAGACTGACTGAAAACACGGACGGGGAAGCCTGCCAATCAATACAGAGAGGGATGAAGAAGTCAAGCAAACAATTTGTACACAGAGGAATTCTGGTTCACAGCAAAAGGTCGGCTCGATTTGATATTTATGCTATTTGACTCTTGAACTTTTATGGAATTCCAATGAAATACTTCTCGTCTAGACATGTTTGGATGTCTTGGAGGAATCGTGAGGTAACTGACCGGGTCTGCTGAGCCATGATTTCCTCATTTGGAGACACAGGCTACAAAGATGGTGCTATCACTAGACTTTAAATGAAAATGTGTAACAGTCCCGGTTAGGATCGTGATTAAATGAGAAATTTGGTTAAGATCAGATTTTGCACACCAAAGCCAGTACCGTGTACTTCTACTAGGTGGCGCTATTGAAGCAGTAGACATATGGGTACTTAGATGTGATCAGGGGTGCACCTTAACCATGTATCTGAAATATTAAATAAAATAACATTAACTTCCTGTTTTGATCATCAAGGTCTCCATAATCCATTGTCAACTGTATGAGATTACTAGACGACAGTTCTTGACAGAGTAAAATTTCAAAGTAAAATGCTGGACTTCCTGTTGGGTTTAGGGTGCAAGAGGTTTTTTTTGTTGGCGTTGGAGTGATTTTTGTGCCTGGCCAAATTTCTGCATAGGGGTTAAACCCTGTGGTGGGGCTGAATATTTGGATATTGGAAGTTGAAGGGGTCAATGTAGAGTTGAAATATTACATGTTTTTCACCTGATTTGTGTGTTGAGTCTGTTGAGTTTTGAGGCATGTTGAGGCCTCTAAATTAAGGATTTGAATATGTAAGAAAAAAGAAAGAATGAAAGATGCACAACTTTATTAGTGATGGGAAAGAATATATGTTTAGGTGATGGTCAGGTTGCAGTTTGACAACATAGATCGATGTTGATTCATTCCCGTTTTGATGTCTGCTTCTTGCACAATTTGGCCGTTGCAGCAACCCTTTCTTCCCACTTAGGGATCCAGTGAAGAATCTCCAGAGATCATATATCATTATTTCCCATAGCCAGAGCCATACCAGGTCTTTGTTGAACACCTGCAGCCAAAAAGCTCCGATTTGGCGGAAGACACATAAACCTTTAAGTGGGCGTGTGATGGAGTGTTGTTCTGGAGACACCTGGCTGCTCAGGCTAATCTCTTCATCAAACCCGTTTAATGGCCTCTTGTGCTTCAGAATCCATCATGTCACCATAATGGCTCATGTGAGTGAAGTGGGCTTTTAACTACATATGACTGATTGGGCAAATTTCTGGAGGTGGGGAGTGGGGGGTGGGGAGCAATGACTGAACGCACCATATTAATTTCACTGCCATGTCTGCCTAACCATTAACTGGTGGACTCAATTACGTCAACGAGGGCGACATAACCAGAGGAAAACGAGGTTCATGGGTCGGGAATTTGATGGTTGACAATTGGAGATATTTTCCTCTGTTAAGGGGAACAGACTCTTCAAGGGGATGATGAGTCCTCTTTGGGAAGACACACGGCAAACTCGTCTTATTATGGGAAAAAAGGTACAAGAGCAATGACAGAAAAAAGAAAGAGAGGTCACAGGGTGCAAGAAAATAATCACAAAAATACTCAAAAGGAAACAAAGAGGGTGAGAGATGATTGTTAAAACCTTTAAAAAGAGCTGTCTCTCATAGAAAGTTTGAAGATTTCTCTCCGGGTGAGCGATAAATGAAATAAAAACCCATGTGTCGTTAGTTGATGACTTTTTTCTTTCGTCATCTCATTGCAACTTTACCATCATCCAGCCAAATAGAGAGCCAGAAATTTCCAACTCCCGTCTTTGCTGCAGAGGCAGAAATGATGGCAGATTCTTGGGTCCCAGCCAGGCTTTATAACCGCATAACGTTTAACTTTCTATAAATACTACGGGCTGCAGTCCAAGTTGATCAAGTGTGATTGAATCTGAAATGACTCCAGCGACGAGAGCCAAGTTTCCTTAAGATACTTGAGAGGAACTGCTTGCCCCTGCCCAGCTTTTGACACGGCACCAGCCTGAGTCACTCCTCTGTTCCTCAAGGTACATCTGAGTTACTCAGATGACAAAGATAACCACGAGCACAACCGGTACCTTTACAGAACGACAGAGATGTTTTAGGTTAACAGAAATGCAGGTGATCCTCAGGTGTACATTTATTGTTAGTGGTTTCTGTTTAGTTTTTGATGTTGTGGTTTATTACCAGGATTTATCTAGTTCTCAATTCTGATTGGTCAAGAAGGTCATTATTTCAGTATAAAGGTTGAGCCCCTCTAAATATGTCCCTTATTATTCTATGGTGAAAATATAAAAGTGATCAAAACTATGACTTTGTACATTGTTGCAGACTTAGAGGTCCTTATCAGCATATTAGATAAATACTGTACTGTATAACGATGTTGCAGCTGGCAGGCAGCAGCTAGCTAGCAGTAGTTGCACATTTCTTCCTGTTTGGTAGTAATTTGAGAAGACTGGGCTTTAATATTTAAAAAAGGCACTGCTGCATTTATCTCCTCAGTGTTGCGGTGGTTTTGAAACCATCACACAGTCATAGTGACTTTAACTTGGACTGTTTGGTTGGGGTTTGTTGCTGTTGTAAATGCAAAAAGGCCAACCCAAAAATCAATGGTGCTTGCATCGCACATTCACGCTGTGTACCAGTTACCTCGCAGCCGGGAAGGACGTTACACCCGAGTACATATGAGAAAATCAAGATGGATGCCTACTGTTAGCCGTTGTTAGCTGTTGTTAAGAATTGTCAGCTGTTGTTAGCTGTTGTCAATTGTTGTTAGTTGTTGTCAGCTGTTGTTAGCTGTTGTCAGCTGTTGTTAATTGTTGTTAGCAGTTGTTGGTTGTCATTAGCCATTGTCAGCTGTTATAAGCTGTTGTTAGTAGTTGTCAGCTGTCGTTAGCTGTTGTTAGTTGTCAGTAGCCGTTGTCAGCTGTTGTTCGTTGTTGTTAGCAGTTGTCAGTTGGTGTTAGCTGTTCTTAGGCTGTTGTCAGTTGTTGTTTGTTGTTGTCAGTTGTTGTTGGTTGCTGATAGCTTTACCAATGGTAAACAATGCATAACACAGTATTTTAGTCGTACAAACACCACAGCACTGTATTCACAGTTAGACATTGGTTAGTACAACATAAACCACTTATTTAATTTCACAAAAACAAAACAGAAGTGCTAATAAATAAAACATTATGAGAGCTTTAACTGTTAATCTTTATTGTTGATGCACTGCGCTGCCATCGTGGATTATGACGTTGGCGTCAAGTTGGATTAGTGAGGCATGTCCGACTTTCTGAGTCGGAAATCTGACTTCAGGGGGTGCTCTAGATGAATTTCCAACTTGGAGCTCGGAAATTCCGACTTCTGAGAACAACTGGAATGCAGCATTAGTGATGTGCATTTTCATTGCATCATCAAGGTAACAGTTTTTAATTTAATGTAGTAATAACGAGCAAAGGCTGTGGTGACAAACATCCTTTGCTTTTTGCCCCAGCAGTTCAACCCCAGGTACAGTTCCTGGTAAATTTAAAGTTTGCAGTCAGGCAGGACCTTAAATCCTCCCCACTGATGACTAGTTTAAACAATGAAAACCTATAATAGCTGAGCTAGTATTTCAACATCTGTAAGCCCAGTGCTGTATCATCTTTGGTCTCCAGATCGGTATAAGCATCAGCGTCCACGTCTTTTTCATAGAAAATGTGATTGGATGAAATGAATCGTCGGATGATTCTCAGAGTGTTTTGTTCAGTCGGGCTGGCAAGCGTAATCGCTGCCCAACTCAAATCCAATCCCAGCATATTTCTACCAGTCGGGTCACTTCATTCATCCCCGTGTAATCATGATAAATAGGACTGCCAGCAGGCACTTTTCGGAAACACAAACTCCTCTCAGTGTTGCTCCGCCCGTCCACAGCATTTGTAAGTGTCTGGCTATGGATTGCTGAGAGGTCTCTTTTTCTCCTTTGCTGTTTTTTCTTGAATGGATGTGAAGTAGATACAAGCAAGCCCGGCCATTCAGACGGTGATGTCAGAGACAGGGGGCCAACATCCCTCCCACGCGGCGATGTCGGAGGCCTCTGATGGATGCTGCGAGGTCTCAACGATTGAATGTAATCTTCCTAATGCCTGGGAATGAACAACAGCAAACACTGGGGAGATTAGACTTCCCTGTGTGCTCCTTGACATTTTACATGCCTTCTTAACAGATGACCCGGCCTTAAATGTTAGCATGACCTTCTGCACAGCTAATTATTCCCCACTTTTAACAAATAAACGGTGTTCGGGAGGGTTTCACCTGCCCGAAGAGACATCTTTCACTCCGAATGTTCCCGCTCCATCCCAGCTGTTTAAACAATATCCTTCCTCTTCCTGGTGTAAAAACCACACAGAGACACCAGTTCCTCCACTTGAACTTGCATTTAATCAGGTGCAAGCCTCCTTTGTGGTGGCAAGCCACTGATTAGATTTGGAGATTGAGAGCCATTACAGCGGGCTGCAGTTAGATAATGACTTAAGTGCTGTTTCGCCTTCCTTTCTCTGTAGGAAGTGATTTATCTGGATGGGCTCGGCCTTAACTGACTAGGAGGTGCCCAGCAGGGAGCAGTGTCACACATAGATCATATCACCCAGCTCTGACCCCATCAACACTCACTGTCCTCCCTATGCTGATCTATGGTTTCTGTGTATGGAAAAGTGTAAGCGGTTAACATCACAGAGAGACACGGCAGCTTCCTTCCACTCGCTCTTGTCCTGCACTCGCTGATTTGATGTCTGTCTCGTGAAGTTTCAGAGCTAAAGCCGAAGTTTGGCAGGAAAATAATGAACTAGTATTTCAAAAAGCAATCATTATCTGTCATTGTTGTGAAGCTCAACTGGTGAGTCATCCATTTTTCTAAGACACGACACAGTAAGACTCCGGCTTGTGTGGTTGTATAGAAAAATGAATAAATGCGTTGAAAACAGGTGAGTTCATTAAAGGGGTATTTCAGTATTTTTAAAGTGAGGTTGTTGGAGCTACAAGTGTATTGGACATAATGGATGCAGGTCCTTTAATATATAAACTGTTGGGAGAACCGGCACACAAGCTAGGCTACAGTCGTCTGCAGACAAGGCCAAGCCTACTTTACTCATTTTAAGAGAATCTGACCCGAGCTTTTGCCCTGGATTTAGTGTGCACTTTGAGAATTTTTTAGCACTTAACTTTTTGTTTTTGCACCATTTGCATGCACTTCCATGTAGTGCAATCATTTAATCTGGTCTATGATATATCGTGAATCTTGAAATGTTTGCATCTCAATTTCGCTGCTTGTTTACCGTTGAATGCCGAGTATTTCCCAGCAGACGTTGTACGATGTGTAGAGCTTATTTAGCAGTTAACACAGTGTACCCTGATTAAGGTAAATATATTATGTTACCTGCAGGTTGTGTTATTATGCAATAAAGAAAAAAGAAAGAAAGCCGAACGCTTACTTCGAAGGTGAGACTCTGGTTTTCCGATTCAGTTGAAAAAACTCTTTAACCAACAGTCCATGAAAGAGCACATCTTCTTGTGTGTAAATCAAATCGATTTTCTAATCCCAAATTGCTGAATTATGAAGTGCAGATAGCCTAGCAGTTTAGGCACACCCTATGTACGCAGGCGGCCTGGGTTTGACTCCCCACTGTGGCGTCTTTTCTGCATGTCATTTCCTGCTCTTCCCTGTTTCCTGTTTCATAAAGGTCAAAAATAAATTTAAAAAAAAAGCTAAACCTCAAAGTAGACTCAGCCTTATCTGCAGATAACTGTAGCCTAGCTTGTGTACAGTTTCCTATGAGGTAGATCTGACTGGCATTTATTAAATTGCACTGCTGTGTCTGCTCTACTGTAGGGTGACCATACGTCCTCTTTTACGCGGACATGTCCTCTTTTTAGGGGGTTGTCCGGCCTTGTCAAGGGAAGTTTATAAAATCCTTCAAATATCCGCGGTTTTGTTTGGAAGTTTTGAGTTTGTTGCGTGTGGACTTACTGAATTAGAGGCGCATAAAAAACACTCGATTTGACCCTAAAAATGAACTACACTCGACTCCGTGACTCCGCCCCCTGGGAAGTCGTGTCCTCTTTTGGGGGATTCAGAATATGGTCACCCAACTCTTCTGCGTCTGTATCTTAGTAAATGATGATTCTCATTTGATGAGATCCCACTAGATTCACATAAATGATGAGGATCTGACAGTAGCACAGACCAGACAAGAGAACTCTGGCTCTTTCAGGTCGTTTAAGATATTTTAGAAGTTTGGTCGATTTTCCTGCACTCTCCAGAGTTTGTAAACAAAGTGAAACTTAGTCTGGTGTAACTTCAAGCTAGCAGCTATAAAGTGTAAAACAGGTATTTCTCAGTGTCGGGTTATTAAAGTTAATGTATAGACAGGTTTGGACAAAGGTCTTACAGTTGAGGGAATGAATAGAAACAACAGAATTTGATCTTTTAGCTCCTTAAGTAACATGAGCATCGATGCAGAAATGACTGATATTAATCAGTTTTATAATACAGACGTTAATCGAACTGTAATGTCTTCTTTGTAGTTTTTAAAGACTCTGATTTGAGATTTTGATAGGAATCAAATTGAGATAGTACAATATAAACAGCAAAGTGGATGAATTAATATTATATGAATTTTACATGAGCTTTTATTGGATCAGTGTAAAGGGTTTTAATGATGCAGTAATTCATCCGCTCTTATGTATGATAATCACAGCCTGACAGCAAGAAGCATCTTTGACATCATTAAAATCAGTCATCGGAGTCCATCAGCTGCTCAGTGACTTCCTGCTTTTCCCAGGACGTCCTTCATCAAGAGTTGAAGAATCGGCGAGAAACTGTTTCCATTTAGCCGTGGGCGTCACTTAAAGTATTGAAAACAGAGGTTGTAAATTGTTCTCCTGTCTCCAAAGAATCGAAAAAATGCTCTCATTAGTCTGTTTCCTTAACAAGTCACTGAAAGAACAAATGTCCACTAAAAGAGCCGATATCCAATATCAAACTTCGCTCTAATTGTTCAGTGTAGGTGGAGAGAGCAGCGAGCAGACGTCTCAGACACACCGTGAGCCGAGCGCCTGGTACATTAGGGATTTTTTCAGACTTTCAGTGTTTATTTGGCTGCCTCGACATCTATGTAATCCGTTTAAGTCCGTATTAAAATTGAGAAGCATTTCCTAACAGTGCCCTGCTTTGAGAATAAAATAAATGCAATAAAAAGGCACTTCATGATCTTGACTTTAAGAGTTATTATTCATGTAAATGCTGCGCTGCTGCACCAGCGAGGTCGAAAGCGATGACTTAAAGGTGGAGACAGTATTAAGGGCTTATTCTGTTCAACACAAACCTCTTTGCTTTCTTTTTCCCCCAGGGTAACCGAGTTAGACGTAAAAAAAAATAACGCAGGACTATAAGAAGATGTCCAAAACAGTGCAGTCATTCAGAGATTCCTCTAAGAAGTCCAGAGATTCCTGGATAATGCAACAGCACTTTTCAGGAGTTCAGGAGCTGGAAGTCTAACCCCCAATTTCCGCCGCATCCGGAACAGCTACGAAAAGGCCGTATCTGCTGGTCGAAACCATTCAAGTTAATGCGTCAATTTCCACCGGCTTCTTTCCGTTCCTCTGCACTGTCGGATTGTCGGACTCTGCAGCCGATCACAAGAGTTCTATTTTGTCCGGACGTCGGAGCATTCCGCATAAATTCAGCACAGATTAACCCGTGCTGGAATGGCAGCCTGATCAAATACGCAAGCATTATAATCAGTGTGCGTGATTCCACACAATCCGTCCACCGTTCGGCTCTGCTGCGGATCGGCTCCAGCGGTCGATCAGATATGCAAGGCTTCTATTTTTGCCGGACGCTGCAGTACGATGCATCAATTTAGCAGAAGTTGTATGCGGTTACAGAGTAAAATATCCAGTTAATTTTCAAGATAAAATGAAGTCAATGCATCGCTAGCGCTTCTCCTCCGATTGAATTCGGTGGGCGCTGTATGTTTGCGTTTGTGCTTTGCTGTTCCGGAGTGGAGCGTTGCGGATCTGCATGCGGTGGAATCCCAGCGTTAGTCTTTGGAGAGAGATGATAGCTGTGACTCTTCTTCTGAACAAATCAGCATTATAGGTCTCTTTTCTGAAAGTCTTCATGGTTGAAAGTAAAAAGGAGGATGTTTGTAGATCACAGACATCACCATGCAACACACTGTTTGTCATTTAGGGTGTTAGGAAGTCCAAGGACAATGATGATAAAAACCCAACAAGATCCTCACTGGACGAAGTTTCTGTTACTAACTTTTCTCATGCCTGCCTACATGTGCAATTTAAAAATATTGAATTCCAGTCATTTTTCACCTCAATCAGTCTTTACTAATGAATCTGCTGTCATATTGCTTTGCATTTGAACCATTAAGATGATGTCTGTGCATGAGATAAAACACGCCCATACATCATCTCCTGTGGGAGCTCGGTCATTATAATGACGTACTGCGCAGTGGACTTGAATGACCACTAACATCAACACTATTCACATGTGTGTGCATCATTTTTAGAGGTGTACATTTCCTTAAATTGGCCCAGCAGAGCTGAGCCATTAAGATGACATATAGCAAAACATGCTTACTTCCAATATAAGAGCGTAGAGGCAGCAGACGTAGCCGCAGTCATTGTGTCTCCGCTAATAAATTACGCTACAGTGAGTGTGTTGATCTTGGCTGCGGCTTCAAAGGTTACTCTATCGACTCCACGCTCTGAAGTTTTATCAGAATCTGAGGGAAAAGTTTGGAGGGGTCAGGATGGTGGGAGCAACTCCCGGGGGTGAGGAGTTATGCAAATGACCTTGAAGGGAGCGCCACGCTAAAAAAGGAGAGCCAATGTGTAAAGATGCATAAACAGTCACGATACATAGAAGTATGATAGATGCAAGGGAAGTGGAAGGATGTTTTCAAGTTTGTCCTGTTAAGTAAGTGGCAAAAAAAAACATTTTTCCTTTACCTTAGATTGTTGGTGGTTAACGGTTAAGAGGAGAAAAACAAAAGATATCAAAATACAGGAGAAGCGGAGTAAAGGGACGTCAATCAAATCGAAGAAAACAGACACAGAGCAACCTCAAACTGTAAAGTGGTTTGAACTTCAGCTGTTGCAGGATTACTTACGCGAACAGAAAACACAGAAAAGTTGTAGAGAAGAGGAGCTGATACAGGTGCTGCTAAAAAAGCCGATGTAAAGACGACAATGTTTTTGATTTTAGCGTGAATGAAAATGTTAAGTTTGCAGTGGTTAGTAGCGGCAAATGAGGATAATATTCAGGCTTTAACTGGACTGAAAATATTTTATGTCTCCATTTGGTAAATGTCAAAATAGGGGTTACCTACTCTTGTTTCCTCTGCAAACCCCTTTACACCTCTTTCTTATGTTGTATCTTATTTTACCAGTGCCATTAGGGATGAGAATCGATAACCGGTTCTTTTTTAGAACCGGTTCCCAATGATTCGATTCCTAAGAATTGTTTGTCTGCCTCCTGAACGATTCTGCTTATCGGTAAGTGTGTTTAGTTTTAAAACTTTCCAGCATGGCGTCGCGGCAAAAGCACTCCAGAGTTTGGCTGTGTTTCCGAGTTACCTCAGAGGTCAGATGTCGGATTTTTAGCACTTGCCTTATATTCGGACAAGGCAAGCGCTAAAACAACTTTCGTAGATGTAGCCATCTTGTTTCGAGCCTCCAATTTTGCTTTTTTCTGACTTGGTAACTGAAACGCTGGTAACTCGGGTGTGACGTCATTTTCAGCTCGGACCTCTGACTTCCGAGGTAACTCGAACACGGCGTAATAACCAGCAGAAACCCTGTAGACTCTGTTGTCATGGAAACACCTCCAGCCTTTGAATCTGCTAGACTAGTTCTATTAGTCGCATAAATAAGCAATTAAAGAATCAATATTATCCTCTTTAAATCAATGTTTGAATCTTTAGCTGGTAGTCGGGGAATAAGCAGGATAATCTATAGTAAGTGGGTGATAATAGATGATCTAATCCAAACCCTCTGACCTCTCAAAAGAAATCAGGATTATTCCCATCAAAGCAAAGTTATTTCGATCCAAGTGGAAAGTTTTGAGTAATATAACTAGAAGTCCATTTTTGGATAAAAACCAAGATCCCAATCCACTTTTATTTACATAGCACATCTTAAAAAGTCTACCAAAGATTGAATAACCGGATCCAGTCTGGTTTTGTAACCTTCTGGTCTGATATGATGAGCAGGACCTGGTTGTCTCTCTGTTGAAAAACTCTGGTACCAAAGTTTGGAGGTGTCAGAGGACGTTGGCTAATTTAAAAACTTGAGTTATAAAGTTATAACCTCTAAGGAGTGTAAGTGGTCCTCTGGTGTGTCAGTGTGTAATAAACCAGACCGGACAGCTGATGTGAAGGTAGAAAAGTGAAGTAGGTTCTTGGACATGTCTTGAGATTGTGCGGCTGTCTGTTCAGCAGTGATTTAACGTCTGACATGGGTGAGCCTGGTGGCTCAATAGCACTAAAAGGCTCATCCTGTCTAATGGGGTTCCTCTATGACGCAGACGAGGAGAGGCAAGCCCTCCCCTTCTTCCACTCTGACATATAATCCAGAGCATACACACAGATTTACACACACCTACAGGATGGCCATTCATTATGTCCACTGTGCACAAACACACACACACGCCCATGCCGCCCTGCACGCTAATGAAAAGGCAGGGAATTGAGACGACGGTGCACGACAAACAGTTGTGTAATTGCTTTTGAGAAACGGCTCTTGTCGGAGGCTGTCATCGATTGGTCTTTGCGAGGACGACTCGTTTACTCAGTGTGTGGGAGGAGGGCCGGGCGGGTGTGGGGGCCGTGATCATTACAGGGCTGACTGTGGTACCACTTTATTAACTCAATATGGTTTGATGTTTCACTGTGGTGGGGAGGGATGTTGTCATAGTTGGCCGAGGAAGAGGAGGGATGCGTACCCGGCTCATCATAGAGGCGGAAAACACACAATGGAAGTTGAAGAAGATGAAAATAAGCGAATGTGTCGCAGATTTGAGGGAGTTTTGAAGCACAGTTGACCCCGTAAAACGCCGTGAGCTCACAGTTTGTGGTGAATCGAATCATACCTGCACTAAACAGGCTGATTGCATAAGCTGATTGTGCGCCGGATGGTCTAGACTGACAGTGGGTGTCGAGCTGAAGTTCTCCAAACGGTGTTATGAATGAAGAGCCCAGGAGTGCGTCACCGTGTAGTATACATCCCTCCCCAGCAGATGGCCCCGCCTGCAAGAGCTTGGCTGGGAGGGTGGAGGGGTTGTTGGATAGTGCGTGTGTGTGTGTGTGTGTGTGTGTGTGTGTGTGTGTGTGTTATCGATTTGGCATTTGAGATATAGCATGCAATGTAACATTTTTTGGACGGTTCCTAAAATATTTATTGCTGGTGATGCTTCTCCTCGGCCACCAGTTTGCTTCTTCTTCTTCTTCTCCTATTTAATTAATGACATCAATGCAAATTGGGGGTGGGGTGGGGGGGGTAGCAGCAAATGGTCCAAATGACTGGTGGATTTTGTGAATGGAGCACTTAGTGACTGGGGAATGACGTCAGCACAAAAGCCATGTCCCTCACGAGTGAGCCAGGACCGAAAGGAGGCGTCTCATTGGCCGCCCGTGGCATCAGAGCGACGTGATTGGCCGCCGGCGGATAATTAAACACCTACACAGTCAATGCACAAATCCAAGTGGTGGGATATATAGGCTGGAGCGTTGGCGCTGCATGCAACAGAATCAAGAGTTGTCCTGCAAGTTGAGGGAAAGTCAACTTATTGTGTTTTGCAAAGAGAGACGTAGAGATTTATATTTATTTATTTTTTTTGCCGGGTGATTATCACTGATAAGGTAAGTGCTGCCGCCTCTTTTCTGAGCGTTTGTGTACCTGTGAGTGAGCGGTTTGCATGTGCACACACAGACTTTGTGTTAGAGATTGTGTTGGTTAATGGGATTGAAGTGGGACCACTGGGGTCAGCAGCAGCATCACCAGCACCAGCAGCACCCGTTTGGTGAGGATCCAGGCTGCTAATTGAAGGCCAAGGACGGAGACAAGGAGGAGAAAACAGAGAAACAGAGGCAGGGGAACGAAAAAAAAACAAAATATGTGAAGAGACAGAGGGGGAGAAGAAGAAGAGAGAGTGAAAGAGGGGGACAGAAAGAAAGAAGAGATGGACAGGGGAGAGCTGGTTGGAGTGTGTGTTTGGAGAGAGAGAGAGAGGGAGAGAGAGAGAGAGAGAGAGAGAGAGAGAGTGCTGGCAGCTCATTACACTAATGCACTGGTCCCTGAGGGAGTTGGCAAGCTTGGAGTCCTCCCTCCCTCCCTCCCTCTCTCCCTCCCTCTCCCCTTTTCACCCCTCCTCTTCCAGCGTTAGCGAGAGCTACAGGCATTGCATGGTCCAGGACCCCCACCTTGACTCACACACTCACACACACATGTACACACACACACAAAATCACACAAACACACACTCCCACCTGCAAGCATGTCACACTTGAGGACCTGCAGCACTTAACATGAGAGAACTACCTGTCCTGAGAGCTTAGGTGGAGATTTTGAAGGAACAGTTCGTTTTGCAGAAGAAGAAAGAGGACAGCGAGTGTGTGTGTGTGTGTTTGTGTGTGTGAGTGAGAGAGGTGAGTTTTGTGTGAAAGTAAAAAAGCAAAAAAAGACAAAAACTGAAGCTAAAATGTGTCTCACCTCTCTTTAAAGCGACAGTAAGGGTTTTTTCTTCTCTCTCATGTTGAACTTCCACTCAGATCAGACACTCACAGGTTTATCTGCGACATTTATACGATCAGTTTTCACCAGCCTGAGCTTTTACTTTTACTCCGAGGATGTGTGAGCGAGTGTGAGTGGCAGCAGTTTTGGTTTCACCCGCACCAGCTGATGCCGCGGTGTCTTTCTCGCCGTTTAGGGGACCATGGTTATGTTGAAGATCTCCGCTTTCCTCGTTGCCTACGCCCTGGTCATTTGCCAGATGTACTGCTCACAAGCCGCTCCTGCCAGGTGAGATATTTTACACTTAAAGACGATCTTTATTCATGCAAAAAAGACCAAAAATTTAGGAGAAAATAGCTTTAATAGAGAGATCCAAGTTGAGAAGAGTTTGAAGAAAAATCAACAAAAAGAGGAGGATGTTTGTGTCAGGAAACGACACAGAATATAGCTTCTGATGATTTTGTTTTTTAATGTTTGTGTTTTGATAAAGAGTTTGATCACATAAATGTTTTTCCCTGGAGAATAAATCTAAAGTTTGTGAATCCTGAACTCTAAAAAGAAGATTTGGCTTCAACTTTTTGGAGAGATTTGTTCCAAAAAGGGGAAAAAAAAGTTGTAATTCACTTGAGGGCGAGATGAATGAGATCTATAGATATATATATATATTTATATGAAGCAGCAGTGAAGCCACTCCCCCCCGCCCTGTTCCCATGAAGCCATCGATTTAGTCATAAATCTAAAGCCGCCTCTCTCCGATGGGGCACTTTCAGCAGATTGTTTCCCCGCGTTGGCCGGGGGCCCTCCAACTCAGACGTCATCCCTCCCCGAGCCGGTGACGTCCCAGCCAACCCCCGACCCCCCCCGCTATCCATCCATCCAGTCACTCTACCCCACCCGAACACACACACACACACAGAAACACACACACACACAAACCCTTCTTGTAACTGCAGGTGATAACTCCAGCCAAAGATTTAACGCTGATCTCTTCTCTCTCTCTCTCTCTCTGACCCCCAAACCTCTCCACTCCACACCCTTCAGACCGGGTTTGGAGTCCATGTCAGACCGAGTCACGCTCACGGACTACGAGGCGCGAAGGTTACTCAACGCCATCGTCAAGGAGTTTGTGCAGATGACGGCGGAGGAGCTGGAGCAGCAGGCGACTGAAGGAAACAGGTACACAGATGAAGAAAAGATCACTTACTTTTATTTAAACATCTACTTTTAAAGGAGTTTTAAAGAAGACTCGACTTCAGGGGAGGTTTTAGTAAAGTTTAAACTCTTCTGACAAAATAGGCAGGGTTTTTTTTTTTTTCTGGGCTACCATGTTGGAATTTTTTGCCTCAAATTAGAAACCGCATCTCATCCTGGTTTCACTTGAACTCAGCTAATGATGCGTCTTTTTAGCGCCCCGCTCAAGTTCAATCAAGCGTAGAGGTATGTGCTTCGAATCAGGGTGTAAAACGGATCGATCGCCAAAATAATCCAAACAGACTTAAAGTAGTTTCTTCTTCTTCTCTGTCCTGACCCTGCTCCTGCATGGATGAGCTTGATTTTGTTTGAACTGGCGACTATTTGCAGCCTGCCTGCGGGGCATGTGAACAGCGTGCGGCTAATGGAACGAATAAGTGTGCATGATGTCAATTAAGTGGAGTTGCATGACAGTGGGAAGCGACTGGTTCTGTTTGTTCTGTGGGTGTAAGAGATGTGACAAGAAGGGCCTGACTCTGGGTGGGGGTTCTGGCGCATGAGGGGATGGATGACAGGTTTTTTTGATGGGTGGGGAGTGAGGGGGGGGAAAGCATGAAGCTGCTGCAGGATGGGCGGGTTTATTTTTACTTCTTCTTCTTCTAAGTGGCATGAAAAAGTGATGCATGTGAAATGAGAAATGCTGCGTGAATGAAACAGGAGGATTAGAACTGAAGTGGATTTTTTCTGCATGTTTTCTCACACACGCCTATGAGCCTGTTCTATGCATGTGTCTCTGTGTGTCCCCTCCCCGACAGCATGGACAGGCCCCTAACCAAGCGCTGCTCCAACCTCAGCACCTGTGTGTTGGGCAAACTGTCTCAGGAGCTGCACAAGTTGCAGACGTTCCCTCGCACGAACGTGGGAGCGGGGACGCCCGGCAAGAAGCGCAGTGCGCCTGAGAGCGACAGCTATGCAAGCTACGGCGAGATGTTTGACAGCGTCTAACCCCCCCTCCTCATCCTCATCCTCATCCTCCCTGTACCCCCCCTCTCTCTCTTCCTCCTTCCCTCTCTCTCCATTTCCTCCCTCATTGTTTTTGGATCGGCAAGTGCATGTTGATTTGATCTGCCTGACTGACATGAGAAGTTAACTGTAACTGCAACCAACTCTTCCATAATTTCCTCCTCCCCCCTCTTATTTTTGGCAGAGAATGATTTGTTCCCGTCATTTAGACAATCAGAGTTAGTTTTCATGAATGTGATTGAGGAGCCGGTGCAGACATCCATCTCTGTGTGTTACTGTCTGTGGAGTTATTTGATGGCATGAAGTTAAAAAACCTGCTAAAGTTACAGGGTTTAGAGAGATCACTTAATGGAAGCATTAATAAATGATCCACTAATGCGACACCATGTTTCTTGTTCAATAAACGTATTTTTCTACCAGGAAGCCTTAGGTCATTTTCATTCTTTAATCTCAAAACTCGATGGTAGATCCTTATTTAGAAAGAAAAACAGACATAAATAAGACTTTAGAGCGCCTGAAATGACCCCTGAGGCTTTCATCGAGCTCAAAGGTAAGAAAATATCACCTCAGGAGTGCATCATTTTACCCTCAGTGTTGTTCAATAAAAGATTCATGTGCAGATTTTGACGTGATCTCGGCGTTAACCTCCCGTTCGCTCTCTTGAAGCAGCGTTACAGCACAGAAGCGAGCCTGCAACACGGCAACCTGCGTCACTCACCGCCTGGCGGACTTCCTCAGTCGATCAGGCGGGATGGGCAACAGCAACTTCGTCCCCACTAACGTCGGCGCGAAGGCCTTTGGGAGGCGGAGGAGAAACGTCCAGATGTGAGCACCCCAGACCTTCAGGGAAACGGTACATGAGATTATGACATATTTCTGTTGAAATGACTGAAACGGTCATGAGCAGATCGATTCTACTCTGAAAACTCTAAACTTGCTCTCTCTGTCTGTCTGTCTGTCTGTCTTTCAGAGGTTGAACCCCGGCAAGAAAACACCAGAAAAAAAACAAACAAAAAAAAAAAGACCTGAGAACAAAAATCAACAAAAACAAAAATGGAGCAGAAAATAAACAGTGAACTGGCCCTTTATCCATCCCTCACACACTCCGACTGGAAAAGACAAAAAAATGAAACCCACAGGACTTCTCTTCTCCCATCTCCATCCTGTTAGTGAAACCTTTTGCTTTCGGCAAACCTGAGAAAAGAAAAAAAAAGCGAAAAAAAGCACTTTAGTTTCTGTACATGAACAAATGAACTCCTGAAGAAAGAAAGAAAGAAAAAAAAAGTGGTTCCTCTTTTTTATACATGAGTATCATTGGAAAATAAAATGAAAGCAGCAGTGGTTTTCACCTGATTTTCTTCCTCCTTTCACCTGGTTAGAGCACATTTCCTCCATGCGACCCACAAATTCGCTCTTCCTCATTTGACATCCATACCCCCCCTCCCTTTCCCACAATCCCCTCTGCTCCCGAGGGTTCCCTGTTTTCCTTTGTGCCAGAGGGACGCCATTAAAGATCAGCCTACCCAAGGCCCCCCCACAACGGCTGTTGTCTTGTGCCTTGATGTAGAACAATTTACATGAACATGATTGTACAGTTCTGTTTCGAGACGCTAAAGAAGACCCGAGAGAGCGAGAAGGAAGACGAGGAGAGAATGACGACAGATTAATATTGTAAACGATATTGTGAAAACAAATTTCAGCAAGATTAAAATGTATTTTAGATACACTCGGGTTTGGGGTACTTGTGTTGTTCTTCAAAGGTCTTTAAGCTGTAAGAAGAGGTCGAAGAATTGAGATGATGAGAGGCTTATATTTGTACATTAACGCCTGAAATACTGATAAATAATATCTGAGGATTACGAAAGATAAACTTGAAGGCTTCAGCGAGTTAGTTTGTAATCCATTCCTAGACAATCTGACATGATTGCTCATTCAGAGATCTTTAAATTCATCTCAAATTCGGCCGATTAGGAAAACTCCAACATCACTTTGAATGCAGAGACAGTCTGCACTGGGACTATTTTCTGACTGACACCACAGCGGCATGGATACATGATGATATACAGACAAACCTGCATGGGTTATTGCTTAATAAAAGGCAGCCAAACCTGCAGTCAGACTTGTTCTTCTTTCATAACACATAAATCAGTTTCAATCAGAATAAGAGTATTATTCGTGAGCCCTGGAAATCAGAAACATGTGTCTAAGTTTGACAGGATAGAGCGTGCATCTTTAGTTGCACACAGCGCAGGGTTGACTGAACTTTTTGGAGGCTCTGGTGTCCTTACAGCAGCACTCCAACAGGTGGCAACGTTATTGCCTTGACAAAAAGTTCCACTGGAGCTGCGCAGGGTCTCACAGGTGGAGCTGAAGTCCTAAAAGCAGAAAAACAATCCAGCGGTGGAGACTAATGAGGGTTCAGATTCGTTAATTTGCACAAATGAGAAGCAAGGCACTGAAAGGACTTCAAAACATGCGCTATAAAAACACATTTTCCCTTTATTAAACGATTTTATCCCGGTGCCATTATCCCAGGCTGTTAACACTCCTGTGAGTGGACTCTGACTGGAAGTTAATGATCTGGGGTTGTGGGATTTTGATGAGATTTAATGGAGGAAAAGTGGGAAATGACACGAGGAAAGGAAGGCACATAAACCGAGCTCAAAAACATAAAACCTCGGCTGGATTCTCAGACCAGCTGCAGCCACGGAAAGCTTGAAAAACACGCAGTTCTCTTTTGAAACTGCAGATTAACCTGTTAATTACGGAGCCTTTCCTGGATGTACCACCAATATCTGAAGTGCAGAAGTTGCTCTGTTTCCAGAAAAGTCTCAGACAGAGAGGATAAATAAAGGCCCCGCAGCTTTTGGATGACAAATACTTGATGTACGTTTGGAAATGGAGGGGATAATGAGCCCATTCAATAAGGGTGAAATTGAAAAACACGATACAGTCTGAGCTATTCGGCTGCACGGATGGATGCCAAGTGTGCGCCGGAGCAAGTGCAGGATATTTGTCACCGAGTGCATCTCACAGCCAAGCACACAAAGAGCTGTTGGGGCGGAGAGGGTAAAGAAAAAGATCTTGTTTAGTTTGGATGAAAAATGAGGCATCAACAGCAGACATACATCACTCATGGTAAAGACACGCTCAGGGTTTTAAAGCCAACTTTATAATTAATGGGAGGAAATGCATGAAAATATGTGTACTTATGGTATAGAAGCAAAACAGAGCAGGATTTATGCGCCTTCCCCCTCTTAAGCCTTTAAACCCTCATCTGTCAGTTGTTTTTACAGTCTTTCCACTCATGCTCGCTCTCCGTCTTACTATCTGTCTCCTGAAGTCGGAGCCACGCTAAACTCCACATGGAAACTTCTCCTGCATGACTGAAGAGGGAAAAAATACCCCCCTTCTCTAAATTCTGATAATTGAGGGGGACGGGAGGTTGAGGGCTGATTCCTGGGTTGATTTGGTTTTAAAGCGTCTCTCTCAGCAGTTATCTAACAATCCCACTAGGCCAGTGAGAATAGAGGTCCTAATGACACACAGCTGCTTCCAATAGGGGCCCTTCCAGTTGGAAATTAGATGGTTCATATAGGAGAAACCAAGAAGAAGCAAGCCCCCATCTCCAGGGGGAAGACGTGCCGCTCGTCCAGTTCCCAGAATCCTTCGCCACAAAACCAACTTCTAAACCTGAGGCTTTGGAGGATGCTGCTTTTTAACGTTTTAGGGGATAAGAGAGAGAGGAAAATGCGTCATACTCTGAAAACTTCGTGCAACAGTTGGGGAAACAATCCGTGCCACAATGCGCAACTAAGGACTGAAATGCTTATAAAATGCCTTTGGCGAGTTATGTAAAAAAAAGAGCCAGATTTGCAGCGTCAAAGAAGTATTTCGCTGACCTCATCTATCAAGGAGAAATGGGTTTATCAACAACCTCAGTATCTTTGAGTTCACTGTGTATTTCACATACTCACAAAGCAGCTATTGTCCTCATCTCTCATGCTCGAGGGTGGTAAGCTCAGACGCTTTTATAATGCTCTTTATAATGACATACTGCTGTGTCTATCAGGCATCTGATAAATCATTTAACCTGCAGCAACTACAGGTTTTGAGAAATGAAGCTGATGTTCAAGAACTGAAAACTGCAGTTCCTCAAGCGTCCACTAGAGGCAGACTCCAAAAACCCAGAAGCCACATACATACCCAACCTGAAAAGCATAGACATTATACACATAGACGCCTCATGACATGCTGGAGCGTAATCCAGTGTCGCCGCCATATCGGATGGGTCTCCCCACTCAAGGCTCACTCAAGAGCCAAAGGGGGTCAATGGAGACCGAGCAACTGTGCCCGTATTTTTGAACTCCACGGTTGAAAGACCTGACGAAGTATTGAAACCAGAACACGTAGCGTTACATTTCACAAATAGGACTGGAAAATGTATGTGTTTTTTTTACGTGTGACATCGTCCTGTATTATGGCTACATCCCTGTGATTTGAAACGAACCAAACAGTGTGAAAATCAGGCAGAGATTCGAAGAGTTATGATTAATATGGTTGGGCATTCCTACCTACCTTAATGCACTGGAGGAGCATAGGGGACCCATCCAAGACAGCGGCCGCGCTGATGCGTGAGCTCCAGTAGGCAGCGTCCGGCTTTGAGACGTGTATGTATATTATGTCTATGCCTATGCCTGCCTCTATGCCCATCTTCAAGTGAAGTAGACACGCTAACAGCCTTCCAGTCGAGTAACTCATTCTGTACTGAGGTGATTTTAGAAAATAACTTTGATCGATCAAAAGTTACTTGGACTTTTGTCTCTTATGTATCAGACTAAACCTAAAAACATCGTAAAGGTGTATTGGGCTGTGAGTTTTACTGCGATCAGCTGTCAAATTTAGAGCTTCGAAGCATCAAGTATTTTTCAAATTGAATAAAAGCCCCGAAGTTTCTTATACTACTTCTTTCACTCGTCATTGAAATGGAGAAAATCACTTACCTCATTACTTCTGAAACAAAAACCACGTGTAAGCGACAGGTGTACCCCTCTCCAACTGTTTTTATAGGGTGCTCAATTAACACCTATGCAGCCAGGACCAACCCAGATGGTAGACTTGTGCATTTTCTGTAATGTAAGGAAACCAAATCACTCTCACTTTTATACAGGCTCATGACACCAGCTTAGAGACGATTAACATTGCTGTTATTGTTGAAGAAGTGACTGTTTAACCCCCCAAAACATGGCAAGTAACCACATTTCAGCATTTAACTAGGAATGGTAAGAAAGCAACATTTTTAATCCCCACAATGAAGAAAAAACATTTTTCTTAGAGCTTGTTTAATAAGGTTTAACAGCTTATACGGGTTTTAGGTTGCTCTATAAACAAAACTAGGGTTTTATCCTACACACAAGTGTATTTTCGAAGGTTATTCACCAAAACCACATTTTCTTTTTTTCTGGATTTGACATTTTATGAACACATTATGATAACGTATTGATTACTCACGGCCGATTGTCGTTTTACCGATCCGACATTGAACACCTCACAATGTAATCATACGTGACCTCGCCTGGTACGCGAAATGGCGGCGTCTATTCTGCCGGAAGTAAAGAAGAAGAAGTGAAGGAAGAAGAGGGAAAAGAAGCGAACTGACCCATACGCTGCTGTTAAAAACATGGATTTTAACTCTGGATTATGGTTTATAATTAACGGGATTTGCTGTAAAGTGTGGATAACTCGGCTTAACTCGTCTGTGTTGGGTAAAGAGGAGGATGGCAGCACCAACAGACGGAGTGGATGGAGGTGTTTTAGGCCGCAGACGGTCACAGGTACGACATTTTGGCTTAATTTTGTGTCTTAACTGTGATGTTTTTGGCCATAGAAGTTGTGTAATACATGTTTGTGCGACATTAATTGCATTTTGCTTCACTTCTATCTTAGATTTGCCAAAAGGTTGACACAGTTTGGATTTAGCAGTTTACCGCCATAATTCCTCTTCCGGTAGTTTTTAACGTTCTATTTTTTCCCAATAAAACTTTATTAGACAGTGTATTGATTATTTATTCATTTTTTACATTTTTCACACTAAAGCTACTATGAGCAACTTTTGGTCTTGTTCTGCTCATTTATTTTCTGAACAAAAATATCTTATCTTTTATTTTTAGCAGTTAAATATATCTCTTATTTGAATGTTTGCCACTGAAAATCAGGGCTGCTAAGTTTCAGAAATAGAAGAGTGAGAATTTAGTGTTATGATGTGTTCGGCCGCTAGCGAATTTATTTTTGCCTTTTTGTAACATCAATTTGTACCTTAAGACTGATGTCCTCACCTCTGTGCCTGCTCCTTTCCCTCATGCTAGTCTAAATTAACTAGAAATTAGAAATGAAAATTGTAACAAGAATTTTGACAAAATACGTTTGTTTGTCAATATTGCATTACGTCAAGTGGGTTTTAAATGTCAGCGCTGTTGTGTGTGAAAGCTAGTTAGAGCCGCCAAGACCCGCCTTACGCTGCTTCTGATTGGTTTATTGCGTAGTGCTTTTCGTGGTTGCTTAGATTTAGGCACAAAGGACTGATGGATTGCTCTGGGATTGGTTATCTTGGTCAGTCAACCAGAGTTACTCGAACTACAGCAAGCCAAGTTTATTATCATGAGAAAAATAAATACATCGTAATGAATGGGAGAAAATAAGTGTGCGAAATGTCAAGTGTGGCGTGTGGTGTGAGGATGGGTCAAATTGTGTGACTGTCACACTCAAAGCGTGACGCTTAGCAAATGTTGCTCTGGAAAATGTTAAGAAAGGCTGTAACTTCGATGGCCTGGTCTAACACCTACCCTTTCACTGTGGTTTCAGGGTTTAACAATTAGACTATAGATTTTATCCGTCATGCTGCTAATTGTTTTGTTTGCTTTTGAGGGTCATAAAGTGGCATCAGTATCAGAACTACTCAAAAACTACTCATAATGGATTTAAGCATGAAGAGAACAAAAAAAGCAAAGACTGCTTTGACCACAGGGGGCGCCAAAGTTGACCCAAATTAAAAGTTCTTATAGGAGTGGCTCCTGCAAGGAATTGCGCTTTGCAATGTCGCTTTCCTTTATTGGTGCATCAATGAGTAATCTGTTGAATTTGACAGGAAATGAAGTGAAAATTTAGAGGAAATTAGTTGTTTACACTCAGATTTAAGCTCAGGCTAATATTTATTGACGTTGCTGGGTGTAACAGGCCTTTCTGTGCACATCGAGGTGTGCGTGGAGCCGCCCCTCCTCATAATCGCATGTTAATTATTCACTCAGGAACACGTAGATGAACTTCAGCAACTCAGCCCAGCTGAGACCTGTTTAATGGGAACCAGACGTCTGCCGTTTATATTTTCATTTTCCTTCCTCATTTTTAAAGCTCCCAATTTTTCCATAAGGGAGTCATTTCCAAGGCCGATGTGAAACCAGACACCCAGGAGAAATCATGGTAAAGGTCCAGGAACAACACAAGGCCAGCCGACATCCTCTCACCTTCTCCAAACCCCCTTTTTCGTCTTACGGGACTGTTCCTCGCAAGGTAAACACCCCTGTCAGAGACGGGTTTCATTCTGCTGCTGTAGCAAGTTAGTTCATCTGGTCTTCTGTGTCTGTCCCTCCCTCTCTCTCTCTTCCCTCTCCTCCCCTCCCTCCCTCTGCTGCCACATCTGGAACCCAGCTCCCCATTTATTTATGTGGTCTGTGTTGTTTCTTCTTTTTTTAAAGTCTTATTTAAAAGTCCTTTACCTTGTCTTGTTGGCAGTTTCTCTTCATCTGATGAGGTCTGCAATTACATTTCACCATAACTGGTCACTCTGCAATTACTCTGCTCCACCACAGAATCTCTCTGCCCCCAACCCCTCCTCTGAACAGCCCCGCCGCTCATATGGCAGACCGAAATAGAATAGTTTCATGTCTGTTTGGATGGCGGCCCAGCTGAAACTATGCTCCGCCGCTTGACTGACAGTGGGATGTGGTGCTTTTTTCTTCCCCAGAAAACCTTTAAGGCCAGTCACGTTTAGGCTCAGTGCTCCTCCAGCAGGCTTTGGTGCTGGTCGGCCCAGCTGGGCTGCAAAAACTGGAGACAGAGGGACACGGGACAGACAGAAAGAGAGACGGTTTCCCGTAAAGAAGACAAAACGCACGAGCTGAGACTATGAACCCTCCTGGGAACACTTAATCTTCAGTCGCTGGCCAAGAGAATGGGTAAGTTTGGGAACCAGTTCAGACTCATTTCAGTGATGCTTTGAAGAACATTGAGTCCTTTCATGAACTTCAACTTAGACACAAACTTTTCAGATAACTTCAACATGACAGACTGTCCTGCGTGCACATCCGGACCTAAATGGAAAACTTTATCCAGGAAATCCTTGTTGATTGATTCAGGAGCTGACGGACATTATGAAAGAGTATTTTGCATCAGGCGATGCAGTTGTCACATCCTGCAAGGTGCCTGCAGCACATTCAAACTCCTGCATCTTAATGACTCTCAGGATAACTGATGTCCAAGCTCTTTACCCGTAAAAGTGTTCTTGACAATAGTCCAAATGTGCCTTTTTCGGTTACAGAAAGAGATTTTCTCAAGATGCCAGGAGCTTTTTTTTTAACCTAAAAGCTGCTGATTTAAAGGGACAGCAGTATTGATCATCTCACATTAGGTTTGGACAAACTTCTGAAAACACATTTCTGATCTTTTACTCTAAAGCCCCCTGTGAGAGACTCTTTGGACAAGGTGGCACATTTTGCTAGTTTGCGGATCTTGTGCATATTAATCAAAGATGGGGAATCTTTGCTGCAGGAGGAGTGAAGAAAAAAATCTTGCCTTTAGATGCACTTTCAATCACTGCATCCTGCTGCAGCAATTTCAGGTATTTGAGTAATGAGACAAAACTGTCAGTCTACTTTGTGATGGTCTTGTTTGCTTTCTTAGCGTCAGAATCAGTTTCAGTCTGCAGCATAACCGTGTAAAAACTTCTCCAAAAGTCACTCTTGTAAAAATATCATTAAAAGACATTTTTAGAAGATGTTGAGGCAGCAAGCTCTGCATTATTTAGCAAAATCAGGGTTGTCAGCTCGGCCTCTTTGCCTTGAGTCAGCATTTCAGATATGACGACTGCCGTCACAGGGCTGCAAAACTGCATCTCAGAAACCAAAAGGAGGCTCTGCTTAGACACCATCCATGTTTTGTGCTGTCTATACATTGAACCCGAAGATGTGATGAAGCATTGAAAACATCTTTTTATGGGTATTTATGTTGCAAAGACCTTTTGGTTCCTTGCAGCAGCTTTAAGGTTTGAAGGCACCTGCTGTTTCCTCCCCAGCCTGAGGACAACAGGATGCATTTGTCTGGAGGCTAGCGATGAAGCGATGCCGCCCCTTAATTGGGACATCTGTATTTTTGCTGATATGTCCGCTATCACCCTTTAATTGACACTTTTGAAAAAGTTATGAATGATGTATTTTGAATCTGGCTGAATGATCTCAGATGGAAAATATTTGATGTTTTGGTTGCTCTGAGTCACGCTCGTGCTCGAACACCACAGTGGTTTTAACAGTTTGGAGTAGGACGATCAGGTTTGTGTGGGAGTGATGGAGACTGTGGAAAACAACAAAGAGTACAGTCAGGCGGAGGACACAGCTACCACACGTCTGTACTTCAGGCTTCTGTGTGTGTGTGATGTGGTATTTGAAGGATGAGTGTGTTTCAGAAAGACAATTATAGATTAGAAAAGAGAGGTTTCATCATTTTTTTTTTGCTGTTTAGACCATTTTGGAAAACTTTGAGCTGAGTCTAAGAATGCTGGGAAACCTTTTTTCATTTTTTCAGGCTCCTCTGAGCACCAGTGTCATTCCTTTAGACTTGACGCCCTGAACCCTCTAAACTTTAAGAGTTTAAAGTCATGAGTGGAAAAAAATCCTCTGAAGGTTAATATGAACTGACGAGCAAAGATGCTTCTAGCGGCGGAGGAATTTCTGCGGCTGTGTGTGTCATGTAGCTACCATATAATTAAATGAAGAACATGCAGCTTTACTATAGTGAGACGTATACATATGAGTGTCTTCCTGTCCCAGTTTTAAGACTGACTGGTGTGTCACATGTGGACGACTTTAGCTCAGACTTTCTATTTTTTTCTCCAAATTCAGTCCAAGGGTCTCGTCCAACCAAAACCTCCTGTGATTGGCCAGTTAACCAAAACCAAGAGACACGTTTTTCCAGCCTTTACTTATTATCATAAACCGCTTTATTTGGAGACTTTTTTAACCCTCACCAAGTGCACAGTTCAGGCTGTGAGTCAGCTGGAGTTTGTGAAGGTTTGGGCACCAACACTAGCAGGTCAAGTTTAGGAGAAACAGACTGTCACCACTCATGGTCACAAATAGAGAAGTCACTACTCATGGATACGAAAGGATAAAAGAGACAGAGAAAAAGGTTCTCGGTTGGGAACCTTGAGGCAAACTCAATGTATTTGCTGAGCAGTTTAAGAAGTTCAAGAACAGTATCCATGACCCCATGTCCACACATAACCAGAGTTTAAAGTCCCAGAAATGGTGGATATCGTTGAAAAGGCAGTTTAGTTCTTGTTTTGTCATGGAAATGATAAAACTTTTTGGGAAACATCAATATGTTTCCAAAGTTTTCCTTTTTACCAGACACTAGAATCAGCTTATAACTGTATTTTATCATATTCTGATCAGAAGAAGTCCTTAAAACTTATTACAGTAAATGTCACCAGGTTTGGTTGTTTTTGTGCAGACCGCTGACTACTCTCTTTGGTGTGTTTTTGTTGAAAAAAGGAGGTAAAATGTTCATTAATTCAACTAGTAAAGGGATTGTTGTATGTTTTTGACATGTTAGCACTCTGTCATTAGCATTAACCCTCCGCCTCATGTCCTATTACATTTATAAGTCAAGTAAACAGACAGTCAATTCATTCTGATGAGACTCTTGGGGATGTTCGGTGTGCATCGCCCTGGTTTTTGGAGAGACCATATGACAATGAGCTAGCTAAGACAACATGCCTGTGAATCTGGGTACTGCTAAAATATGACACACTTAAGATACAGTCAGATTTAGCCTCTTTAACATGGTTACAGGTAGGGGTGGGAATCATCAGTGGCCCCACAATACGATATTACTTTGGCCACGATACAATATTATCAGGACACTTGGGCCACGATATAATATTATTGCGATTTTTAACATTCTGCATTACAGTGAGTATTGCGATACAATATATTGTGATTTATACAATTGTTTTAACCGTTTAGCTAATTTAGCATTTGTCTTTCCTTTATGTTTGTCTTATTTATGTTGTATTTTATTTTCATGTAGCACATCTTGTAAATTTTATATGTATATATTTTGCACTAACTTTCTCCTGCTCTATGATGTCACCTCTGCCAACCTCACTGGATAAACAGTTGATTTTATTTTTCTTTTATCATAGGTTTGACTTCACGTTAACAATTAATTCGAAAAAAAACCCGATACTTGGTAAAGGAGACGATACGATATATCACCGGACAAAATATTGCAATATAGTGCAGTATTGATTTTTTTCTCCCATCCCTAGTTATAGGTAAAGACTTTGTCTATATATTTGTAGATCTACACACATTGAGGTAGACAAAAAGAACCTACTTTAAGGAATTTTCCAACGCTAAAAGTGGTTTTCTTTCTTAGTTAGAGCCCGCAGGATTGCACTCAACCTCTAAAAGTTTGTTGGACCATTAAAGAGAGGTCCTAGGTTAAATCTCTAAATCTTTTAGCTTGTCAAATTTTGAATTATCCTCCAGTGGGACACTTACAGGGGCAAAAATGCAAAAAAAAGAAACACACAGAGAAAGTTGAAACTTCTTGAGTCTCTTGCCGTTTCTGTGATATTTGTCTCATCTTGCCGCCCATGCTCCAGCGAGACTGGAGTTGGACTTGGTGACTTATAACCTCTCCCCAGACTTTAAAATGAAAGTAGAGTCATTTAGGTGTGATAATTGCCAACATTTGGACAAATGGTGGATGTTTTATGACTCCTAAAAGCAAATGATAGCGTAGCAGGAGACCCAGTGCTTTCAACAGGGATTTAACGGTTCATTCAGCCTCAGCTAGATGACAAGCTACAGCAAACACTTCAGTAAACATCTGCTCAGCACTTCTATCTAATAATATACTGCTGGTTCAGGGTAAATTTAGAGGCCCAGTTCTTCTCTGTCATGCTTTCCCCTCTTGTCTGCCTGCTCTACAGCTGAGCAGGGCGTGGTGGCGTGGTTAACGTGAACCGCACAGGCAGGTGTGGCTCTCTCTGTGCTGTCACACTGTTTAATTAGGTTTTCTGTCCACGGCGGGGGCATCTCAGGGTTTCCGCTGTAAACCTCTGTCTCAGTCTCACCCACACACTCATTGTTTCAGACATTAAGAGAGCGTCTCACACAGTACAGTCTGATGAGCAGCAACTATCATCACTGAGGGTGCGACTGAACTTTGGGACCGCAGCCCCGAATTGGAAACATGAAGCTGCACTTTGCTTCGGATTTTTAGGAGACAGTGCCAAAGTGCGTCCACACTGAACTGGCTTCATACTCCATGTTCAACTTACTTCACTCCTCAAAGACAGTAAAAGCCGTTCCCATTGTTAATCAGATAATAAAACTCACTTTAAAGGGTGCATGAGATCCAACACTGGGAGCTGGTCAGACCCAAGCGTCCGTCATTCCCCGTTAAAAGCGTCTTTTTCTGGATGAGGTAGTTTCTGTCTTTGTGTGCAGCTAGTTTTCCACCCCTCTTTGTTTCTGTGTGGCCTTCTTCAAGTCAGAGTCGGGTCATTTTGCTTCTCCTCCCACAAATCTGGGGTTCCCCAGAAACTCTGCTCCAACAGACTCGGCCTTTTCTTCACTTTTTCAGCCCAGTTGCCCAATAATTCTGCAGTGAAAACAACACCAGCTCATCTGTTTTACTCGTATTTCAAAAGTACCTCAGTTATTGCTTCACAAGAGTAAAGACTTGAAAGGTTGGAAAGCACAAAAACAAAAATACACTTCTATCACACACCATAGCTGGAGTATAAACAGGGCTATCCATTTAGGAGCTTAAAGACCCACTCCGATGAAGATCATGTTTGTCTTGTTTTCTACATGTTCATTTTTCTGATGCTACTGGACATATTATGGGAAAAGTAAGTGGGAAATTGCATTTCTGAGTAGGGTGACCATACGTCCTCTTAAACCAGGACATGTCCGGGGGAGTTTATAAAATCCTTCAAATGTCTGGGGTTTTGTATGGAAGTTTTTGAGTTCGTGTACTGTGGACTAACTGTGTTAGAAGTGCGTGAACGATATATCGTTTGACTATCGTCATCGCGATGTACGTGTGTGCGATAGTCACATCGCAGAGCCTGCGATATTGGAGGTGAATGAACTCATTTAATTTCAAGGGTAACCGACTGAGATACACTCCATGTGACTCTGCATGTGCTGTGCAGCGATCCACCAATCGCCTTCGTCCTTAACTCAGTTGCCAATCAGACTCACTTCTCAGCTGCCAATCAGACTACCCTGCCAGCTGTCAATCAAAATCAGGGAGGAGAAAACCCACCCCTGCACATGTTCTGCACATGGAAGGAGACGTGTGTCCGCTGAGAATTACTTTCGGAACTTTACTCATGACTGTTAAGCCCAACAAATAAGAACTGTATGGGTTTTAAATTGTACATTTCCGTGGACCACTCTACTATAAGCAGTGCGCGTTTTGCGAGGTGCATGCAATTCTCGGAGGACATGCGTTTCTCGGCACAACACCGCTAACAACAACAACAACGATCGCAAAATGAACAACGAACAAGCGAAAACCACCGAAAATGAAGATTTGTTGCCAAAAAGAAAAGGAAAGTCAGTTATCTGGAATTATTTCGGTTAAAAGAAGGATGATGTCGACCAAAACACGTGTTCTGTGTTCATCTGTTTCCACAATAACGTCCCAGCACAATGAAAGCTAAAAATATCTCTGAGACAGACAGAAGCCGTTCTACTAACATTCACAAAAAGAGGTGAGATCAGAGCAGGTTAACTGTCCACAAGATTTCAGCAGTGCAGCATAACATTAAGTGCTATTCAGGTCATCTGGTGAAAATACTGTATTTTTAATATCGCAATATATATCGCAGGGTTGAAAAAATCGCAATATTTTTTTCCAATATCGTGCAGCCTTAGTTAGAAGCGCGTAAAAAAACACTCGACCCGACTTGAAAAACCCTCAAAATTTTGTGCGCGATTCCGCCCGGCATAGACGTGTCCTCTTTTTGGAGATTCAGAATATGGTCACCCTATTTCTGAGTATTTCTGCAGTCAAATCTCTGTGAATCTCTGGCAGGTTCAGATACAGTAAGATTTCCTGCAACTGCAAGCTCCGCCCCTGGAGCTCCGCCAGGCAGGCCAGACTCGGAGAAGTAGAGAGGACGATCGTAGAACAAGTGTTAGCCGATTGCAATGCTCGTAAGAAAGCTGATTATGATGTTAACTTTTATCATGTCCCCAAAGTCATTCGTGTCTGAGAGCTGAATAGCTACCAGTTCTACAATCCAATTCTACAACACCGGCAATGTTACGCTGCAAGCTAGCATGAAGAGGAGTGTACAGAGCAGCGCTGTCTCCGCCCACGACTGAGAGGTGAATTGTTAATGAGCTACTGGAGCTCTGCAGAAGAAAAGCTCTTGAAAATGACACAGGTAACGTGATTTTGGCTAAAAACTTCATAATCACAATTTAAAGAACGCTGAGAAGACTTCTAAGGAGTAAAGAAGTAGGACTTTAATGTATTTATTCTCTGAGACTTCCTGGTTAAATCCTTGTGTGCAAACTTTAGAGCATCTATGAAACACCACGCCTCATTTAGGACGATACACGCTAGAGAATATTAATCCCAAACCACATAATTTAGGTTTCTTAGTCTGACTTGATTCAAGCTGGATTCCAAGTCCACCTTAAAGCTCCTGTGAGGAGTTTGGAAACAGACTGAACTGAGGTGTGATACGTCTCTGTGCACAACAACGCTGGAGTTTGCTTCGCCTCAGGAACAACCCTGACTCTGGCTGCTACCCCTGAGCCGCTGACCTTTGACCTCGGAGGAGAACAGACAACAACATCCTCCGCATGGAGCCAGCTGCCTGTCTCCAGCATAATTCAAACTCGGAGGCACTTTTTATGGCTCCCAAACAGCCGCGATCAAAGCGAGTTGAGCAAATATCGGTTTAAAAAAAAAGTTTATTTTCTGAAACCTCCTGCTTTTGATTCAAACCATCATTTTTCCAACGAGCGAAAACTAACAATAACTGTGGGACAGAAGTGAATCAGCAAACTTTGGTGGTGAAGTATTGATATTTTTAACAAGCTGGAGCCCAGACCCTCCTCTGTGACTGTTGACATTTTAAATTATGTCAAAGCAACACCCATGAAACCCACCGGAGAGCCCCCTTTCTTTTCCCGCCTCCTTACATCACGAAATATGGATGCTGGATGTGCGTCACGTGTACATCTTTGACGCCGCTTCAGTGTGGGCGACGGCGGCTGTTGACACATCACCGCCACAGCGTTCATGACTCAGTGGAGGCTCTCAATTAGGAGAGTGCAGGTATAAATTTTTGTGTAGGTGGACCCAATATGGCAGCCACTCCGGGACCCTCGGCTGGGGGATAAATCAATACGAGACTGGTTGAATTAGAGCGTCAGCGCGCAGCTCTCTTACGCTGACCTCTTTTTCTTCTCTGTCTCTTTTTCAGCCCATCTCTATCCGCTAATTGGGGGGAGGTCAGCCCGTTTAGCTGTCGTCTCTGTCTATGCGATCCACTGTGGATCCTTGTTTCAGTTCATTGGGGAGATCATGAGAAGAAATGGAGGCTTCCGGACTTCATTAACGCGCCTTTGTTTGTGGTGTGATTCACAGACTGTAGAAAGACCAGCTCCCCCTCCTCCCTGTTCACAAGTCTTGACGCTTGTTGAAATCCTCTCAGGGAAGTCTTGAGGTGTCCTCCTCTGTTTGGGTACCTGCTGCGACCTTTACTCTGCTGTCTCTCCTGGTTTTGACGGCTCTTTAGTCGCACAAGGAGGAGACTTTTGAAACAGTTTCAGAGAATCAGAGAAAACAGGAATAAATATCTTCCTGTCGTTTAAAATTCACAGTTTAGGAAACGTCGTTTTCACTCAAGAAGACTCGGACTGATTCACAGGATCTCCACGGTTTTCTAAGTTGGCGTGTGGATCGAGAAATCTTCAGAATCACCTCTGCTGTGGGCAGAGTGCTTTTTCAAACAGACTGTGTTTATGGACTGTGTTTATATAACACTTGATGTTTATACAGTCTTTTGACCACAGAAAGCGCTTTTATATTACACGTCACGGTCATACACTGATGGTAGAGTCCGCAGGTTTTAACTCTTTCCGTTCGTTGATGCTTTGGCTCAAGGACTCTTTGGTATTTGGATATCAGGACCTGAGATTGAACCCCCAACCTTTTGAGTGAGAAAGTCGCTTCTTATACCCTCATGTGTACAGACTTAATCAATCAAGTCTTGTGCAGACCACTCCACAAGTAAACTCTCTATACTGAACAGTTTCACCCCTAGCTTTTTAGCTTTGATGAATGTCTACGTCATATGGGGGTGGCGGGAGATGAGCCAGCGCTGTTTTTGGGGCTGGGAGAGATGCTTAAGCTAGCATCCATGAGAGAATGTGCGGCGTCCACATCACTACGTATCGTCTTTTTGAAGAGTGCAGATATTTTTTAGTTGGGGTGCTGAACATTCGGGGACAGTTCCGTTTTTTTTATTGTTTATTCGGCGGCAAAAATAAGAATTAAATGGATACCATATTTTTCGCACTGTAAGGCGCACTTAAAATCCTTTTGGCTTGTCGGAGCTCTGCAGCTATCGTTTTATTAAATGAGTTAAATAAAGTTTGACTTATCTGACTGTTTTGTTTGTCTAAATGCACTTTGTAATCCAGTGCGCCTTATAATCAGGTGCGCCTTATAGTGCAAAAATACGGTATATTAATCTACGACTTAAATTTCTGGGTTGGAATCTCGTTGGCAGGGCGTCCCTGTAATCAGATGTCATGTCCAGCCCGTCTCATTGGTCGTTCTTAACCAGACTGTTAAGTCGCTGTTTTTATTGTTGTATCACTAATAAAAGATGTTTTTGTCACTTTCCAACCCTTCAGTATCTAGAATAAGCTCGTAACAGGTCAGTTATGTTGTTAAGCAGATATAAAGGTTGTTTTCTAGTCTCAACTAAAGATGCAACAAACTTTTATGATCAAAATCTAAACTAAAATATCCATCATAATTCGTCTCACAGCTTTTAAAACGCTGAGACCAAAACCAAAAGGAGGAGTGATACTTCTTTTTACTTTCCTTCTTATTTTTGTCATTAAACTTAAATTTCTTTGACTGCATGGTTCAATAGTTTTGGCCCACGTTTCAAAGTCACACTTTTTGGTGTTATTGAGTCGAATATTCTGTGTTTCTGAAATGAGACATGGCAGGCAGCTTCCCAGACTTAATTACCCAGAAACCCTCACACATGTTGACTTTTGGTGCCCATAGTGGAAAAAATAGCGCTGGAATGGCTTTTGAAGTGCCACGTGTGTGTGCTCGCCGGGCACATGTGGAGCTTTTTTCTTGCGTGCCTGGCGATTTTTGGGGCCGATATTTACTTATCGCGTTGACCCCATGTGTGTCGCATTTGCCCGGCGTGCCTTCAGCTCATCGTTGGAATAACAGACGAAAAAGGAAAACGCCTTGAAAACTTCCACCCTGCCCTGAAGTGGTGCTCTGTGTTCGTCTGCTCAGATCTGGGCAGCGGACTGATCCTCCACCCCTGATTCTTCCTCTGCCCCACTCCCCCTAAACCCACACACACGCACATACACACCCAGCCCACCTCATTTACTCCCATCTCCTAATGTCAAACAGCTGTAGAGCCGACTCCTGCAGAAATGCCGCTCTTACGTCCTCCTCCTCGCCCTCCCTCCCCGCTCACTTTTTTCTCCTCTGCCATTTTGTGTGTGGCCCCAAATTTCAGGTCACTCTCCTGAGTCCAAACATCGTGTCTTAACCCGACTCCTCTCCGGGTTTATTTATGATCCGGCTGCTGGATATGACATCATGAATTTACATCGTAGGTGCCCGTGGGCGGAGATGGATAGACAGATGGCGGGCTGTAAATCGTTGGTATGGATCGCGCTCGGCTGCGATGTTTTGTAGTCGCCTGCTCTCGCTGACATGTAAAGGTGGGCCGTAACTGGGCCAATGCCATTTCCAAAGCACTCCATCTAACTGAAGGAGCTGCTTGACATTAATGCCAGTGAGGTCATCCTCCGAGTGATTGACAGGAGAGGATCAGGCAATGATGCTGAGGGTTGAGAGCTCCTGCCGCTGTCGGGAATCCGCTTCAAAGGATTGCTTTGGCCGCATGCCTGAAGTCCAACCTGGAGCCTGATTACACGCATTTCTCCAGAATTTATCACTTACTTCAGAAGTCTGGCCTCAGCGTGGAAGGCTGCGCTGGTTTGGTGAACCTCGGTCCAATGTGCTTCAATCTTAGATGCATAAAACATGTGAAAGTGATTCAGTTTAGAGGACTGTTGAAAGGCTCGCAGATATTAGTGGGAATAGAAAAAAGCACAAAAGAAAATCTGTTTTTTCACAACCATTAAAAAGAAATGCACAAAGATTTTGGCACGAGAGATGAGAAATAAAGTTTATTGATACCAAATCTGTCATTGTTTCTGCTTATGGCTTTACTCAGTCCCTGTATCCATTATTGTGAGTTTTATTGCTGCTGTGCTGAGATTGGGAAACCTCGCTTCTAATTGGACTTTTACAAGTCAGCTGATTGAGGATACAGCCTCTGATTGGTTCACAGATCAAAACAAAAAAGGCAGACTCTGTCTAACACAGTCAGATAACATTTTCTTTCTGTTCCTCAGCCTCGTATCTTTATCAGCTTCAAAATGAACAGATTAAAGTAGAGCTGGGCGATACGTCCTCAAATCAGTATCAGGATATATGAGGAGATGGAGGACGGTTCAAAAGTTGTAGCGGCTGAAGTAGATGAAGTTAATGTGGGAGGGGTTGAGCAGCTTGTGGAGAAGTTATCGTCTATTTATCGTTATCGATGTGAACTGATCAATATGTCATGATATTGACTTGAGGACATATCGCCCAGCCCTAACTCGCATCCCTGGCTGAGACGTCTAGGATACATGTCTGCTCCATCACTGAGCCTGCAGAGACGCTTTAGTGGAAAGGTGATCTTTAGTAAACTTCTTCCTCACATTCTCAGTAAAATCACCACCTGTGCATTTTTACGGGACTTTCTCGCTCACGGTTTGACGAGGTCTTGCTGTTTTATTGAGAACCCCTACGAAGTCCAAACGAGTTCATGACCGCTCGATGAGAGCCGCCGAAACTCTCATCAACCTCAAGTGCCTCCCTGACTCTGAGTCAAGAGGTCAAGATTTATCAAACTTACGACCTCTCTGATGGACCTGATTAGTGAGGACTTATTATTATTATTATTATTATTATTATTTATTAGTTGGTTATCTTGTTCATTTAAAAGAATCAGGATTGGTGAAGTTACTACAAGTTTAAAATAAATGTAGGGTTGTAAAAAGTCTGTGTCCCTTTAAATGTGATGAAAATTAAAAGATAAAGCTGAAATTAAAGCTCCTGTGAGGAGTTTTTGACCAACAAGATATACTTTAATTCATATTGATGCTTTAATTTTGCTAAACAAAGGTAAACAAGATTAACAGCAGCAGGATTGAGAATTTATACTCTGAGGGGGAAGGCGTCGCTAAAGCAGGCAAAGAAAAATAATTTTTGACGTTAATTTTTCAACTGTGTAGAAAAATGGCTTTAATGGCTGCTGCAGGATAAGATTTTTTTTTAAGGAGACAACACTTAAGCATGTAAAGGACAAGAAAAGTGAAGGCAGTTTTGTCCACAGGGGGCGCCAAAGTCGACCCAAACTGAAAGTCCCTCACTGGAGCTTTAAACTTCGTACTTTCTCGTTGGCTCCTTCTCTGAGTTGTGAAACTCTTCTGTGTTTTCTCAGCACAAACATCCTCCTGATGATGTTTAGCTCTGAGGTTTTGGGAACATTTCGTCCACCTAACTCTTCACTCTGTGGTTCTGTTTGTGTTCGGACCTCACTTTTGGTTTCTGCATTGACTTTTTGTGGTTTCTGACAGAGAGACCCAGCCGGTGAAACCGCAGGTTTCCACATGGATGCTCCTCTGTCTCCTGCTTTTAACCTCAGTGTTTGTCGATATCTGCTCCCTCCACGATGACTCAGCTGATGTTTCACCGGAGGATCAGTTTCTTGGATCCTGGACGGTGCTCCGCTCTGATTGGGTTTTCCCCTCGTCTTTGCCACGAGGTTTGCATCTCGGCCAATCGTTTTGTGCAGCAGCGGAGGGTGTGGATGCGGGTTAAGTGATACACGACAACACCCTTCAGTCCTGTTATTTTGGACACCACACTGGCTTGTAAGCGACTGATGTTGCAGATTTTTTCGCCCCGTTTCTTCCGTCATGTCTCCTTTTTGAAGCCTTAAAAAAAGAGGTTTTCCTGGACTTGACAGGAGTGGAAAGTAGCACCAAACACACATGTAGCCCACTCTGTGTGTGTGTTTGTGTGTGTGTGTGTCATGCTGCAGGGTGGTGATGACAGAGTACTTAGTTAGCAACATGTGTCAGGCTGATTATAGTCGTGGACTCGACTTTTACCTGACCACGCTGTAAACCTGTCTCCAATTATGAAGGCATGACTCCCTATTAGCCATGTGGTGTGTTTGAGCGTGTCCCCCCTCCTCTGTTCTCGGCTCCTCATTCATTATTTAGCAGCTCCTGGTGTCAGGTACCTGCACGGTCCAGGATCCAGTTCCAGTCTCTTCTGGGCCCTGTTGGATTGAAGCAGCACGTTCAAACCTTCATGTTGTTTCCCCTCTCTCTCTCTCTGATGGAGCCGGGAAACTTAAAATGCATTTGGATATTTCTCTTGGCGTGACGGCGGGGCTATTTGAGGTCTCAGGAGGTATGTTGTTACCATCATCTTTTTTTTGTCCTCTTGAAAATGAGGATTACGAGTGTAGCTGACTTTAGCAGACTTGTGGTGAAGCTGTGTAGTTATTCATGAAGCTTAATTTCATCTTCTCGTGGAGGAAGTCTGCGAGGAATGAGGAGCTGGTGCGATTAAAGTGTAACTAGGATCAGTGGTGGTGATGTGTCCGGTTTTATTAGTGTGACAGTGAGCAGGGTGGCTGATCTCAGAGCGGGGTCAGGGTTCCGGGTCTGTGTGTGCATGTGTGTGTGCAACTTGACCCCGTCTGATCTCATCTCAATAAGCGCAGGTTGCCTAGAAACCCCCGTGAGGACACTTTCATATTATTATGCCAGAGGAAAAAATGCTTCCAGACACAAATAGACGACCGCTCCGTTTTCTGGCCTTACAAGGGAAGCTTGTTAAAAACTGGGCACACACACACACACACACACACACACACACACACACACACACGCAGCTAAAAGGGCAATTATGACAAGCTAGACAAAACCAAAACAGGCTCTATTTCCAGTCAGTTTTTTATGGAGTGTTTTTACTGTATGCACAGCTAAGATTAGCCAATGCATGTCATGTTTACGGTGGCCCTGTAGGTCCAAACACAATGAGAATCTGTAAAACTCGACCGCATTTCATTAAAGGGACACGTCACTGAACGGATATAGAAAATGATGTTTTTTTAAAGCTCCTGTGATGGTTAGAAAAATAAGAGAAGCTTATTTTCTGAGTGACAGAAGTACACTGAGGAGCAGAAAGGTCATGTTCTCGGTATCATCTGGACTCTAATAGTCTCTCTCTGTCCCTGTTTTAAAGTCGGGCACGCTCAAGTGATCCGTCACTTTTTCACACGTGTGTAAACTTCATCAAACTTTCCTCTCCGCTGTAATATCTGTAGTGGATCTCTTTGTCCCCCGTTAAAGTCTTTAAAAGACAACAAAAGTTTGTTCTCTCGAAGAACTTTGCCAATCAACTTCATAAAAACACAACAGAGTCTTTTACAGCTCCATTAGCCTCTAAAGGACTTTTAACTAGCTGCCTAACTGCACTTTATTTGGCTCTATTTTTGGACTCGTGATTGTCCTCTCTGCTCCAGACTCCTCGTGTGAAATTATGGTCGGTCGGATTGTCAGTGCTGACTCTGAGCAAACTCTGTGTTTTTGTGAATGGGTGCTCGAGAGAGAGAGAGAGAGAAAGAGAGAGCGAGCTTTGGTTAAAATGTGCAGACAATAGTTGTGATATCTGTTGCAAGTGGCGAAACTTTAAACTTTAAAAGCATGTGTATGTTGCTCGGAAACCAGGTGGTAAACAGATCTGGAAATACAAAGAAAGGACGTAAAAACATCCAAACTTCCCTGTCATAGAAGGGTTACTGAGCTGTCTAAGTAACAGTGTTTTCATCATGTGACATCCTGTTGAGCCTAAAACAGACAGGACTGTGTTGAGCGCGTAACGTCAGCGTCTCGTATCGCGCCTCAGCTCCGTCTCTGAAACGTATCGAGCTAGAGATACGCGCCGAGTCTATTTTCTCTGCTCTACACTTCCAACACGTGTCAATCCACACAGAGAAGATTGTATTAGATAGGATGTCTGCGCATGTCATCCAGTATTTCAAAATAAAACACTGTATGAAGACTCCTGCCTGTGAATCAGTTTGTGTAGATGAGAAATACTTCCTGGTTCTGGATTTATTAGTAACACAGAACAATCCGATGGCACAGCATGAAGGAACAGAGTTTACTTTATTAAAAAACGAGTAAACCTGCAAAAACCCAAACTATAAAACCACTTAAAGCTTTCTCACATAAAGTAGAGGCTCAATAGTTACTGAATTATATCCAAATTATCAGGAAAATCAGGAAATAGACCAACCTGTTGTTAGCATGTTGTTTCCTCTATACTGAGCCCAGCTGACCACGGCTGCACTACGCTGCTGCTACGCTCCAAATACGCTGATCTTGTATGCGATTTACGGAGCAGAGACGCTGCGCTGACGGAACGCGCTCGACACTGATCCTGTATGTTTTTGGCTTTAGCCTCTTACCAACATGTTTGTTGATAGTTTTGATACTTAATGGGTCAAGAAGGAGACGACCTGATCGTAACGAGCTGAAAGGTTAGATGTCACCACCTGCAGAAGTGGAGGTAGACGAGCTTCTGTCAGAGCCTGTAAACTCAGACAAGGACTGTGGTCCGGTTAAATCCTCTGATTGATCTGTTACCGTAGCTTGACTAAACATGTGAAGACATGACCAGGAACATGGGTCCAAACTGTGTACGGTGAAGATTAAAGAAAATACAATATGAGTCATCTCATAGATTCTGCCTGACTTTGCCCAGACTT